TTCAACAGTATAAGTCCACAATAGCATTGAGATGTACTACATTTTTGCAGAGTGCATTACTACTACTGGTCCGAAGCCATGACACATTCATAATATGCATAAAATCAACTATTTGAACAGTTAAAAATTAAAAGGAAGACTCGCCCCTAATAACCACAAAAAACTTTCGCGAGTCTCGCGTTGATAATGCCCACGTATGAAATGGCGGAACACGTGTCCGCTCAAATACAGTTTTTTGTAATTAATATCTCTTTAATTAATAAAAAATAAAATATAGATTACAATATTTATTTAATAATTCTAGATATCATTNATTGATTTAATCATTCTAGATATCATTTTATTTGAATTTAAGTATAGAAAATAAGTCCCTGGTCAATCTAAGTTGACCCAAAGCTGGTCCAAGATTAATCAACCGAAGGTAATATAGTCAACTTTGGTCTAGGTCTGGGACTGACAAAACTACCCATTCTTGGTAGATCAATTGTATGCCTAACTCCAGCCTTGATGAACTTTGTTCAGTCAAAGGCGGGCAACGCAATGTTGGGCCGAAGTTCACCCGACCATCAAATCTGGCAGTTCCTACATGGGTCTAGAAACCTTATCTCAAAATCAGAGTTTGACATAGAATCATTTCATTTTCCATCGGGACCTAATGGGGTCCTTTACTCATTACTAGATATCAAAATCAACTGTACCATGAATTGTACCAGCCAACGGTTACTAGTTTGAATGGCACGGGTGCGATTAAGGTACAAACAATTTGACCATCTCTTAATAAAATCAGAACAAAAAGTCAAGGTTAAGAAAGAGAAGTTCATAGAAATAAAGACGAAATTAGTACAAAATCGGATCGATCATGGTACAAAAGGTATTTATTTGCATATTTCTTTCGATAGTATTTACAATTTTTATATGCCATAATAACAGAGTCATGATTCTGACATAAATGGTAATATGAATCAGAGATGATGGACTGAGGAGCGACGTATTTGAATTAGATTAATAGCGCTATACGAATTGTTACTTTACCGTAAGCAAAAGCATCCATGACATTTATTGAGTAATAACAACAGCAACACATTTTGAAGGTCTCGGTCTTATTTGTTGCCCTTAATAGGATATTCATAGATCATCTTCAAACAGCCGAAAACTGATCGTAACCGATTTCAAGAACCTATTAAACACTGAAATAATCGTCTACTGCATTCAAAACTTCTATTAAACTTGATGGATATGTGTTGACTATGTATGCATAACATTTCCGCGTCAAATGGTACAGCAGGACCAGAACGAACACGTCAGAAATTGTTTTATTCAAATTGTCATCGACAATAACTTGTATTTGTTCATGTGAAACAGTATAAGAATCCCAATCATAAAACATTTCGCTCTATTTTACGTTTAAACGATTTTTTGTAGATTTAACTTTGATTAGTAGAATAAAGATTCTGGCTATAGGGCCGTGGTCTAAGTCAACTATTCTGTCCAGACGTTTCGTCAGCTACTGCGGTTGACAACCTCAGTGGTAGTGAAAGCCTTTATTATTATATTTACTTTGATTGAACACATTTAATATTACTGCAATACCAATATAATTGCCTTTGCAAAAATCTGCAGATAACAAAGATTTTTTTTCGTTCTTGTTGCGTTATGCCCTTCTTCGTTATTGCATTATAATAGCAAACGCAGATTTTTTAAAGGAACTCTACAAAAAAACTGTAAAGGGAAATTTTTGTTACCACTCAAACGGAAATCTTTGCAGAAGGAAGATTTGTTATAAGCAGTCTCGTGTCCTAAAAATGTAGTTACGTAATTCTGCGATTAATGACGTTAGCGCAGTAATAGAACGAGACCGATCGTATTATCACGTCAAATCAAAGTATCTGTTTAACATGTCATCTTAATTTCGTCAGGTTGTTCAGTCGAGGGTTCGCAAATTGAATCAGCCGCCTAATATGTAAACATATCGATGTAAAACATTTTAGCTTATAATACTTTTAGATAAGTGTCTTAGATCACAGATTTGAAGCGATTTAGCCGCTCGATTGAGTTGAGCATTTGCTTTTTAAATTAGTGTCACCTGTATTATACCTATTATAATAATATATGTATACCTACTTTTCAAGTTATTGAGTCATTAATTTTATTTCTTTATTAATAAATCATTCTTATGTCTGGTAATACATTTATAAAAGCTGATGACCGGTACTTTTTTTGTTGTTAAAAAACGATGTGACGTTTTGATTTAATTTAAATGTACTAAGGTGCAAAAACCAACTTTAATACTTTGCCTCTATAGACAAACTTAAACGAAAAAGTTAAATAAAAAGATCTGATCGAAGTAACGAAGTTTCATTAACTTCTTCAACCATTTTTTCATAATCCTCAAATCAACCCTTAGAAGTGGAATGCCTTCTTTAATTGGTACCACCCTTAATATTGTAGCGAGCACGAGTATGTTTGCGTGCGTGAACGGCTTATCGATTCGCCGACTAGCCGCGGACGGCTTTCTTCGTGTGCACCGTATTTGTAAATGTGTGTGTCGTACCTGCGTTCTAAGAAAGCAGAAAAAATAAACTATCCGGATGTTTCCAGAAGGGTCCCGAAGGTAAACAAAAGAGTATTTAAAGGAAGAGACGATCGCCGACAGGAGCAGAAATAAATTGACCGTTGCAGAAGTGAATCGAGAAATAAATTGACAGTGATAGCAGTGAAATAAATAACGCAGTGAATAGTGATATATCAACAGTAGTGTAAATAAACAGTTTTTGTCATTATCAGTATTAGAAGTTAATTTTGTTAAACCCACGGACATTACAATATATAGCCTTTCTAATAAAAAAAGAATTATTAAACGTTCTGATTTTTGTCTAATAGTGGAGTAGAGAAATAGGTCATTACCTTTTTCATATATTATCACAACTTTTCACAAATTTACTATCGAATACTTGAAGCGTTACTGACTATTAGTTGTAACCGCTAACTAATGTTTCGGTTTTTAAGAAGCAATAGGACACTTTTAATACTTTTTACTGTAGTACCTATTTGTAATGTGGCATGATGATCCTGCAATTAATTTAGTATAATGTTACAAATTTTCGTGAATCTTCCATTGAATAATAGACAGAAATGTTTCAGTTACAAATATAACTCATGTAATGACATACCTATAACGGATATTGTAATTGTAACATAAAGACAGTACTTTGGACGCGTCACGCGTGTTTTTTTCAAGTACTTAAGAAATAAGTACTGGAATGAAACGAATTCAAGTGTGAAGGGCATAGAATTCTGTATGACAAAAAAAACAAATAAATAAATACATGACTTCCGCCTGTGGTTGAAACTTGCAGGTAATTAAATGGTAGTGCTACAACGATGACAAAAAGGACACTTGACCACGCCCTTGTTTGTATGCAAGGAATTTCAACAGAATTTTTAATTGCGATTTGAAACGTTGATATACTTACCTAGAAGGAAACTATGCGTTTGCCAATAATAATTATCTGTCAGCTGGAAATGTTTTTTACTTATGTATTGTTTAATTTAAAGTGGATGGTGGGCGAAATGTTGCGAAGGACCATATTGGGTGATCTACATTTTAACAGCCTACTTTACTTTTCTGATGTTATTAGTAAGCGCATTCTTGTACTTTTACAAATTTCCTGATTATGCTGCTCTAGAACTGCTACGTATATTCAGTAACAACAATGTATTACTTAAATAAATAGGAATATTTCAAAATATTAACTTAACGGTATAATTTTAAAACCCCTCATTAGAAAAGAAAATGGATAGCTAATTAGATATTTTTAAAGAGAAACAGTAAAGTGTTTTATATCATTAATATTCATCAATATTATCATCAACATCATCATAACTGCTAATTCAGCGACGATCTTATTCCTCTCTCTTTAAAAAAGAGTTTAATAAACCACTAAGATAAAAGTTACGACCAATTTATTCGCTTGTATCATTTTATTGCTGTTAAAAAATCAAATGGAATTTAGTATTGAGTTTTTTAATCGTTCGATTACATTGTGAATATTAATAAAAGTCTTCCGCCGCATTGTTTGTCGTCAATTGTTATGTTGCATACGCTTCATTTGTGAGAAAGTGAAAGAATATGAATTTGTAACTATGTGAGTAATGATGAGTTGAAAAACCATTGAAGTGTAATATAAAATAAAAGCATTTTACTTTTCCCACGACCGGCCGGCTTGATTTTACGTTCGTTCTTGTCTGGCACGACACAGATAACAAGAAAATCCTCTTACTTACACTTTCTTCTTCGACGTACGTGTTTTGAATTTTGATTGTTGAAGTTTCAATTGAATCCCAATTGCGGACGTTTTAGCAAAAAAACTTTCTTCTTTAATATATCGCTATCTCTTTGTGATGAAATTGACGCTTGACGAGTATGAACAGTGAACATAACGGCGTGCTCTAGAGGGAAATTATGACCATTTAGCCAATTAAACCACAAATACTGACGAAATTTACAAAAAGGGAAACAAATCACATGAACTTGTATCTGGCATCAATGCCAATGGATGTTACCTGCACAACAAAATCAGATAAATTTAAATTTGCACAATTACCTACGCTTTTTTTAATAAATTAATAGACGCTATCACCAATTTCTACTTTATACTTTAGGGTAACTTACAAAAAAAATTGGCGAATGTTCCCTTTACATCTACCTATTAATTTTATAATTACTTTATATAATTTCAATCAAATTAGAACTCTGCTTTAACCATTACTAAACAACTTATGTATTAATAATTTAGGTACTGCATATAACCTTTGTACATTTATTGATTTATTTGTAATATTGACAATTAATATTATACTATATTTAAAGGTGTCTTCGCAAAAAATTTACTATAAAAATTATCCTTTATTATCTGATATGATTGATTCACTGGTGGCTAATTTGCTAATTTCTCAAGTAGATAGCAATTAAAGCTGAAATATTTATAATTTTGTTACAGGGTTTCTTATTTATTTTACACACCCCAGAGACTGATGCCGTATGTTCGCCCCTTTATGGGGGCGAGCCGTGCTTATTCGTACCTGCCCCTCCGGGTAAAACACCATCGTGTGCTAGACCAGGGTTAACGTATTGCGAACATTCTCCTCATTATCCAAAGTAATAATCTTGGACAAAAAATTTAATTATTATTCATTTGTCAATAGCCCAAACTTAACAAACATTCTTCTACTTTATTTTAGAGAATTAATAAAACATCTAATAACTCTTTGGAGATATGACAAAAGGACCCTTTTCTTAGATGAAAGTCCTGAGGAGTTCAACTCCTACACACATCCTTACCCCACCGAAAACTACAGTCATAAGCCTCTTCCTGTTTACGGCCCTCCAAATTTATTATCTCCGGAAAATCATCTTCCTGAACCAATATATATACCAAAACCTCCCTTTACCCACAATTATAATCCTCTTAGTAATCAGTATATTCCACCAAGTAGAAATTTTTCGGATTTTCTCGGGTATCCAGAAAGAAGGCCGTACTCGAACCAAGAAGAAGTTTCATCTAACCAACTTTTCAACTACAAACCTCTCTACAAGCAGCAGGAAGAATACAACAGGCCTGGTTACTATAACCCGTTCAATAATTATCAGCAACAACAGCAAAACTTTCCTCAACCCCAGAATAATTACAATTACTACAATTCTAAAGATTGGTGGCAAAGGTCAGTTGGATAAGTAGCCTCAAGTAGATGAAATAAGAAAGAGTGTTTAAAATCACTAAGAAATTCATCATCAAAATCATACTTTGTTGGATTAACTACCTTAAAATAATCTTCTTGATAGGTCATTTTCAAATTACTTCCATTTTTCTTAATCGCTGCGTTTGAGTATAGTAATAGGTGGTGCGCCTCTGTTTGCATTCGAAGTTTTAAAAGTTTCATTTTTCAGTTTGACTCATCGCAAAGTTTCACTTTGTTAAAAAATGCATAAATATACAATTAAACTGAATCGTTCTTTATATTTGAACTTTAACGGTCAAACTGTACATGATTCACATATTAAAAAGTTAAAAACTTTCACTGCAACATCAGTGAATCAACGAAAAAGTTTTACTGCATTTTTTAACGTCGATTTTATTGATTTCTAATTTAGAAACACTAACACTTTATGTAAATCTTTAATAACGAACTATTTTTCTGTCGGGTGTACAATTCACGTGTGCCCGTACGGAAATGCATTCGAGACAATTTCAAACTATTTACTTATAATAAATAAATGGTCACGATTGTCACATTAATTGAATAATTCAGACCTTGAATGATGTCTCTCTAATTTGCATATAAATTAACATCTCCGAATAAAAATCTGTATATTATACATATACCTGCGTGATAACAGTAAGTTCAATGTAACTAACGTGTTTGGGATGTTTAATGTCATTTTTAAAATGTACCTACTGACCTTGGAAAACAGTTCAAACAATAATTTATAAAAGCGATCACATTGCTTTAATGCAAAACACCAGAAGAAAAAAAATGAAATAGCTTTAAAAAGTGGATAATTTGAAAATTTAATAGATACATCCGTTTAAATGATTTTTTTTACTTCACATGCGTGTGCATTTAATCATCAGGCCAATCCGAGACGTCAAAGGTCATTTGAAAACACGAAGTAGAAGATCCACTAAAGTTCGAAGACATCGAAGGGAATTAGCGACCTTGTTGACTGCATCTAATGTGACTCTTTCTTCGATTCATAATCGAAGAAAAAGACAAAGCAATCCAACAGGTCAAACATTATGTCAAGCGAGAACACAATTTGTGATGCCTGAGGCTGCTATGAACTCCCAGGGCAACTGGATGTATGTTGTCAATGTACAGGAAGGAAATGCTAAGTTCACTCAGTTAGTAAGGAGTGAAACTTGTGTGTAAGTACACATTAAATATTACTTGTACTAATACCTTAAAGTACAAATTTAGTTTGTCCTGTTTTGCTGGGAAATTCATAATTTGTATTATTATTTAAAACTGATCTGAGTTGGATGAAGGATCGCTATCTGTATTTATAAAATTGTCCTTGCTTTTCGTCGTCGCTTGGAGATTATTCTCCTCTCCAAACGACGGCGACGGCCAGAAAACTAATAGCACATTGGACAACGGCTGCATTCGTACAATTGGTTTAAATAAGAACTTTAGTTAACTGTTGAAAGCCATTGCCATACGTAAAATACAAGTAAAAAGTAAAGGATCCTGCTAGATCCTTAACGAAACTTTGAATTTTGTAAGTTCTCGACGTGATAATCAAATTACATTCTTCCGAAAGTACTTCCAAGGTATCATATCTATGTGTATTTCATACATATCGTGAATGTGTCTGTCATATGTGTCATGATTTCGAACCAGGGATGGGAATGTACTCTGCAAAAATGTAGTACACCTCAACACCATGGTATACCTATGGGGAAAGAATGTTTGACTACTTAGCGCCCATTAAGACGTAGAGAAATACCAGAATCCGAAGTTTCAACGAGTTTGACAGGGATAATGCCTAGTTCCCTCCCATATACCTGTTTTTAATTAAGGTTAAAATTTTCCGTATGTCGAATTCCCTCCTAATTATACATCAATTGCCTCCCAACGGCGGCGAACCTTAATTGATAGATTTTCAATCTGGAATTTACGTTACAATACAAAGTGTTTCATATAATTTTAAAAAATCAAATACTAGAAAAACTAAAACTAATAAAGTTTTTCTGGATGATTGCATCAAAAAGCTAGACGCACACGAATTTCCAAACATTGAGTTTGTTAAGGTAGTGGGAAACCATTTTAAAATTAAATAAATAAACATTTCATAACTGATATGTGTTTTCATTCTGAAATTATTTTATCTTTAATTTACTGAAGTACTGAAGTACACTATAAACATATATTTATTTTCGATAAATAAAATCGGTAAGTAGTCGTTACTTTAATTATCGAAGCTGATATGAACGGGAGGGAACTCGGCTAGTACCCGGGAGGGAATTCGACTATCTATATTTTAACCAAAACTACCTGCGGGAGGGAATTCGGCATCACCGTTTGACAGAGGGCTATTTCCCGATCTAGCGGGATCCTTTAATACCTACTTATTAAGGGTCAAAAAGGATAGTGTGTGTTGGTATTTTTTTTTTTTATTTTTTTTTAAGCTTGAGTTTTTCCTATTTTATAGTTCTCAACAATGTAGCGGTCTTTGCGGCTTGCCAACTGGTTATACATCGAGATGTGAACAAAAATATATACAAAAAAGACTAGTTGCTTTAGAGGGTACAGGAAATAATCTTTATTCGGATCTATTTTGGCTTCCCAGTTGTTGTGTATGCACACTATCGCAAAGTTAATAAATAATTTGACCAAAGCAAAAATTAACTGCATAAGTAAAAAGAATGTGTACGTTGGCAGAGCACCCCAAAAAGTGTTCATTTATTACTCTAGAGGTTGATTCTCTTTTTTTTTTTTAATATTACGTAATTACTAAGTATTTTTGTACTTAAAAAGAAATAAATAGCAATTAGTGTAGCTATACTACACTAACCCAAAGTCAAAAGCATTTTTATTTAATTAATTTGATAATACGATAATTAAATAAATTACTGTTACGCAACAAATAAGCTGCAAACTTAACTTGGAATTTTCATTTGTCAGTAAAGATGAAACTTTCTTTCATCCGTAATAATGCTGACGTAATATTTGTAGGCCTCAGTTTAATTCGATTTTAGATCAATTTTTTGTAGATCATTCTTACTTTATTTGTAAAAACAAAAGCGAGCAAGTAAGTTACATAATATCAAAATACCTACCTATTTAATATTCACGCTGAAAGACAACTAAAGCAAAAATACTTATAACGGAGAAAAGTACGTACATTCTACAGTAGATTAATTTAATACCGAAGATTAGGTTTATAAAAGTATAAAATTTATAACAAGAATAAACAACGCGCGATATCACAATCTAACTGGTTTATGGTAAAAACATAACTGCACCGTTGATAGAAAACACAATAAAAATTGTATGAATTACCGAAAAGAAAAAAAAAATATTCCGTTACTAATGACCTTCATTTTTTATCACCTTTTTGTAAAATTAGTAACGAAATTGATTTCTACTATTTGTAAACATTGACATACATAAAGCAACAAGCAACGAATTTATTATTTTTTTAACCCATTAATTGCATACCTAAATGCTTTATTTAATAAACGCCCACTTCTGAAAAGNATTTTACTAACACTTATTTGTATTAATACTAATTTATATTAAATAATTATGAATTTTTTTCAAGGAAATCGATAATTAAAACCGATGATAGTGATCGCGATATTATTGCATTGAGGACACGGTAAATGTCTAGATGTATAGACTTTCGTTCGGATGTTTAAAAAATCATGTGGGAAGGGATGGGGTGATCTTGCAAAGTAAGGCATGAAAATTGATAATCGGGTAAATGGCAAATGGTAATATTGCGTAGAAGACCAAAAATTGCTTTTAGATGTGGCCAAGGGGGTGAAATTGCAGAAGTGAAGGTTCTAATAATAATTCTATATGTCAGGTTCACCCCCACACCCACACCCACACCACACCAACCGCAACCCCGCCTTTTCTCTACGCCACTTTCATATTTAACTTATGTAAATAATATAATACCTTAATAGGTAGATGACGTAATCAACAACAATTCAGCTTTTTTGATCGCATTTGAAATTATCGGGGGAATAACTTTTATTTTCGATTCCAGTGGGCCTCTTTTGTTGCGTTTTGTAATCCCAGGACCATTTCTGTAAATTTCCTGACGCTAGAAATCCATAAGTTACACATCCAAATAGATAAACTCCAGCAGAAATGTAAAATACATTTCTCCATTCAGCAACAGTCTAAAATAAACAATTAAGTGTGCAACCTCGTAACCTAAGTCAGCAAATTGTTGATTTTACTATTTTATTGAAACCTACGTTATGCTTCACAATAAATCCTGTCAGTGTAGGACTTATTATACCGGGTAATGTTGAAAAAGTGTTACTTATTCCAACAATAACGCTAGCGTGTGATGGTCCTATGTCCAAATAATTAACCCTACAACATATAACTAAATTGTTATAATGTTTACAGTAATTATGAAAGAGGAGGTAGCATTACCCAAAACCGGACCAGGCGAATCCGCCAAATCCAACGGCCAATGTTAAAAAGATGGTTGAACCTACAGGTGACAAGAGAAATCCTGCAGCCAACATGAATATGGTCTGCCCTAAGAATGCCGAGCAATTAAATATTTTTCTAACTTGTGTAATTGTTAGATATTTCTTTTCTAAACACGTATCGGCCAAAACTCCTGACATGGCTGTACATATTGACATGCAGAGGTAGGGTAAAGATGATAAAAATCCTCCAGAAGACAGATCAAAGTTCAAGACGGCTAAAAAATAATGTTTTCAATACTTTTAGCGTAAGAAAAACATTACTTGAATAGAATTATATACAAGTTGTAGTAAAAATAATCATACTTTTCATAAATGTTGGCAACTGTGTGAGAAGTGTATAGAAGCCCCAGTTTTCTGCGAAATGTGCTATAATAATGGCCCACACCGCCCATGAAGTTAAAATCTTTCCCCATGGATGTTTTACATCTCGAAGTGTGTCATTCTCTTTATTCAATGAACCCAAAATGTAGTCCAGTTCTCTTTTACTAATATGGGGATCCAGACTAGGCGATTCAGCGACTATAAACCACCAACATAAAAACCATACAATGGCTACGGTTCCTAAAAAATTAAACAATTGGTTGAGACCATTATTAATAAATGCTTTTATGTATTCTCAATACCAAACACGTAAAATACACTTTCCCATCCAAAATAGTCCGTTAAGACCCCACCAATCGTCATTCCAATTACTGTGCCCATATAGGCACCTGATATAGCAAAGTTGGCTAAACGACTTCTTTCGAGTGGAGGTGCCCATCTGGCCCACACAGCTAACATAGAAGGGTATGTCACCCCCTTAAAATTATATAAATAATATAATTTAACTATGCATATTTAGGAATTACGAAGAATGAAAATAATGTTATAACGGTTTCATAGTAGCAATGGTACTAAAAATTTATGACTTATGTATGCAGTAGGTTATTTTGAGTTAATGAGTCTTTATTTTAAAACTTGGAGACCCAATTTTTGTATTTCTTTCTTTAACAAAACTTGAACTTACTTCAAGGACTCCTTCTACTATTCGAACAATTAGCAAGGCTGTGAATCCTTGTTTTGCACAAATTGGGGATAACAGCGTAAGTATTGCGGTACAAAGAATTCCCAGGCCATAAAATTTCCTTCCTCCAAACCTTTCCGCAAGAAAACCGCCCAAAATTTGTGTGGTAATATACCCATAGAAAAATGAACTCAAAAGTAAACCAGTCTGCCTGTTATTCCATGAAAATTCTTGCACCTGCCAAAATTTTGTTAAATATTATTATTTAAAAGGTGAAATCCACGATGATTTGTGAAAGAAGAAAAAATAAAGATTAAATTATCGATGCGTGCGATCAGGTGTTATTCTTAAATTACAGTAAGAAATAATAATTTGGTGACCAATATATATTTTTTGTAAAAACAAAAATGTAAGTCTAAAATGTCGTATATAAGTAAAAGCTTAATATAAATAGTAGTAAAAATTGTAAATGATGGTAGTGAAACAGAAATATATAGATACAAGTGAGTTATTTAACTATTTTCAACGTTATGCGCGGTTTTTTATCGATAGATACAGGTAAACAAAACCACACAATGAACACGTTTGAACATGAGAAATACTAACATGGGTAATTGTTCCATTTTCCAATGTGACTGTTTTATTTTCAGTCATTGCAACAATAGCAATACTCAGAGTTACCCTCATGGTATAAATGTTCAAAAATCCTAGGAAACCAAGCAAGGAAATTATGTACCTCCTTCTTTTCCATACTTTCCAAATTGGGATAGTCTCCTCTGTTTCTTCCATCTTCTTCCTACGAGACACACATATTCGCAATAAAAATAAACTAGTAGCTACATAGTATAGTATTTATGGAATAAGTACTAACTTCGTTGAATAGTCCATGGTAAGTCCTAAGAAAAACGTTAGAAACTATCAATCAACTGTTCTATTAAAAGAACAGCGTTCTTAACACTGGTAGCACCTACCTACGAGTCTGTCGCTTGAGAATGGTTTTAACAGCCTTATTGTCGAGTTAAAAAGATAAGTCGAATTTAAACTATTCAAGTGGATAATAAATACTGATAATAACACTCATACTCATTATGTTAACGAAAAAATAATATCTAGTATTCATTGAAATCGACCTCTTAAGGCCTTGGTGCGACGCGCAAAAAAAGGCTCTGCAACTAAGTAGACACTTTGCATAAACGTTTATATAATAAGTAACTTTTTCTTTGCATTATGTAGTAAAAGCAATCGACATAAAAAACGATTTTTAGTGTTTCTTGACCATAAGGATCATACAATCAACTTCATAATATGTTTCAATTTATTTCAGAAATATGTAAAATAGAATTGGGGGTTTGTTATACAATATAAGGGAAATTCAAGACCATGTGTTTTTTGGAAAACATTATATTCTCTTTCCGGATTTCTAAAGTTCACGTGTTGTGGATCTTTTCATAATAATGTTTCACTAGGTTACAATAAAATAATAATCTTAAAGACTTATAAATAAATCTTAATAGTGTACATAATTTTGAATATGATATAAGGAATTAAGAGTAAAATGAGTAGCGACCGTTGTTTGCAATTTTTTTATTAAGCGAATTGTTAAAACCTTGAAAACTTCCTCATATTCGCATTGCTTCACTTTGACTTAAAAGTTACATTTTCGTTCTATTAAAATCTGTTGAATAAATAGTTCAGACATCATTGATATATTGAAAAAAAGTAATGATTGCTATTGTCTTGAGTTATTCATTCAGAAAACTTTTGAATAATTGTAGTACTTGTACACTATCCACTATGCAGGATGCAAAAAATATTAGAAATGAAGGATTAAACTTCTTTAATAACTATTGAAGTAATTATAAAAAGACTTGAACGTAATGACCATAATAAAGATCGAAATTTAGAAGGGAATGTTGCAATTAAATTATATTATATAATATACATAATTAATATTGGGTTTTATATAGTTACGTAGTACATATTTGTTATAAAATGCACTTTTAACTCTCTATAATGAAAAACTTATTATAACATAGATATTACTTGGTTAATCCATAACCAATGAATAGGCTACAAACGAATGGATTTATTTATAAAACTCTAACACTTCTTACATATCTACATATGTTAAATATATAGTCTATTATTATCTATGCTTGCGTTTGCAATTACAGTAATAATATTTTAATTATATTCTTAGCTATTTTTGTTTTTATTATTGTTATTGTTATCTTTTTTTCGGTCGAATACCTACATATGTTAATTTCAAGGAGACTATCAATAATATGTACAAATACATTGTGGTAGATCAAGTACTCCACTACTTTGTATTTTTTAGAGAGCCCATGTAATGTACAAGTGTTTTCTGATAAGGATTAATTTTACTTAAACATCACCGTGTATTTCTTTATTGTTTAATCTCCGACGAAATGGGTCATATTTAAAATTATTCGCTCTCGAAATGACAGTGAAGTTTTGATGCATGAAACTACAAAAATATCAGATAAATAACGTTTAAAATGTAAACGATAAACACCTAAATGATTATTTATCGACCTGGTTTCAAATCTTTCGAGTTAATAAAAAAAAATTACTTATATCGGGTACATTTTAACTCTCTTAATCAGTGACATTATACGACTGTTATTTTTGTATTATTTCTTTCGGTATCGAAAGAGGAGGTCTCCCCCACCACTGTACCATAAAAAGTTCGTGGCGGTCTCACCCCCATAAAAGATTATAAGGGTTCAAAGTTAATAAATATGCCAATTTTTATACATTTCTAGGCATGTAAATGTTTATATAGTCATTCTTAAGCAATATTCAAAGGTAAAACTAATGAAAAATACATAAAAATATTGAAAAAGTTATATAAAACATTATTTAAATATCTTTATCAATAGGGTAGGTTAGGTTAGGTTAGGTTATCGGGTTTTGTTCAGTTGACCACCCTCTTTCGATCCCCTACCTCCACCCGCTTGAAAATATTTTTTTTATTGAATTATACTGTATGAAAATTCTCAAAATAATCAACTTTCAACCCCCATAACTTTTTATGGGGGTGAGACCACTGCAAATTTTTATGGGGTTTTACTCAGGTGACCACCCTCTTTCGAACACCCTACCCTCTTTCGATCCCCCCTACCCCCACCTGGGTCTCAGATGGGTCTAACCCGCATAACTTTTTATGGGGGTGAGACTGCCACGAACCTTTTATGGTACAGTGATGGGGGAGACCTCCTCTGTCTATCACACCCACCCCATCATCATCTAGATATTTACCAAGATTTTTATGAACTGTGCGCTGTTTAACGTAAGAAAAAAATTGTAAACAACATTATCAAAATCACTGGTATTAACACCGATAACAATCATATACTTATGCAGTTAAAAAGTAATTTTTATCAATATTGTATTAAGCTTAAATTAACTAATCCTCAGTTCCAGTTGTATCGCTTTATTAGGTGTATAACGATTAGAGATGATAATGGAAATTATAAACACAACAAACAGTTCATAAATGATAGATACTAGTTTTTTCAGGTCGGTTAATTACTATTAATTGATAAACTATGTCCACTTGAGACTATTTCGCTACCTACGATAATATGATATACGAAATACCTTTAGACAAGAAATGAGAACATCTAAGTAGGTTTGTAGGTGCTCTTGAAACGAAATAAGACCGTAAATATATTAAATCTACTCTAATTGTTGCGTGCATTTTATAGGTAAAGGAGTTTTTTGCGATGATACAGTTCAGTTATCTAATTGGTAGAGATAAAAAGATCATAGTGTTTGTTTGTATTATAAACTAGTTTGTATCTTGGACTGCTTCATGAAAAATTTCTGATCAATACTTTTACGACCCAAAAAAGTCGAGTTTCTTATTATTATCCTAACTTATCTAATAACTTCATAACTACATTCTGATGGAAGTTTTCGTATATTATGCGAGGTTGACATGGATTGATATCACTTAGAAGAAGGGATTTAAATGTCACTTAAACCACCGAATTTGATTTTAACAACTAAGCTCTGATTGATTTTGAGCTTTTAGGCATCCTGCAACTGCGTTTTAGATAATTTCCAGGATCCAGGATCCAGGAAATCCGACTTAAACCCCATTGCATTTGCAAGATTTCTACTATTATGCTTTTTACTAATTTTAAACGTTCGTAAACCAAAAACTCGAAATTTTTGGGATTTGTGGCTACCGAGACTTGATCAGTATGATTCAAAGGACATTTTCTCAAAGTTTCATTATAATCGACCGGACCTCACTGTTCTGTCGACAACTGTGGGGTACTTTAATTAAAGTGGTTGGTATCAAAGTTTGTTTGTTTTATCTTACAAGAATATAGCGTTATCTTAAATAATAACTAACAAAAAATAAAATACTTACTACCGTTTTTTCTATTTATATATATATAAGAGGAACGTACCTACCTATTTAATATTCACGCTGAAAGACAACTAAAGCAAAAATACTTATAACGGAGAAAAGTACGTACATTCTACAGTAGATTAATTTAATACCGAAGATTAGGTTTATAAAAGTATAAAATTTATAACAAGAATAAACAACGCGCGATATCACAATCTAACTGGTTTATGGTAAAAACATAACTGCACCGTTGATAGAAAACACAATAAAAATTGTATGAATTACCGAAAAGAAAAAAAAAATATTCCGTTACTAATGACCTTCATTTTTTATCACCTTTTTGTAAAATTAGTAACGAAATTGATTTCTACTATTTGTAAACATTGACATACATAAAGCAACAAGCAACGAATTTATTATTTTTTTAACCCATTAATTGCATACCTAAATGCTTTATTTAATAAACGCCCACTTCTGAAAGAATCTTCCACAATCGAAGTCAAAACGTCCCTTTTCTTAAACTATTAACGTTCTGCCATCACGGCCAAAATAAGTTTATAACTTCTCGGGCCTTTATAACCGGAGTCCTCCAGTTAGACACTTTTACTTGCCAAATATCGAACACCGGCAGGACTTTTTTTTTGTTTCTGTGGAAGAAGGAAAATCTTCGAAAGACACCCAGCCGTCCGTTGCGACTGGGTATTAATCTCGAATTCCTCCCGATCTACCCAACTAGAGGGTACTTTCAATATATTCCTGTTTTTAGTGCCTAACTGACCTACGCCCTTTAAAAGTATCATGGCTTGGTTTTTCTTCTAAACATAACTAAGATAACTAGAGCTTGTAGTTAAAAAGTGTATGATAATTAGTATTTACCTCAAAAAACAATTCAAAGTACAATTTGTTTAATATATCATTTAATAATATATATACGAAACACTGACATATTTAATAGTGGTTAATATATCAAATATTGATGTGAAAATTAATTTTTCCGTTTATACGAATTATATTATATATATTTCCCTTGAAGTAATTTATAGTTGGTATAAATAGAAAACTGAATTTTCACATTAATATTTGATAATCTATCATAGATAGAAGTCAACCTAATATGAAAATTAACACTTATTAAAAAATTTTTTATTATTGAGAGTTGTCACTACATTCCTGTTGTGTGTAGTACGTACGCTAATTAATAAAGGTATATTTATTTTGCCGAGTATTCGTTCAAATAAAAAAAAATGTTTTTTAGGAATGATAAGGTAATAATTGTTAATTGCATTTATTGTTATAATGGACTGCTTTATCGCTCACGACATGTTCAGTTAAATGGGCATGAAAATTGATAGAAATGAAACAATTTATTATGCCAAACGAAAACTTATATAAGTCGAACAGTAAAACTACAGTATAAAGTAGAACTAAACATCTTTATTAACAAAAAGAGCTAAAGAAGAGTATATATCAAAATGTTGTTTTTCTGTAAACAATATGTCAGAAATACACTTTAGTTATTGTTACAGTTTATAAAGATCATTTCCTGTAATTTGCAATTATTAATTATTTGAGCAAAATATAAAGTGTTTCGGTAGTATTCTATTGTTTTTATGCTTGCAGAAGAAATATAAATAATAGAATAGAATACATAGAAAACATAAAATAATAACAATGCACATGATCGTCTTCGGTTCCAGCCAATTGTACTACTCTAAACTCAAGTTGATCTTTATCTTTAATAATTTAGGAATGGAATGATATTGATAATGTAATTACTTCCCAAAACATTAAACCGATTTGTCATTTTCGTCGGGTACGTATCCTTCATTTTCAACTCCTTTTTCCCGTTTCATTTTCGCATCCCATGACCATTCCTGCAGTTCACCGGAAGCGCAAGTACCGTAGAAAGTACAACCTATCAAATAAATCCCAGCAGAAATGTAAAAAATGTTCCTCCATTCGGCTTCGGTCTAATAGTAAATACAATAAAATTGGTAATCTCGTTACTCATAATAAACCAATAAATGAAATACTTACGTTATTTGGCACAAGAATACCCGTTAACGTGGGACTAACCATCCCAGGAATAGTAGCAAAGGTATTGCTGATACCCATAATAACGCTAGCATGGGAAGGGCCAATATCAAGGTAATTGACACTGTAATAAAAAAATAGACATATAGGTTAGAAATGAAGAGGTATTAAAAAGAACAAGAGAACAGAGGACTCTATGGAAGTCAATAAAAAATAGGCGGGATAGGTTGGTAGGACACCTTGTCAGGCATGAAGGTCTAGTCAGAGACATATTAGAGGCAGAAACAGGAGTTAGGAGGGGTAGAGGTAGACCTAGATTAGATTACTGTTCGCAAATAGTTAAGGATGTGGGTTGTTCTAGTTTTAGGGAAATGCGAAGTTTAGCTCAGGATAGGAAAGAGTGGAGGTACGTGTCCAACCAGTCTTAGGACTGACGACCTTATGATGATGATGATGATGATACAAATATAAAAGTAAACAACAGCAAAAGAAGAAGCGTTTGAAATGTGGTGTTACAGGGGAGGTATTAGAACAGGAGAACAGAGGACTCTATGGAAGTTAACAAGAAATTGGCAAGATAGGTTATACAGGAGTTAAGAGAAACAGAGGTAGACCTAGATTAGATCACTGTTCGCAGATAGTTAAGGATGTGGGATGTATTTGTTTTAAAGAAATGTGAAGATTAGCTATGGATACGAAACTATCCAAGTCCAAGTCCAGTCTTAGGACTGACGACCTTATTATAATGATACAAATAGATCAAACAAAATGGAGATTAGAACACGAAGGGAGTGACAAAACAATTCTCTGTCTCCTTCTAAAGTAACTGTTAGAAAAAGAGAGAAATTTTCAATGTATTAATCTCTCTCATTTTGATTTCAATTTTTCGACAACATATGTAATCTAGTTTGGATAACATCAATGTATGTATAAAAAGTTTGTTGACTAATTAATGAAAAGATTGTTATACCCAAAACCAGATAAGGCTAATCCTCCAAGTCCTACAGCGAAAGTGAGGCAGATGGTCGAACCTACCCGTTCCAAAAGAAAACCCGCTGCTAACATAAAAACGGTTTGGGAGAGAAAGGCGCTACAATTGAAACTCTTTCTAACTTGCGTCGTTGTTAACCAATTTTTGCTTAAGAGCAGATCAGCCAAAAACCCAGACAAAACGGTACAGATGGACATGGCTACGTATGGTAACGCAGATAATATTCCACTTGATGATATATCAAAATTCAGCATCTCTGAAAGCAACAAGAAAAAAATAGATTTAAGTGACTTAGGCTCTGACGGCCGATTGATTGACTGTGCCCAATGAGATATTGTCTTTCCCCTGTATTCCAGCAGCAGCCTAATCAACGTTTCGCCAGCTACCCCCTCAAGGTTCATTAGCTTTAGTGTAAATAAATCGAACTTTTAGCCCTAAACCCTAAGCATGTCTGCTACAGCAGCAGATAAAACATTGGACAGATAAATACCAAGACGAGTTTTAAGCCTCGTTAATCAGTTATTTGCAAAAAGAGATTACTTTGTACAGCTTCGACCTTCTACTAAATGTATTATTAAGAAAATTTAATAATGCAGTTGTAGCTGCAAAATTATTTTGTTGATGCCACAATAATTATTTCCTTCTTCAGATAAAAGAAATTTAACGAATTTAAAGTTCTTCCACATGAAGAAGGCGCAGTATGTCGCAATAATTACTGTTGGAAGCTTCTTAAGCTAAAAGAAAGTTAGATATACGTGTATTAATGTATGGGTATTTTAATTATGATTATTAGCTGATGCTGCTGTCAATTAGCAATAATGAGAATAGATAGATATAATTATTGAGGTCTATCCGTTTCTGATTAACTATTCAAAAACACTTATCTAACACTGGTAATGCGTAAGTGTAGCCATTACGTAAATTGATAATAACTATATTTTTAATGGATTATAAATGGATAATTCTACTGTTTCTTGACAGACGTGATCACCTTACCTCTCATGAACCTCGGGAGTTGTGTGAGGAGTGTATAAAAACCCCAGTTTTCACAAAAATGACTAAAAATGATTGCCCAAACAGGGAGAGAAGTTAGAATTTTCTTCCATGGATGTTTTACATTTAGCTTTTTTTCATTTTCTTTTTCTAATGACGTTAAAATATATTTCAGTTCTCTTTGGCTTATAAATTTGTCTTCGTTCGGATTCTCATAAACGAGAATCCACCAACAGATAAACCAAAACACTCCAATTGCTCCTGAAAATTACGTATAATGAAAAATAATATAGTAGGTATGTTATTTACATACCGAAAAAGTAAAATATGCTTTCCCAACCCCATTCTTCTGCGATTACACCCCCAATGGTCATTGCTGCTACCGTTCCAATATAACTGCCTGAATAGCCTATTGTAGTGAGACGACTTCTTTCTAATGGAGGCGCCCATCTCGCCCAAACCGCATGAATAGATGGATATGTGACACCCTGTAATAAATATTAAACATCTGTAAACTACAAAAGAACTTTTTTGTAAATATTTTATGGGAAAGTTTGTTATTGGCTTTCCGAAAAAATGGTAGTTACTAAAATTAGGGTTGGAATCACCGCGATATGGATGAACTATTTATTTGTCTTGTGAGTACGCCTCTTCCTAAAAGCATTAATTTAACACTTTAGCATAAGCCCCCTTAGATGCGTGAATTTAATTGTTTTTTTTTTTTTTTTCGTTCATTAAAATGTAGAACAATGGAATTTTAATTTTAATGCTTGACGATCAAATATAATGTTAAAGCGATCTGGGCGCAAAGTTTTTCTTCTTGTAGCTAGTTCAACAATTAAAAAACAACCAAGCTCAAATAATGTATACATTGTAGACATTGTTTCGTTATAAGAAGTTCCATTATAAAAAGTAATATCAGAATCACTTGAGAGCCTTTGTCGCATTTTTTTTATATCTTTTACTTTTATCAAAACCGATTATTTAACTTTTAAGAAGTTGATATTACAATTTTACTTTTAATTAATAAATAAATCAACAATTCTGCGATAAATGTAACAAAAAGTCTGTTGTTTGAAAAACTGATAAGTAAAAAATCAACCGTTTTTATAGTTGCAAAATAAAAATCGTAATTAATAATGAAATTATGGCTTTCAAAATTGTTATTTATAGATTAGCCTTGTGCTTTTACAGGAAAATGGCTTGCTACTATATAGGTAACTATTTCATTGTTACAAAAGAGAATAGACTTATGAACTCGAGAATGTCAAATAAGGGAATAAGTACATAAATGCTACGGGATTGTATAGGTACCTATTACTTGAATTCACATTAAAATTGTAGTTTTTATTTTAAATTATAGTTCCAAAATTATCCTTTCATAAACCGCATTTGTAAAAGTAGGTATTTTATAATGGTGACAGATTATTTACCGTGTTTATGACGCGTAAAATAAATATTAATTACCATTTTTACCACAGAATCTCATCGAAATCGGTTTAATAAGAAAAATTTGTTAGTCGTTTGTGCCCCAATAGTATACATAGTCATATAAGGTTGTTTGTAAATTTGTAATGTGTTGACAGTAACAATGTACGCTAAAACTAAGTACTACTTACTTCAAAAATTCCTTCGATGACTCGTAAAGTTATTAAACCTTCATAGCTATATTTTGCTACAACTGGGGTCAGTAAAGTAAGGGCAGCTGTAATAAATATGCCTAGACCAAAAAATTTTTGACCACCGTATCGTTCAGATACAAAACCTCCTAGTACTTGTGTCGTTATGTAACCATAAAAAAATGAACTTAAAATGACTCCTTGTTGCGTTGAAGACCAAGCAAACTCTTGTTCCTATTGTTGATATGAAAACCAGAAAAAGAAAACAATTAGTTTTAGAATTGGGACAAATCTCGCTCTAAAACACTTTTTATTTAGAGAAGATTATTATTTAAGAAAGAACTAGATGTTCGAAGGCGAGAAACAAATATGTACCATTTTATAATAAAAAAAAAAAACAAAAAAAATTTTCTATTTTTAATGAGCACACATAAACATCTTCCAAATTTCGTAATATCTACGACAAAATCCACCAATTAAGACCAATAGTATATAAATAAATAGTGTTCGATATATGAGATTAATGGCCGTAGTTTAGGACCGATCCTCCTCCTTCTGAAAGAAAATCGACGCTTGAGAACAGAAGATCCTGAATTTAAGCAAGGACTTTCAGTCATCAATCCACAGTATCGAGAATAATTAGATCAATTTTTACTACCACAACATAACTTTTTCGTTCTTCCATAGATTTTATTAAAAAAAATGTATAGACAGGGCTACAATTATCGTACATCTCCTTCGGCAAATCGATGAAAATTTGCCCAGAGATGTTCTGAGCAACTTTCTATACACATAAAAGTGAATCTCCACCTTCAAACATCTAGTTCCACCCTATAAAATAACCCCAATGAGAAAAAAAAATTTTTTGAAGCGATTTTTGCCTGGAACCCCAATTACAAATAACATCCAAAAGAACATATCAAGGACCACAATTAACAGCAAAAATATATATGCTTCTTGGACATTTAAAGACAAAAATAATTCTTTTGTTTATAAAATTTCATTGGTATATTATTGTAGGTATTATTACGGGAATATATAAGCAGGTGCATAATTAAAAATTATCTACAAAATATTTTGTACTGACGGAGTAGGTACATAACTGTGTAACAAAAATAAAAATGGTGCAGCTATGTATTTCTATTTTATCTATTAAAATTGAATGTCGATTACGTAGATAGTTATAATTTTAATGATAAGGTGCCGTTCTGAGTTAATCGTAAACAGTTTAACAAGGACAGAAGGCGATAATGCAAAAAAACCTGCTTTTATGAATAACAATACAAATTGCAGGAAGTTTAAATGTATCAAATGGAATTCTTATTGTTATTTGAAATATTACAGTTTAACATTTACAGATCAACAGAAATAATGATTTTAATTATGATGCTCTTTTTTCGTGTATATTACGGTATAAAATTTTAAATAACTTTAAATAGGTATAAATTCTTACATAAATTGTGGTTCCATTTTCAAGTAGCACAGACCTATTTTCTGTCATAGCAACAATCGCAATACTCAAATTCGTTCGTAAACTATAAATGTTAAAAAATCCAAACAGAGCCAAGACAGCTATTTGGTATCTTCGATGTTTCCATATTTTCCACCACGCAATGTTTTCTTCCGTATCTTCATACAAACTAAAAATTAAATGAACGAACTTTAAATTACTATTGTCGATTCAATTATTTAATCGCAGAGAATACATAGCAGGTAGATTAGGTAATTGGGTAATCTGACACTGCTGAAATATTAATTGCTGATACAACAACTAAAACGTTTCGTTCATTCATTCATTACTAGCTTTTTTCTCGCGGCTCGGCCCGCGGAGGGAACCGTTTAATGCCCTTGGAAATTAATTTTGTTCTTCCATAAAGCTTTCTAACCCCCCCCCCCTTAACACTCGCTGAGGGTTCATTTGTAAAAATTGTCAAATAGGTGTTTGATTAATTATACCTATCATAGACCATTAAGACAAGGCTTCAAGTAAATTTTGCTACAAGCGAAAATGTTCCTTACGAAGTTTGCTACCCCCACTTCACCGTCTTAGGGGTTGCATTTTGAAATATCTTTCCTTATTCCGCGTATTTTAAAGAAAACTTCTGTGCAAAATTTCAGCTATCTATAGGTCTAAGCGTTTCAATCAGTGAGTTAGGAAGTTTTATTTTTATAAATTTAAATAAATACCTTATAATTTATTTCTACAACGATGTAGAGGCCGTCTGGTAAAAAATACCACCCTTGTTTGTAAAAAGATTAACTAATGGTAACTGTAAATTTGATTATAAGATTGTAGTGGTAAATTGTCCCTATCTTTGGTACTATTTTTCATGAAAATTTCCACGATTGTAGTTTTTTATATAGTTTTGTGTGTGTATGACTTATCTTTGCAAAAACTAAAAGCGTTATTTATTTAAAAATCAGGTTTAGTTGATTTTACATGAAACAAAGTTTCAATCATTTCAATATGTGTCTATTGAAATTTAATATTTTGATTGATTGAGAATTAATACAAAAATGATTATTAACAATTTATCGATAAGCGAAGAGGAACTTATCAAAAAATTGATAATATTGAAAATGAAATAACACGTTGTTTACATTTTCCCTACTTCTAGGAAATCCATTTCAATTGTCTTCATCCGTACAGAAAAGGATTTCGTAAAGAATTTTTTTTCCAAAAGAGGTTGACAACGGGTTGTTTATGATTTAACATAAGTATTTAATAAAAATGTAAGGTGCGTTTCTTACATATCAATCAGAGTTGCACCATATCGTAGCTTAACTTAATCATATGATTCAGCCCCAGTCACTACCACGTTCTAACCATGAGTTTATGACGACCGAAAACTGACCGTTACATATGCTCAGTGCGTCAAAAGATTGGTGATTGTAAATTAAAAATTCCGATTAAATGACAACAACTTTAATTATATTTTAATTATAATCAGGTAATTTCATAATTTTGTATCGTGACTGGAAATAGTCCCATTAAAAAATATTACAAACTTACGCTTACCGTATTTGTCAATAGAATAAATAATGGATTAGCGAAATCATAGGTTTTAGAAATGGTTGTATTTTAAAAATATTTGATAAAGTACATAAGGATTCTTATAATTTAGATAAATGTCTAGATGATGGCCCCCCACCTCCTTCGGGGTGGGGGTGAGTGGGATCGAAAGAGGAGGTCTCCCCCACCGCCGTACCATAAAAAGTTCGTAGTGGTCTCACCCCCATAAAAAGTTATGGGGGTTAGATGGGGTGGGGGTAGGAGAAATCGAAAGAGGGTAGGGGGGATCGAAAGAAGGTGCTCATCTGAGTAAAACCCCATAAAAAATTTGGGCGGTCTCACCCCCCTAAAAAGTTATGGGGGTTTAAAGTTGATTATTTTGACAATTTTCATACACTATAATTCAAATAAAATTCAATAAAAAAATAATTTTCAAGCGGGTGGAGGTGGGGGATCGAAACAGTGTGGTCAGTTGAACAAAACTCGATAACCTACCCTAACCTACCCTATTGATAAAGATATTTAAATAATGTTTTATATAACTTTCTTAATATTTTTATGTATTTTTCATTAGTTTTACCCTTGAATATTGTTTAAGAATGGCTATATAAATATTTACAAACTGGCGTATTTATTAACTTTGAACCCCCATAACTTTTTATGGGGGTGAGACCGCCACGAACTTTTTATGGTACATTGGTGGGAAAGACCTCCTCTTTCGATCACCCCCCCCTCTCCCACCCCCTTCGTGGGTGGTGGCCATCATCTAGACCTTTACCATAATTTGAATTATTGCACTTTGTCTAAGTACCTAATTAAAGTACATGTAGGTATAATCACTTTTGACCATTTATAAGGTGCGTGTTAAATGCGCATTTTGGTTGTTGTAATGTTTACCTTACAATTATTATTTTTTTTTTTGGGAAAAATACGCACGTACGATTAATATAAAATTAAAAATTAAACTTTAAAAACGTAAGCGATCCCGACCTTGCCTAAATTAGTTTAACAGGTTGATTAAACTGTTAAATCGTTGTATAACTGTACTTGTGTTTTTACTTATTAACTAACAAGTTCAACACTTGAAAAAAAGTTTCACTTGAGCACTCGAAATAATAGAATATTATTGAAAATCGGCACATCTTCAAGGGCATAATTTAACAACAAATTGTTCATTTGCGCAGTAATAAAATGAAAAAAGTAAACACCATGAATACTCCAAATGTAAAAATAATTTATACAAAGGCACATAAAGTTGTATTGGTTATTCCAGTTCAATTTTCAATTAGCAAACAATTTGCATTTGCTATAAAACAATTGCAGTGGAGTACGAGTGTGTTTTACAAAACCCTAAAAATTCGTAATTTTTCTATTGTATTGTAAAATCACCTGCACATTTGTTGATAAAAAAAATTAAATTGAAGCCGCCGAATTAGTGATTAACGGTGAGAATTAAGGAAATTAAAAATTTAACGGCACTACACTGCTACTTTTTTAATATAATTGCATTTCCGCTTGTTTTAGAAAATTATCTAATGTCATAATATGAAAATTCAGAAATATATTTGAGTGACCTGCTAATATTAAAAATAATTTAGTTAATTTTCCCTATTTCTAGGATTGACACCTTGTCAGGCATTAAAGTCTAGTCAGAGACATATTAGAGGCAGAAACAGGAGTTAGGAGGGGTAGAGGTAGACCTAGATTAGATTACTGTTCGCAAATAGTTAAGGATGTGGGCTGTTCTANAATGTAGATAAATATTAAATACCTTTTTCCGGGTTTTAAATTAGATTTTTTTTTCACTTCATATTCCTTAGTTGTTGTAGCCATAGCGCTAACAACGTTTGTACTAAACTGTAGACTACACAAAATCGTTTAAAAGCTAACTACCGTAGAGGTCGACTACACACGGTGTACAGTGCGTCATAGTTAATCAAATTTTCAGACTGAAAATTAAAAATTTGAGATAAACACCATGAGATATTTAAAAATGTCACCTGTTTTAGAAGCATGATCAATTATTTATTATTGTAGTACATTGGTATTAACGTTAGAGAACGCGAAGTTAAAGAAACTATTCATTGTTCGTAGTATTGTCATTAAGCAACGTAATCTCACCCTTCTATTGTTTTACCGACTATAAAAAGTGACAATTATTATATTCTAAACAAATCCATTTATTATACTAATTTGTAATAAGATTTTTTTGCCATTTTGATACAATCGAATAAGTAAAATAATTAAAAATTGTCGTAAATAATTATAAAATATTTTACATGTATATTTACGTTATTACATAATTTTACTTTCTAGATTTATAAGTTTATTCACATTTGCATTACAGTAAAATTACAGTTGAAATTGATAATATTTCAATTAAAATCAATTAGAAACATAGCGAATCTATACATGTACATAGTTTCTATTTCTTATTAACAAAAGAGTATTTAATTATAAATTTAAAAATAAAATGACCTTTCTCATTAAATTTTTGGATAAAGACAGGTATATATATATATTACTAATTAAAGTAAGTACAGCAAATGAAGGGAATTATGGGTAAGAACGCACTTGAAATCTTAATGTATCCTGTGGAATCTATTGATTTGAGCAAAGTTTATATTTGCTTTTCTTTAGTTTAATCAATTTATCAATGAAATTTATAATTTATTACAATTGTACCTGTCTACTTGGATTATTGTTATCATATTATCTACTAGTTATAAAGGAACCTTATTTTTAATTATCCGCGCATACACTAACATAAAATGCATGAAACAGATAATAATAGAGTATTTATTAATTTAATTAACAGAGACTTTCTACTACTGTTCAATTATATTAAAGGAAAGCGTTAACCCTTATAATCCAGCAAAGAAATTAATCTTTGCTAATGTCGTGCTCAAATGCACATAATAGGCCTAGAGTACATACAATGAAATAATTTAACAACTTAGAAGAAAATAATGAAATTAATTTACTCTAATTTAATATACAGTTATCTAATTTTTATTATAATTTTATTGTACATTTAAAATTACGAAATAAATAAGTACAGTTGGATAGACATTTTGCGAAAATTGATAAGATCAATGTGTATTAAGATACATAATATATAATTGATTGCTCCTCTTCAACATTGTTTTACGTAATATTTTCTTTTTTTATATATGTATAAGGGTTTTAACAATAAGATATCGAGGAAACCTTAAAAATTGTGTTTTAATTGTTCTTTTATTATCCAATACACTCATGCACGTGCTCCAATACTTCCACATAGATAGAAAAAATGTATTTCCAATATTTTTTTTCTTATCTACGTTACTACTACATTACTCATAGCATTTTTGTAATACTCTGGTTTTCTGTTATCGCAAAACACGGTCACTATATTTTTCATTTAAGGAACGTAAATAGTTTAAAATATAAAATACGATTTCACCTTTGTATTTTACATCCTAGATGTTTCATAACAATAATAGATTCTTTGTTTCTGCCTCTACTTTATGAAAATTTGAATTCATTGGGCAATATAATTTCTACTATTTACTTCTTAATCCTCAAAAACTGTTTCGCCGCATAAGATCACGTTGGGAAATATTGATAATAATAATTATTTCTTTTGAAATTGCTCCTGATGGAGAAGGAATTGAATAGGATATTGTACTACAAAGGGATGTTGTATTTGTTGTTAAATTTTTTTTATTTCATTGTTCTCGGAAAATGCTACATTATCATTATCTTCTACATATGTTTGATTATTTTCTCCACCATTTTTCTTTAAAAGTTTGGCTTCTAATGACCAAGACTGCAATTTTCCACTTGCAAAACATCCATAGATTATACAACCAATTAAGTAAATACCGGCAGCTATATAAAATATAATACGCCACTCATCTGCTGTCTGAAATTTAATAAATACATAGCATCGTATCAATAAATTGTAGTTATAAACTTATTTCGTCTTAGTAATTTATGATTATAATCAGGAAATCTAATCTATCCGTGCAAATTAATATCCTCTGATGATTACAAGAGTACATTTTAGGAAGAAATACACAATTGCTTTAAAATTTATAAATGGAAATTGATATTTTGCAACCGCAACCTTTTTCAATACTTTTCCCCTCACGTTTTGTCAAAGGCATAAAGTTACTACTACTTGAAATTCGAGTATCTAATTCACTAGACGACCTTTAAAAATGGTAACTTTTGAAGGCATGACTATTACCTTTTTATATTTTCTAGGTTGCTATTATACACTACCAAAACAATTTTATGCCCTACAATTGTTTTTAAAAACAACCAACCGTATAGTTGAAGTAATTTGGCATTTTTATTGTCCTAACCTTGGCATTGTTCTTTTAACAGTCTATCAAAAACTTAAAATGTGTTATACGCTATAAGATGGTATTTTTAATGGTTTAATGGTATTATGAATGGAATAATTCTACAATTTACTTACACCATTCTGTACTATCAGTCCAGTTATCGTTGGACTAACCATGCCAGGAATAGTTGCGAAAGTGTTACTGATACCCATTAAAACACTAGCATGGGAAGGCCCAATGTCCAAATAGTTTACCCTTTCAAGAATGAAAACTCTAATTATCATAATAATATTATATATGTACCACTTTAATAGCAGTATTAGCATCTAACAAGGAGGAGTTACAGATACCTTTGAATAAAATCGTAACGGTATTGACAAAACAGTACTGTATGAAAATAAATAAAAATAAAACTAAAATACTGGTATGCAAGGGAAGAAAAAGTAGGGAAAGAGAGATAGGAGACGAAAAATTAGAAGAAGTGGATGATTTTAGGTATCCAGGAAGTCAGCTAAGTCACTTCTATGCTTCCGAACGGTTAATTAGGAATTCGAAAGAGGTTGTTAAAGGTGTATTTTTGGAGCACGGCGCTGTACAGGTGCGAAACATGGAAAGTGGGCGCGGCGGAAAAGAAAAGGTTAGAAGCGTTCGAAATGTGGTGTTATAGACGAATGATAAGGGTACTGTGGATAGAGAAGGTTAGAAATGAAGAGGTAGAAAGAGTAAGAGAACAGAGGACTCTATGGAAGTCAATATGAAATAGGAGAGATAGGTTAGTAAGACACCTTCTCAGGCATGAAGGGCTAGTCAGAGATATATTAGAGGCAGAAACGGAAGTTAGGAGGGGTAGAGGTAGACCTACATTAGATTACTATTCGCAAATAGTTAAGGATGTGGACTGTTCTAGTTTTAAAGAAATGCGAAGATTAGCTCAGGATAGGAAAGAGTGCAACCGTGCAATAACATTTTCGTGTGAATAATTACCCGTAGCCAGACAGGGCGAAGCCTCCTAAGCCTACTGCGAGAGTGAGACATATTGTAGAGCCGACTGCTGACATTAAAAATGCGGCACCAAGCATGAAAACGGTTTGGGAAATAAATGCACCACAGTTAAAAATCTTTCGCACTTGAGTGGTATTCAAATATTTTCTTTTCAAACACATATCTGCCAGAAATCCAGAAAGCATAGTGCATATAGACATGGCTAAATAGGGAAGGGCCGAGAGAGAACCACTTGCTGTGAGATTGAAGTTAAGGACATCTTAAAATAAAAAAGAAATGATCATTTAAGTCCGCATTCTAAATAACTTAATTTTTGTACCGTTCATAAAAGTGGGCAACTGTGTTAAGAGGGTGTTGAATCCCCAATTTTCGCTAAAGTTAGAGCAGGTTATTGCCCAAAACGGCATTGATGTTAATATCTCCTTCCAAGGATGTTTTACTTTTCTGTTGTCCTCGTCATTCTTATTTAATGACTTTGAAATGTAGTCCAATTCCTCTTTACTTATGAATCTATCTTCACTTGGAGACTCAGCAATAAGAAAGCACCAACAGAAAAACCACAATGTTGCAAAAACACCTTTAAAATAGGAAACCTTTGCAACATAAAAAAAAACATTAAAATTGTTTTTGAAATTACCGAATATGTAAAATATGCTTTCCCAACCCAATGTGTCACCAATAACACCACTAAGAGTCAGAGATACTACAGCGCCTACATAACTCCCCGCGAAAGCAAATGTTGCAAGTCGACTTCGTTCCAATGGGGGTGCCCACCTTGCCCAAACGGAATGAATTGAGGGATAAGTAACGCCCTGTAGAAACGAAGAAGAACACTCGGTATTATTTGCTATTGAAAGTATTTAAGCAGCTAGGATACTGCTAATCGTAAATTATATCCTGATGTCGATTACGAATACCAACAATAGCGCCTGGATACTGGATACAAGATACGGATACTATTAGTTGCAAAATTATACTTCATTTACTTTCTCTAGCGATGTGCCCCTTCCAATGTCTTGATGCGCGCTGGCAAAATCGTAGGTAGGGAGAAAAAAGCTCATTATACTCTCGACTCTTGTTCATTAAACATACTTTTTCATACAGTACCTGCCAAAAGTTTACTTCAATCATGAATAGTAGTGCGAGTCGAAAACAATCGTTAAAGCCTTTAATATGTCTTCAAATATAAATAAGCATCTCGTTGATATTTTCAGTAGTAAATGGTACCAATAACAGCACATTTGAGCAATGCAATTTTAGTGGATAAAATGGTAAATTTTTCGGTGCAGTACTGTATGGATTATACGCTCCTCGCCGGTTAAGAGTTTGACCGAGAGTTGTCTCCTTTCTTTTCTGACCTAGTGCTGTTCTTTTCTACTTTGCGCCGGTCAAACTGAATGTTACATCGCTACAGAAATTAAACGAAGTATAACTCTGAATTCCTGTATTCAAATACTTTCACTACATCGTTTAATAGTTTAGGATGTGAAGAAACATACACATAGATTTGTGGAAAGGTAATAAATATCCAAAGGATTCGGATACAGCCGTTGACTAAACAAATGTAATTGGATATTACTCACTCACTCGCATCATGAGTGGGTTAGGTAGGTATTACGAACCAAATGAAATAATTGAATAAGTCGTAAAATAAATTGTAAAATGAAGCAAGAATTACACTTTTTTACTTAACTTTTTATTGCCTTGATAATATTTATCGTCATAGATTATAGTAATAATTATCTCAGTTTTTATCAATAGAAAAGCCAGAGTCGAATTTTTTTGAGATAATGAAAACCTCTGATATTTTTTCACTTATTTTAAATAAAGAAAGCTACTTTCTCTTAAACAATTGTATGCATGTCTCTCTGTTTAGGTAAAATTTGCACAAAGATTGGTTTCTCAAATTAAGTGATGATAATGATGCTGATTCGGGGTTCTCTGTACATTCATTAGAAGAAGCATGACAGGGAAAATGAATTTCTCATTGCTGAACCGTAAAGCTCTAAATCGTTGAGCTTTTTTCGTACAAAAACTACAAAATCTGTCGCCTCTGAGCTTTTACCGCCCTTAGGCCTACACGGTCTATTGACAAATTCATTGACATATTTCGCGGTTATTGTGTTGCGCTATTTTAATTTTCTTATATTTTGGTACTTTCCCAGTCGTATTAGCTGAAGAGGCTTATTTCAGATGGGTACATATTTCGAGGTTGTGTGATCTGCTTACTGCAAATCCTAACCAGTAACTCAGTGAATAAAATAAGGTAATAGTGACTGATTTGATGGTTTAACAAAAAAGCCATTATCCAAAAAAATCTTCAGAAACATTTTCTTATTTTTTTTAACTAAAAATAATATTTCGCTATTGCTTTGTGCGTTTGTTGATGCACTTAGAAGTGGTTTACGTTTGTAAGTATGGGCGTTTATTTTCTTAATTATAGTAATTATATTAAATATAACATTCGTTACTGTGAACAAATCGATAATGTGAACGACTGTTCTTTTTCTCGGTTCACATTATCAAGTTACGATTGTAGTTTTTTCTCTTTCCTGAAATATAAAACACAGCTAATTTTATAATTACCTCAAAAATTCCTTCAATTATCCGTAATGCTAATAAACCAGCGTAACTTTGTTTAGCTACTAAAGGGGTAAACAGTGTAAGAACTGCTGTTGTAAATACCCCGAAACCAAACAACTTTTTACCCCCATAACGTTCGGCAAGTATACCTCCTATTAACTGGGTGGTAATGTATCCCCAAAAGAAAGCACTGAGAAGAACTCCCGTTTGAGACGAATTCCAATCGAATTCTTGTTCCTGAAATATCATATGTCAAATTATTCTGAGTCAGCTTAACCTTAATAGTAGAAAATCTTTTTATTTTTTTCAGTAAGACAGCATGTGTATTTGCTACCCGATATTTGCTTAATATTAATCCAGAAAAAGTTTTTACTAACGTATATTGTGGTTCCATTTTCTAATGTGATCGTTCTATTCTCTACCATTGCTATTATAGCTACACTTAAATTGGACCTTAAAGAATAAATGTTGAAGAATCCAATAAAAGCAAGTATCGATACCACGTATCTTCGTCTTTTCCATATTTTCCACCACGGAAAATCTTTTTCAAGTTTTTCTTCTATAATACTGAAAGAGCGCTTATTGTCATTTTTGGGCTTCATTTTCACAGAACATTTATGCAAATGCTGATTATATTTTGTTGTTTAACAACAAACTCCAATTCATTTTCTTAATTTTAATAAACGGTGCTATTCATCACGAGGGGATGAACCTAAATGACAGCTTTACTAAGTAGTTAATTCCGTTATCGTCAAATAATTTAATATTGAAGTACACATAATACGTTCGTTAATAAATTATTGTTTTTTATTTTTTGAATGTCAACATATTCCAAAAATTGCTATATGACACATAAGGGCTTTGAATTAATTCTAAATAGTAAGTGCTTGTACTTGCCACAGAAAAATATTTATATATCTACGAAAGCTTTACTATTAAAAGCTCACTGTTACCTTTAAAACTAATTTGTCATTATAAGTACATAATTTATTGATTTAATTAGTACAAAGACTTACATATAATTGAATAAAAATATTATTTATCTATAGAATACAGATTCTTTGTCATTTATTATAGTCAAGGAATTGAAAAAAGTAATTAAAACTTATTTGTTAGAAAAGTTAAAGTAAAGAAACGGGCTGGAACTTTATGATGAAAAATCAATAAAAATGTGCATGCACAATAAATAAAAAACTGTAAATTATTTTCCTTTCATAACAGAAACAAATTTTAGTAAGAAAACACAAAAAGTTAACAGATATATTTATAACTAAATACAATTTATTGCCATTTAGTTTTAACATTCATTGAAAATTTGATTTTTGTTTCTTCAAAAGAATTAGCGGATTATGAAAATTACGTTTAAAAAATTTAATTTATGGAAAAATATGAAGTAAGTACATACCCCTTGTCGTGACTGAATTTTGGTGTTCCTTCTAAATCTGCCATATTTATTAGTTATTGCATTTATTGTTCTTAGTCTGATTATATTATAAAGAGCAGCAGGTGCACTAGAGCGTATTATTTATAACGAGAAGCCTGCATTCACTAACTTCAATATGTTGTTATTAAAACGAAAGGTAAAACACTATTTTTTAAAAATAATATCGACAAAGGGTAATATAAATGAGCGATAAAGAATGTAATTATATGATAGTAATCTAGAATTATTTAGAATTGGGATTAAGATATCGAGAGAATTATTATAGGAAGTAATTTATGTCTCAAATGTATGTATAATACACCGCATTTTCACCAACAGAAATTATTATAATATTCAGGAATTCGCAGTATACGTATGAATATCATATAATAATAACTCTTTTAATTTCGAGATTTAACTAAAATATCAATGAGTGATAAATTCAATAAAAAAAAATATTTTAAACAGTTAGGGGTCGTTCGCAAAAAATGCAGTTACGTTCTTATTTTTTATTGGTTTAGATACCAATCTTTTGTTTTTATTTGTACAGACAAGCATTCAATTTTTTTACTAATCTTCATAAACAATTCAATAAATTAATACTATACATTCACTTAAATTTGAGAAAATTACTCTGTTATTGTTTTTGTTCATGTTTCGGATACGTATCCTTGATTTTCCACTCCTTTAGTTTTTTTGGAAGAGGGATTCAAAGTTTGTGACTCCCATGCCCATGGTTGCAACTCTGAGGACGCAAAGAACCCATAAATTATACTCCCGAAAAGGTAAACTCCGCCCGCTATGTAGAACACATTACGCCATTCTGACGGACTCTAAAAAGAATTTAATCAGTTGAATCACGTCGCTAAAATATACGATAGAAATAAAAAACAAACGTGGAAGTTTTAAAAGTGTGCTATTTTTTATTATAACTCTCTTGCTTGAAAATATTTTATAGATACGTTTAAATCTTATCTGTTTATAGGTCAATATTATACCAAGTTGGCATAAAATGTAAATGCAATAAGCAAACTTAGCAATAAAAATTATGTAAAGTGATGTTTATTTATTGACCGGCTGTAAACATTTCAGACTTTTCACGTATATCTTCAAAAATCGACACGGTTTAGAACATGAGTATCTGCGTTTTCTAATTCATCATGAGTTTCAGAAAATACCACAAAAGTACGATGCTAATGAGATCCAAAAAGATCCAAATCGCGATTCGCGTCTGTCAGTGTAGCATCGTACTACAGATGGCGTTTACCGCGCCATTTGTGGTATTTTCTAAAACGCGCTGTTAAGACAGCAGGTAAAAATTGGTCTGTAATGTAGCATCGTACTACAGATGGCGTTTACCGCGCCATTTGTGGTATTTTCTAAAACGCGCTGTTAAGACAGCAGGTAAAAGTTGGTCTGTGTTCTGTCGGAGCTGTCTGCGGCGCGCTGATGAGATCCAAAAAGATCGAAATAGGGATCCGCGTCTGGCAGTTTCAACAGAATACAGACCACTTCTAATTATTTTATTCCAGTAAGGCTACTTTCACACAATGCGATAACGACACGATTTACTGCACACAGTTTGTCGTATCGTGTCGTTATCGCACTGTGAAAGTGGCCTAAGATCTATTTCTAAATACTTACGCCGTCAACTACTAAAAACCCAGTTAAAGCAGGACTTATGATCCCAGGAACTGTAGCAAAGGTATTTCCAATGCCCATTATTACACTTGCATGTGCAGGTCCCACATCTAAATAATTAATACTGAAACAGAATAAATAATTAACTGGTCTTTAAACTAGCATTTACTCATTTATGCAGCGTATAATTTTCTTTCAATTTTCCTACTCAAAATTTTGATTGGTTAGTACACTCTACAAACCTGAATCCTGACCACGCGAATCCTCCAAGACCTACTGCTAATGTCAAACATATACTGGATACAACTGGTGACAACAGAAATCCAGCACATAACATAAAAACTGTTTGGGCAAGGAAGGCACCGCAATTAAACAACTTCCTTACTTGCGTTGTTGTTAGATATTTCCTTTCAAGGCACATATCAGCCAAATAACCAGAAATAAGCGTAAAAATGGACATGGCCAAGTAAGGGAGTGCAGACATAACACCACTTGATGCCAAATCAAAATGTAAGGCCTCTGAAATCGAAAAAGTCACCAAAATTTTATAATAAAGATAAATATATTCTAGTTGCATTTAATACCTTTCATGAATTTCGGCAATTGTGTGAGAAGGGTATAAAATCCCCAATTTTCACTAAAATGGGATACAATAATAGCCCAAACTGGTGCAGACGAGAGTATATCTTTCCAAGGGTGCTTTACGTTATTTTGATTTCTATCCCCTAGAGCTTTAAGAATGTACTTTAGTTCTTTTTTACTTATATGCGGATCTTCACTGGGAGACTCGGCTACAATAAACCACCACGCCAAAAACCATATCACAGCAATAACACCTGAAACCAAAACCAATTTATCTAACAGTGATACAGGTCAGGAGTATGCTTAAAATTGAAGTTAAATAGAAAAGATCATTAAAGAAAGGGCAGTACCAGCAATATTTTACTTGTTTCTTACCAAATACGTAAAAAATGCTTTCCCAACCAAACGCATTCGCTAAAAGTGCCCCTGTGGTCATCGCAATTACTGTTCCCACATAACTTCCAGCAAATGCTATCGTGGCAAGGCGACTTCTCTCCAATGGTGGAGCCCATCTGGCCCAAACTGCATGTATACAAGGATATGTAACTCCCTAAAATAATAATACCATATTAATGACGATCAGAATTAATTTATATTAAAAATATAACATTACTTCAAACACTCCCTCAACAATTCGAACAGCCAACAAAACTTCATAACTTAGTTTGGCTAATAATGGAGTTAATAGTGTAAGGATTGCTGTTACAAGTAGTCCAAGACCGAAAACCTTTTTGCCTCCAACTTTTGCCCCTATGAATCCACCAACAAATTGAGTCGTAATATATCCGAAGAAGAAGGAACTAAGTAAAAGTCCTGTTTGTTTCGAATTCCAGTCGAATTCTGGCTTCTATAACAAGAATTTTAAAAAGGAAATAAAAACTGCTAAAAAAACATGGAATGGATTCATTTTTGTTTAGCAGTTACAAAAATATTTTTGAAAATTTATTCGAAAGAAAACATACTTTTTGTTATTATTTCTTGATCAGTAAAATGATAAGCTTGCTGGATTAGCTTCCGTTATTTGCTATTACAAGTAATGTCAACAAAATTTTATCTTTCTTTTATGGAGATTTCTATCAAATTTAGTTGATGTTTACGACAGACTGCTGACAAAGCTTAGCATTTATTACTGCAATATATAAAATGACGGAAAACAAAAAATGAGAAGGGAGACTAAATGTAGAAAGATGTGGGAAGAAGCGATAGAAAGAATAGTAAAATATGAGGAGAGATTGGAGAGGCTGAAAATGGGGTATCAGAGAGGAAATCTGGAGGAAGAAGGTATTGGAAATAGGGACAAAAACTAGATTTGATAAAGAAAGGAGAAGGCTTTCATGAGCTTAAAAATTAACCAGGGACCCGTGAGGGAGTGAGTTAGGAAGGAGATCAATGTAGGGGAATTGGATGATAAGGGGAAACGATCTATGAAAAATAGAAAAGTCGCCATATGCGATGAGGCTAAGGAAGATTTTTTGGTAGGACTGACAAGGGTATTGAATGCCAAGGAATTTAAAAGGCGGAAGGAAAAACGTGCTAGCAAGATTTAGGACAGGGAAACAGTGTAGGGGATGTAAATATTGGAAGAAAGAATAGGACAGGTGGTGTAGGTTATAGGATTTGGGATAGGGAAGGGGAGGTAAAATATCTGAAATATGTGTTAGGAGAATGTGAGAATAGTAGAATTTGGAATTTTTGTTACTGTCTAGTCTAGTGAAATAGTTAAACAATCTTTTCTATTTCTATGTATAATACGTATGAATATACAAACTATCGATTACTAACTCACATATATTGTTGTACCATTTTCTAATATAACAGACTTATTTTCTGTCATTGCCACAACTGCTATACTCAAATTCACTCTAAGGGTGTAAATATTACAAAATCCTAAGAATGCCAAACATGCCACCAAATAGCGTCTCCTTTTCCAAATCTTCCACCATGGTATTTTTTCCTCATTTTCATCTTCTTCGTCCAACCTACAGACAATAAAAGACTATATCTACAATTGTTTATAAACATATAAACAAAACTTTAATTTCAGTTTATTCTGAAGAAATATTAATATCTACCTTATTTCTAGTAGTCTCTTATCAGCCTTAATTTTAAAATGTATATCTTTCTAATTGTAAAATAAAACTTGTTAGCCACTAATTTGTTAGACAATTTGCTCTAATTGTCTTTAACTGTAACCGCTGATTATTTAATAAGTCATGTTTTACCTTTTCAATTAACAAATTTCAAACGATAAATGACCTTCAATGTAAGGAATAACATTACCAAATTATTCGTTGTTTTTCACTATAATTAGCGTATCTTCAAATAAGTTCGATGTAGTTCGTACAGCAGGTAATTATTGAACTGATTCGTTATTTGAACTTTTATTTTACATTGTTCGAAAATATCCTTAAAATGATATTTTATGCAGTGATTTTTTTAATAGCTTCGATTGTTATTATTTTTAATACATGCCCTAATTGTGTTTAGATATTTGTGATAGGGGATTAGGTGGTTTTGAAACGAGAAAAACTTTGTAAATGACCCATTACCTTACAACACAATTAACTGGGACCTTTCTCTGCAACATTACTATAATAAACTAATAATAACAACAGACAAGCATCACGTTTTTGTCATAAATTATAATTTTTACGGAAAAAAAATACTAATTTTATAATTAAATAAAGTAGGTATAACAATATAACGGATATAACAGTATTTTAAAAGACATAACACCACTTGATGCCAAATCAAAATGTAAGGCCTCTGAAATCGAAAAAGTCACCAAAATTTTATAATAAAGATAAATATATTCTAGTTGCATTTAATACCTTTCATGAATTTCGGCAATTGTGTGAGAAGGGTATAAAATCCCCAATTTTCACTAAAATGGGATACAATAATAGCCCAAACTGGTGCAGACGAGAGTATATCTTTCCAAGGGTGCTTTACGTTATTTTGATTTCTATCCCCTAGAGCTTTAAGAATGTACTTTAGTTCTTTTTTACTTATATGCGGATCTTCACTGGGAGACTCGGCTACAATAAACCACCACGCCAAAAACCATATCACAGCAATAACACCTGAAACCAAAACCAATTTATCTAACAGTGATACAGGTCAGGAGTATGCTTAAAATTGAAGTTAAATAGAAAAGATCATTAAAGAAAGGGCAGTACCAGCAATATTTTACTTGTTTCTTACCAAATACGTAAAAAATGCTTTCCCAACCAAACGCATTCGCTAAAAGTGCCCCTGTGGTCATCGCAATTACTGTTCCCACATAACTTCCAGCAAATGCTATCGTGGCAAGGCGACTTCTCTCCAATGGTGGAGCCCATCTGGCCCAAACTGCATGTATACAAGGATATGTAACTCCCTAAAATAATAATACCATATTAATGACGATCAGAATTAATTTATATTAAAAATATAACATTACTTCAAACACTCCCTCAACAATTCGAACAGCCAACAAAACTTCATAACTTAGTTTGGCTAATAATGGGGTTAATAGTGTAAGGATTGCTGTTACAAGCAATCCAAGACCGAAAACCTTTTTGCCTCCAACTTTTGCCCCTATGAATCCACCAACAAATTGAGTCGTAATATATCCGAAGAAGAAGGAACTAAGTAAAAGTCCTGTTTGTTTCGAATTCCAGTCGAATTCTGGCTTCTATAACAAGAATTTTAAAAAGGAAATAAAAACTGCTAAAAAAACATGGAATGGATTCATTTTTGTTTAGCAGTTACAAAAATATTTTTGAANCTGTAAATGGTTATTTTGAGGAGCTTGACGAATCAGTCTATAGAGATGGCATTAATAGACTGGAACACCGCTATGAGAAATGTATCAGCCTTGGAGGAGATTATGTTGAGAAATAAAAAAAAAAAATTTTTAAAAACCTTGTTTTTCTTGGTCAGGCCGGAAACTTATCAATCCACCCTCGTACATACCACATTTTGTTCTTGATGGTCAATTTATTTGATCGTGTAAACAAATTACAATTTGACCAATTGTTGTATGGTTTTATTATTATCATTAACAATTATTGTAAGTAATACGGAATAAGTTCCTGAACTTCAGAACCTCATATTCCCATATTGCCGAATTGTTTCCCTTCTACATTTAATAAGTCAAAAAATTCTTGGCTATCATTTGCTTATCGCTTATTTACTTGACGATTTTGATACAGTTTTATGGTTGATAACATTTTTCGTCCCTTCGTAACCTATTATTGTTACTCCGGAAAAAACCGACTTACATCATGCACACCGTTTTCCTCATACTACTTATTAGGATAATAATGTACTTATGAGTAGCTTAATGTTGAAATTACGGTTTACTACATACCTACGTATAATCCCTATTATTCTTACATACTATTGTTTGATCCGATTAATGATAACAACCGCAGATTAAGTTCAGAATAATAAATACATGTTATGCACATTGTATATGCATACATACATTTATTAACCGTGATAAATTATATTAAAGAAAGGGAACGTTTTAGAACTCGGTTATAGCGAACACCGGCTGTAGTGAGTAATATTCAATAAAAACTTCGTAATAAATGCTGCAGTAATCCCTATTTCTACATAATTTAATACTTATCCTCTGTTGCTTGTGATAACCCATATTTTAGGATTATACAGTTAATGTTTATAAAGAAATAAAGATTAAATACAGCCATAGCAACAATTAAAAATGACTTTTTCGATGTTTATATATCTTTTATGGAATTTAATAGTATACCAGTTTAATATTTATAGTTTATTTATTTTTTTAAATCCTTGTTTCGTCATTTCTTTTATAAGCTAAATTGCATTCGCATATTTGTAATACAATATGAATGAAAAAGGTCAAAACTATTGCGTATTAATGTAAACTACATATTTGTAAAAGAGCGAAGGTAAATTTTAAATAGTTTAAATGAAAAAGATATACCAAAGTTGTTCGTTTTAGGAAGTCCAGTGTTTAGTAAATTGAACTTCTTCGATTTCAGTCATTCTTAAAACTCATTCCACTTTTCTACAGCTTTAAAATATCATTTGTAAAATATATTAAACAATACCACTCTATTAAAAAAATATTAGTAGAAGCAGGTTATCAAGAAAACCCATACACAATAAAAATATTTTTCGGTATTACAGCTATCACGTGATAATGTTTAATTTAAAAAAGTTAATACCTATAATAATGTTATCGATTTTTTTGTTTTCAGTCTATTAATGGAATTCAATTGTGGTTTACCTGTAAAAGCGTCTAACAGATAACATCTTTAGCACAATAACAATAAGAACTATCAACAAAAACTAATAACTATCATTGTGCATTTTCTTGATTTCATTGCATATTTAAGGAACTATTTCTTGCTAATTATATAAGGCTACTGACAACAGAAATGTTATAAATATACAATCTCTACAAATTTATTTTTTATCACAGACCATATGCCAAGTAACAGGCTCAACAAGTACAATGTATAATTTAAAGGGAAAGTGACATGTAGAGGTACAGTATGGGACACATAAATTAGACTTTCCACTAAAACTTGTACCAAACTTTTTACTTTCAATTTTTGGAAAATAACCTTTCATTTATCTGCAGAAATTAAGTATGCATTTAGAATTTGCTTATCAATCTGGCATACGATTTGATAAAGGGTACCTTTTTTCGGAAATAGCAAAAGAGTTGTCAGGATGACTATGTTGTGTCCGTTCCCTGGTTTCTGATGGCATTATCACTGCACATTGACTATTAAATTAATACGTGTACACAACAAAACATCAAAATGACAACTAACTACGAACAACATTCAACTGTGCCATTAGCTGTAGCAATATTTGATACGCTTTCACACGTTCTTTCTGCTGCTACAGGTGAACATTCGAAGTCATAACAGTATTTCGTGTAAACTCTACAATAAATGCACTTGCTTCGTGGAGAAAAAAAGCACGTACCTATTAAACTAAAAATTGCAAACAGACAACAAAGACAATTCAATAAAATTTACTTCTTAAAATGGAAGAGAATGCACTCTGTTGTAACTTATTAATGGTAGATAAGAGTACTAAGCTGAATTGAGTCATATCCACTATAAAAAAAAAATAATTTTCCAAGATATTTTTTGAAAAATTAATTCAAAACTTCTGTAAATCTGTAGAATGTGAAACAATTGTATTAACAATTTCTTTAGTGAAGTAAAACAATCGATCTGCGATAAAAATTTATATAAAATAAAAGTTTGGAGATAATTGAAAATTCAAACATTCATTAAAGTTCTCTTTATTAATAACATTCGTAAATAAAAAATTTGACAAAAAAATAAGTTATTTTCAAACTTCTTTTTAGTTATTATTTTAGTTGTTATTCTAAAATGTATCTCTTTTAAATAAAAATAAAAAATTGAAAAGAAGCAACCGTAATACTTATCTATACACAAACAGTTAGTGCTAGATTTTCATTATCATATGTTCATGCAAAAAACCATACTCCATCATCAGTAGCACATATACCTACTTATAATCAGTTAGTAGGTGGATTTGATTATTTATGATTGACCTATATACATAAAAATAGTATTTCATATACAGCTCGGATTTTTAATTAATATACTCAAATAAAATTTATATCAGTAAAACATTTTATTTAAATTGCTTTTATTTCATTTGTTTGGTTAATTTATTTCTCTGTCTATTGCAAATCTATCAAGTCAATTTGAACCAATTCTCATTACGAGAATAGGTTATAGTCTTTTAATTATCTAATACTAATTTAAAAATAATTTAATATAAGTAAATAGATATAAACTAAGAACACGATGGGGAAAACTAGAGCCCAAACCCAAAGATCTTTTATAGAGGAAAGGAGAAAAATAAAGAGTGAAAGAATAAGGGAGTATTGTGTGGGGATCAATGCCCAGATTTAGTTGAAATCGAATTTGCATGATCCATGAATATCCCAAAGGAAAGAAAATGAAATAAATTTGACGTCAAGATTTAATTATTGCTAGATTACCCGCTGGTATTGTTGTTTATATGGTTGCTTAAGCAAGCGCCTTATTCATTTTGTATTTATTACTAATATTACCTTACGATTAGGTAATCAACAATTTACTTCAGTTATTCAGAAAAGCAAAGCGCTTCACTGATTAATCAGTATTGTTGCCACGTCATAAGTTTACACTGAAGTAACTTTTCCAGATTTCCCAACCGACTTGGGACATACGCATCGGAATCTAAACAACTGATTGTGTGACAAATATTAGTTATTCTTTTAGGTACATATACTCACCAATAAAATTATTTTCTATAATAAAAAAATATTTTCACACAAAAAATACTTTGTGATCAACAACGTATAATTGTGAATCTACCCCAAAAAAATTTAATAATAATTTAAACATAGAAAAGCGCTCGTAAAATTATTTGGAGATCTGGCTAAAGATAATTATATAAGAATGATACGTAGAATCTCACAGTGTCAATGGTTTTCGAGTACCACCCCAAATGAGTACACTCCAGCATTATCTCAACTAAACTTTACAAAATAATGTAAACATAAAAAAGCGCTCGTAAAATTATTCGGATGTGGAAGATATTTACTGAGCTTTAAGAAATGATAATTATGTAAAAAAGTACGTAGAATCTCATGGTGCCAATAGTTTTCGAGTGCGATGTCAAATAGGTACTTTGCGGCATTATTTTCCCTAAAGTTTATAAAATAATTTGAACTTACAATAGCGCTCGTAAAATTATTCGAAGATGGAAGATATTTACTAAGCTTTAAGAAATGATAATACTATAAAAAGGTACGTGGAATCTCCTATTTTCAATGGTTTCTAAGTGCATTACCTAATTAGTACTTTTCAACATTATCTCTACTAAACTGTACAAAATAATTTAAACATAAAAAAGCGCTAGTAAAATTATTTGGATGTGGAAGATATTTACTAAGCTTTAAGAAATGATAATACTATAAAAAGGTACGTGGAATCTCATGGTTTTAATGGTTTTCCAGTGCGGTGCTAAATATATTCTTTACGGCATTATTTTTCCTGAAATATAAGAAATAATTTAAACATAAGTTAGTTAGAGATGGAAGGTATTTATTAGGAATTGAGAAAGAATAATTATGTAAAAAAGTACGTAGAATTTCATAGTGCAAGTTGTTTAATTAAAAAGTTATTGGGAGTATTACGAGCATTAAAAAAAATAGCAAAATTGATTCAACCGGTTCCCAACGAACAGCATTTAATTTTTAGTTGTATAAATTTGAGACGCACTACGTTTTGTTCAATTATTATAAATTTTCAGTAATATGTACGTTTTTCTGAAATATGTACGGTTTTGTACATATGTAATGTAATTTTAAGACAGGTAAATTAATAAAGCAAGTAATTATTATTTGCTTTCTAACATTGGAATATGAATGACAAGGACTTTAACTACAACCCAAGGTACCTCATGCATTCATTAAATATATAGACTTAGTATTGTTAAGAACAAAGAACTCGATTTTACTGTTAACCTTGTCTATACTTTAAACTACTGAGTTAATCGACATCGAGAATAGTTTTTATCTTTTTATTCCTTTTGCGGAAAAGCCGATGAGAATTTATGGTTTAAATTTCGAACTAAATACAGATTTTATAACAATTTTACAATAAAATAGATAAAGAATTACTAATTTACACATTTTCTATTTTTTTGGAAAAATACAAATTTTTCATTAAGTTAAATATTAAAGAGGTAATCAAAGCTTATAGCCTTGGAAAACCCTAAGAATCTTAGTCGAAGCGTTGGTCAGTTGGTTTTAACTTAATAATAAACTTTTGTTCGTCCCATTCTAGTTATGAAGAATAATCACCATCAATTAAGTAGATGTATTTACACTAAAATGTGAACGAATAATAGGTTTAAAATTTATCTTATTATAACATAAATTTTGATTGCAATAAATGCCTGATGAGTGTCATTTCACATAAGGCATGCCATTGCACCGTAACTGAATCTCATCACTTTGTTATTAGTTGCATATTTGCTTAAAAACGCGGCCATAGGGTTAATGGTACCTTGACATATCGTAACTGAAAAAAATCCTTTCACTTCTTAGCTTCTTAGCTTCTCTGCATCAGCATCGCAGTTACCGAAACGCATTACAATGTAAAAGTAGAATTTTTAATTATAAATTCAGAGTCGAATTTAGGAAAACTTTGGATAATACAACTGAAAATCAAGGAAAGTCCATCAAAATTTCATATATAACTAAGCCTGCTTTGAAATTTAGGTTTATGATATTATAAAATAATATAAGAATAATAATATGGCTTACTAACATACTCAATTTTATATCAAAATTTTCACGTAAAAGTGGTATTTTTTGGTCCGATCTAATAAAGTAGAAGTTAATTTTTCACATGAAAATTTTGTGACATACTTTGCATTTAACATTGCGAATGAAATATTATCTAATTACGGTACTGTTTCAATTGTATAGAAAAGAATCCTACTGCAACTAGTAACAAATAAGTACGTTTATATCTGAGTACAGTTAGTTGACCATGACAAAATGGCGTTAATAAATTTTGTAATATCTGAGTCGACCTCGTAAGAACTCCCAACCTACCAGTAAAATTATTACAATTACGATTCTCAACAATTAATTTGGTTATTATATATACAGAGTGTTACATTGTATTACCAAACCAAAAATTAAAATTTGACAAATCTCACTCTTAAAATTGTTTAGCTTACCCCAAACGTATTTTTCTCGATATTTTATTTTAAATACTGAGAAATGGAAATCGCTCACCGATGTAAAAAGAACTTTTTCACTTTCATTTATTTATAAATTGTACCTACGAATATTGCAGCTTGCAGCATTAAAATGAAATACACAAACATATAGGGGATTTCGAGATGAGCTTGATAAAAAAATGTGCCTCATTAATAATATAAAATTCAATAATAATCGCAAAATATTAGTTTATTGTGACATTTGTGAAGTTTTCAAAACGCTATGAAAACCTTTAAAGTTGAATCTTGAAATTTTGGATAAATTACTCATACATTATGAATCGATGCTTGCTTCTTCAAGTGTTATTTTCATGAAAAAAATTGCTATTAGGTAATAATTATATGACCTTTTTTAAGGTTACTGAATTAATAACATTTAATCAGGTAGGAATTAATAATATTTGAACATGCGGTATTTATAGTCATCACTCGTTTGAAAAGGAAATAGAAAATTCTATCGAACCATAAAGAAAAACCAAAAACGAATGATGTGCTGTACCCTTTAATACAAATAGTATTTATTTGTGGGAACATCTAAAAACTGTGTTATTCTCATTTAACATTAAGAAAAATATCTTTCAAACTAAAATAAGTTTATTAAACATAAAAATTTATAAAATAGTTTTTTAAAGAAGATTTTTTTCTTTATGTTGCAATAAAATAAATGAAAAGTTTTAGACAAATAAATAAAACTACATACATGCAAGAAAATGTTTTGAGAAAACTTTTTTAAAAATTCTCTGGTATTTGCAAATCACCTTATTTGAAACTGTTGAACGCAGTAGATATCTAATTATTGTAGAAACTGTTATTTTGGTACATGTTCTACGGAACTACAGTATCAATAAGATTAAGAAAAAAGTAAAAATTCTTCTTTTAACGTATGTAAGAATTTCGTAAATCCAAGCATCTAATATAAAAATGTGTGTACTTAAATAACACCTGTTGCGTGGTCCCCTCAGCGTCCCCTCTATACACCGTTTGCACACATAGATACAGATACGCACATAAATTATTGAAATTGAAAGTAAAAGAAGTATTTGTGTTATAACAAATTTTGCTTTCAACGTCAAAACGACTCATTGCCAGTGCTTGTCGGCGAACGAAGTAATTTATCCAGTAAGTACAACATTTTCAATTAGGTACAAAAGTACATTTCACAGAATAATCAAAATCTACAAAAAAAAATTCTTACTCAGCCAATTTAATGCTTTGTTCTTAAGTACCTATATTTGTTACGGTAAATTAAGTATTAATTTTAGTTAAATAGCAAAAGGAAATTGTTTGTGCATAAGATCTAATCAATTAGTAAGTTTTTGGGGTAGTCAATTCTTACAATTTAGTGTCAATTAAATCTACAAATAGATGTTTGGACTTGTAGACCAACCATTAACATCAGATTCGTATTTATCTTGTAGGTGGAAATAAAAATAACACATGCTTTAATTTGAATACTTACAATTTATTTTTATACGCCCAGCTGAACCAATTAATTTTGTTAATAATTCTAAATGACAATTTAATTTTTTTGTTAATAAGTATTATAACAATGATAATTACACTATTGTAATGAAATATCGTTGTTTTTTAATCCTATGATGCAAATTTAAATAAATACAAAAAACTAGTAATAAGCTTAATGAGATATGGTATTAATTAAAAGTGATTTTCTAATAAATGAACAGAGAAAAGCATCACAGTTTTTTTAAGAGTTAATAAAAGGTAGTAATGTCATAGTAATACACGTGTTTAATGTATGTAAATTAATTTTAGTAAAATCTTAAAACAAGTTTGTCGACATATCATTTAAGAATTATTTCCGAATAGGTAAAGCGTAATGCAAAAGATCAAGTAAAACTATAGGTAGTTCTTTATCTTTTAAATATTTACATACTAATCAAACTTCATGCAACATTTTAAAAATTTTAATTAATAATTATTAGCATAATATTAAATAAAGAAATAGAACCGATTTAAACTATGAAACACCAATCAATACAAATGAGGTATTATGATGAATTACACGATTATTTTATAAGATAAATACATCAAAATGTTATTTGGCATTTATAATAATTAAAAGTTTCATTTGATATGTTTATCGATTTATTAAAATTAAAAAATTATTTTATTTTTATACCACCTTTCAGTTTTTCACTGATACTTTATATTGTTTATGTTTTTTTTGTTTTTGAGATATTAATTGAAATGTTTTTAAGTAGGAATGAATTCCATTACACTATCGGTTCTTGTCATTATGGCGATCGCGTCAATTAATGCACATCCCGGGGGAGCGCCCCCGGAAACGTGTGAAGATATGGTCCCTAAACACGGTGTAGAACCCCAAAAATCAAAGTTTCCATATACCGTTGAAGTGAGTAAACCAACAATTACAAGGGGAGATACAATAGATATCACAATATCTGGTGATAAGGAATTCAAAGGCTACCTTTTGCAAGTAAGAGATAATAAAAATAAAGCAGTCGGAACTTTCATAATCCCGGATACAGACCAACTCTCAAAAGTTCTCACTTGTCATGGAAACAAAAATGTAAGCAATTAGTTAAGAATTGTTTTTTTTTAAGAATAGCTTCTGCTTTTGAAAAATTGGAAAGCAATTTAACAAATGATAATGCAGCCTAACTGAAATTAAAAAAAAGTTGTAATATACTTTAAATATTATAAAACTCGTAATAAACTATTAATATCAACAACAATAAAAATATATTTATAGGTACTGCTAGGGATTTATCAGTTAAATTTTTAAAAAATATTGCATAGGTATTTAAAAAAAACATTCGCAGCAGCAGAAGTCGTAAAGCTATAATATTTTCAATTAAAAGTTAATTATTCTCACTTGAAATAATAGGATAATTAGAAGAATTCATTGACGTAATTTCCGCAATACGCAACTTTATGATAATTTTTTAACGTAAGTTACATCGTCAACGACACGATCATTTTAAATTTTGTTTATTATGTATTAATAAAAGTATATTAGATGTTAAAATGGTAAATAACAAACACCATAAAGAAAAAAAACACCAAAATAAATTAGAATGAATTTAGTACGTCTTCTAGTTAAGCAGCTTAGATGCTTGTAGAAAGTCTTACTTTATACTTTTATTTATTTTAATGTAATATTTGTCACAAAAAATTTAAAAAAATACGCTAAGTATGTGTTTTATATATGAAGCACAATACTATTGGCTTTTCAGAGTTCCGCCACGCACAAAAACACAAAAGCTAAAAAGAATTTAACCTTGAAGTGGAAATCGCCGCAAGTAAAAGGACCTCTTACCATTTTGTAAGTACTTAAGCAAAAAATTGCAGTTTTTTAATCACTGTAATTGTTTGCCCACATTGCATGTTTATTATGTATTTTTTTAGCGCAACTGTTGCGGAGAATGGTGGTGTGTTTTGGGCACATGAGCCGACAGCAGAAATAAATGTTGTTTAAAAACGGAGAACAGACTTTCACATTGGATAATATTTATCTGACAAATTAGAAATAATTTTTATTAAGCAAAAAAATAATTAATGCCAAATTTCACTTACTCTACTTGTTTTTGGATGTTTAAACCTTTTTTCGCTATTTTTAATAATTATTATTTGAAATAAAATTTAAATGTATTTAATGTGTTATGTTAATATCGTTTTAATGAAAAAGTTTTATTAAAGGTAATGACCATAATCAATGACCAAGTTTGAGCATATGACTAAGCATTATTATAAGAATTAATGTTAATTAATACCAAAATGTTAAAGCACTTAAGCACTCAAAGTTGGACTAATTTTAAGTATTTCTTTTAAGTGAAATACATAATTTAAAAAATTAAATTGCGCCTGATCAATAAACGTAGAGCAAAAAATGTTTAACATTTTATTAACAGATAAGCGCTAGTACTCCTGAGCTTCACAAAAAAGATATTAAATTTTGCATATAAATATTTATAAACTAGCCGATTCCCGCATTTTTGCCCGCTAAGACAGAACTAGGAAGGATCATATCAGTTATGCAAATGGTGCGCGTATGTCGCTTACTTTACGATGAGGCGGAAGTAGAAGTTTTCTCCCTCACCAGTTGAAGCGCACTGCGTTGTTTACTCTTCTTCTCGGTAGTAATATGCATAGTTGCAGCTACTGAGGTCGTTAAGGTCATTGTTGTTATCCATATGTGTATAAAACTTTTAATAAGTTGATATTAAATAATTTATACTGAAAATAAAGACCTGAAGTCTAAAGAATAAAATTAAAAAAATTTGATCAAAATATACCCAGTAGCTTTTGGAAGATGTGCGCATATTGACGAGCTACCGCTTTATTGTACGAATAAAAATACACAATAAGGGTGTATTATATGTATAATAAACTTTATTGAACATAAAAGTATATACATATGCATTTAGGTATTTATAATTTCATCAATTTTAATTCAAACTACTTTGGAAACAGAAATTGCAGCTTTACAACCAAATTTAATTAATGCAGAAAGAGCTCTATAAAATGGAGCTTGTTCAGCCCCATGATCTAAACCAGTATCGTGATGTTCTTGCTCTTCATTGCGGAACTTTGTTATAGTTTCGAGTAATTCTTTATTTGTATCAGGATCTTCCATCAATGTTCTTAACTGATCATTGTAATGTTCAACAATTACATCCTCCACGGCTACCGTACATGCCATCGCTGCTTTGTCTCCTAATAAGGCAGAACCTAAAATCCCAAAATTACTAGTTTTCATCTATAAAATATTTATAAAGATTCCAGTGTCGATTCTAAAGTATTATTTTAGTTTACCTGCACCAAGAACAAAGCCCGCAACATTCCAAATAGGTGTTAGAGCAGTAGGTCTAACGCGATGTTTGCGAATAAGATTTTCAAAAGTTTCTCTGTGATGCTTTTCTTGGTCCCACATATGCTGAATTAAGGGACCTTTGTCACTGTTTCCGAGTATAAACATTTGTCCAGCATATATCCTATCCGCACCCAACTCACCGGCGTGGTCTACCCTGATTATAGAATCAATTTCGACTTTTGAAGTGTAACATCTCGACAGCAAAAATTTTCGAGTGCTAAACACTGTATCTCTTGAAATAGTTGTTCTTATCATTCTTAATTGTGACCCAAAAAGAACCAAACAAATTTGATTAAACTAAACAAACATAAAAATAGTGATAGTCTTTATGCATTTACATTTATATAATTTATTAAATACAATTAATTATATCAATCAAGCCTAAAAACCCACCCTGACCTTCAAATACAAAACTAACTTAGGTGAATCCCCTAATTCCCTCGTTAAAAACGCTTACCAGTGAGCAGCGAAAATGCAAATTGAACGCACCTTAGATGTATGTGTAAAAGAAATATTATTTGCTATATATGTTTAAACATTACCCATTTAATTACCCATTACATGAAAAAGTTTAAATATCGAAATGCATGAATACATACTGTTTTATATATTTACATAAATTAATTATTTCAGATTTTCAGTTTTCCAAACATACCTAACCTACAATACGTTGTTTCTTTCTTGCATTGAAACGAATTGGAATTTTCGTTTACCTCATAGTGCTAAGTGATAATTTAGTGCTAATAAAATACTATAATTGTCGTATTTTGTTTCCTACCTGGTAATTTGATAATCTTTTCTATATTGAGTTTGTTTTTAGTCGTGAAGGTGTGACATTCTTTTTCAGATTTTGGTCAATCATAGAAATTAACAGAAGTTGAGGTAAAAAAAAGTACTACAAAATGTGTTATTACGAGAAAAAACTCAATACAGCATTACAAAACTTTAAAGAGACTACTGATGGTAAAAAATTAAAGAAAAGAACTTTATTATGTACATAACCTCCTTAACTGACGTGAACCATTATTTTAAGATTTTATCTTCTATGAGGATCCTCCTTCAGTATTTTCGTTGAACAGCGTTTTTTGCGAGAATACCCTCGAGTTTTATAGAGATTATGTGGCAAAAGGAATTCCATTACTATTAAAAGGAGCTTGTCAAAATTGGAATTCAACATTAAAATGGAGTATGGATTATTTCATGTTTGTACTTTTACCATTTTGCTGAAATGAACAAATTTCTGAGAAAAAAAATTGCAGGAAAGCATTACCTGAAAAAATAGTTAGAGTTGATGTTACTCCAAACGGCTTAGCAGATGGGATTGCCACAAGAAATAAAGATGGCAAGGAAGAGGACTTTTTTATGTTACCAGAAGAACAAAAGATGACTATGAAAGAATTTATTGAAAATCTACAAAACCCAAAGTAATCTCAGAGTAAGTAAAGATGCTTTGAATATAAATTAGACTATATTGTCTATTTTTAGAGATAATTATGTTTGTTACATACAAAGTCAGAATTCAAATTTTTATACTGATTATGATGAGCTGCATACTGATATAGATTTAACTGTGGATTGGGCTGACAGGTTATTTGATAAGGTACCAGATGCCATTAATTTTTGGATGGGAGATAGTCGTGCAGTAACTAGTAGTATGTTTATTTTTTTTTCCATGAATAATTACCAGTGTGTATTAATTGAGACACTTTATGTTTTCCTAGTGCATAAAGATCCTTATGAAAATGTATACTTTGTAATTGATGGATACAAGGATTTTATTCTTATTCCTCCAACTGAATTACCCTTTGTACCTTATGAACAATATCCCATTGGACAGTATAAAAATGTGACACCTGCAGGGTATGAAATGGAACCACAATATGAAGATAGTAAAAAAAATATGATCAATTCAGAAATTGATAATAGCCAAGAAAGTAAATGCAAAGGGGATTGCCATATAACAAAGCCAAAAAGGTCAAAAGTTAGTCCTTACAAGACACAGCCATGGGTAGCCATCGATCCACTTAATCCAGACCTCAAAAAATATCCCGAATTTGCGAGAGCTAAAGTTTTACATGCGAGGGTATCTAAAGGAGATTGTTTGTATTTACCACCACTTTGGTTTCATCATGTTAGACAAAGTCATGGTTGTATTGCAATTAACTATTGGTATGATATGGATTATGATATTAAATATTGCTGCTATGAATTACTGAAGGACCTATGTAGTAAGTAATTTGATGTCAATTTTTTTTGTTAATTTACTCGGCACATGAGCCGACAGCAGAAATAAATGTTGTTTAAAAACGGTTNCCCGCCTGTTCGATGCCCTGTTCGCGTACACGTTCTTGCGGTCACGATCCATTACATTCATGCCATTCTGGATCTTGTCCTCCATGCACCGTCCTAATTAAAACCTGGTGCTATGGTCAACATGAACAAAGGGCCACTATACCGTGTCATCAACAAAGTTTTAGTTGCGGCCTGCCTTGTGGGAAACCGATGCCTTGCGGCAGGCACAACTGCATCAAGGTGAGTTAATAATTTATCCAAAAATTAGAATTTAGGAATGTTTTTATAATGTCTCTTAAAATTAAAACACATATTAAACATTAATATTCTACTAAATTGTAATAAAAATGAAAATACTCAAGTAATTAATTTGCCTAAAGAGTCGTGGAAGTTACGGTGTTTATTCCATGCACCAAAACTGATGGGGGGAGATCTTTTGTTATGGTTTCAAAGGCTTTCAAATAGAAAGTATAAGAACTTTGTTTTGAAGGTGGAATAGGCAAGTAAATGAACGTAATAGCAGTTTCACCAGATTGTTGCAAAATAAGTTGGTTTATACTAAAAAAAAATGAAAAGATCTAAAATAAACTAACAAATTTCCTAAAATTATGAAACAGTAAAAGATGAATATGCTTTTACCTTTTCAAATAACTTTCGGTAGCAACCTCATGAATTTCGATAACTGGATTCCAGCCGTTAACTGGAAATATTTTGGCAGAAATCCTTAGCTTATCCAAAAGACACTGCAGTTTATTAATATGAATTTCCAATCGATCGGTGTTAGTATCTGAGCTTGAACTAACTGTGAATGAAGACTGACGTACCTCGTCACACACGCAAATTCTCAACGTCAACTTGCTCCATTTGGGAACCATATTTACTATGCATGCCAACTGCATCATGAATAATGAAGTGTTATCAAAGGCATCTTTTTCATTTGGGTTCAGAAGATTTACAGGCCAGACGTCTATATACCCTTTATTACTATTTCTAAACAATAAAAAAAAAATGGGCAAAGGTCAACATGAAGGAAACTGTGGAGAATGGCAACTTACTTAAAAGCGTCTTTTTGTAATTTGTAAAAGTTTCGACAAAGACACACGTTCTTTTTCAGTCTCAATACATCATCTATCATCTTAACATATTCAGTAGGCTCTAAACCGTTTTCAGGTGGTATTGTGAACATGCAGTTCGAAAAGTTTTGATTCTTATATGGCGATTCTATGCTGTAAAACGTAAATATGGTTTTCTTATAATACTTTTGTTTAAATATTTTCGCTTCAAGCGAAGGTATGTCTAACCTTTCTAAAAAGTCTTTTGGTTCTTCCTTATCTAAAAATCCGAAGACAACAGTGTTGGGTTTCATGGCACCCATACCCGATAAGCGTACGAGGTGTTGAACCCCTTCTCGAACTGTTGGAGCAACCGTTATTTCCGCAAAGGCTTTGACTTTAAGATGATCAATGAGACTAAGCCAATTGGGGTACATTTCCTGGACGGGATCGGGGTCAGTGTGTGGTTCGCCTTTTATAACGTGTCCTAATACATATAAACCCCCTTTTTTGAGATCATTTATAAAATCAATAAGAGGACAAGCACTTCGAGGACTATTCACTAAAAGTAACACTTGGGGCCGCCAAAATTTGACGTGATCTTTACGAGAATCCAGTAGGAGTAGGTATTTCCTTACCTAAAACGATAAAAATGATATCAAATAAAACTGTCTGCATATATAGAGTTTTATAAAATTTCCTTCATACTGTAAAACGTCTCAGAATACTTATTAATGAAATAACATTTAATTTTAAATAAATTTTAACTTAACACAGAACGTTCGCATGTGTTTTACATAGAGATTCTACTTTTACTTACCTGATGGAAAATTAATGCTTGAGAAATGCTACCCCACTGAGCTTCTTTGGACGGAGAAAATAAGTGCAAGAAAACGACCAGCGTAAGGCACAGTAAAATACTGCAAGAAGCATAGATGGGATTGATGACAAACATCATTATAAGCGTACCAATAAGTCCCACCAGAGCTGTATGCCATGTGAAGTACTTGAAAGCTGGTCGAAAATTTGGTGCACTCGCTAATTCTAGACCAAGGCATGCCAAGTTGGTGGCCAAATAGCTAAGCAGAAATAGGACAGAATTCAATTGAGCTATAGCGTTAAGGGAACCTATCAACAAAACACACTGGACTAAAAGCCACGAAACTAGTACCGCTGCAATAGGATTGCTACGCCATGTACCCTTGGGAATAAAGTTTAATAATGGACCTAGAACATAAAATCCAACAATTATTTATTACTGATGCACTACATTGTTTGATGAACAAAAAGCCATATGCAAAATAAAAGTTACCAAATACTTTATCCTTGGCCAAAGCTTCTAATACGCGGGAAGAGCCGATAACGTTACTGAGTGCAGCAGACCATGTAGCAGTTATAAGACCAATGGCGACACTAACAGGCCACACGCATATGCTAGCCATATATAGGTAATTGTTTTGTAATAGGAAACGTTCGCATGTGGCGGCAGTTAACAGTGATAAGCAGATATAAACGACAAACGTAAATCCAGCAGCTGATAATGTCCCAATAGGTATTGATTTACCAGGATTTTTTAATTCACCTAAAAATGATTTGCCCGTTATTACCATTTTATCTATTTGCCACAAAAATGGGCACAATATTTTATGCATGTATTTTATTGATTGTAAACGCCTATTACGTGAAAATTTGAACAATATCACACAAGCATATTCTTCAAAATCAACAGAAAATGTTTTTCTGTATTTTCAAAAATAAGTGGACACATGACCCTGTAACCACCACTAAATACTTTTCAAATACAAAATAGAACTGCTTTACCACTCATGTTGGCTCCTGCCATAATTCCTGTTACCCCCGAAAATAAAACACCAAATACTACAGCAAAAGATGTCCCATCTCCTTTGGAGGTGTAATCCTTACCATAATTTGACCATAAATTATCAGACAGAGTAACAGAACTCAAACCAGTGTAATTTCCATATGTGATATTTTGCACTAATGTATTGGAATCTGGCAAATGAACCTGTTTGAAAATATCTTGATAATCCCAGTAATATGGTATTTAATAAAAATAATGTACTTTTTTAACTGGAATGTTAAAAAAGTATATATATGTATAATACACACCTGCATGGGATACTGAATAAAAAAACTAACAGTAGTTGTTCCTATACATACAATAACAATGATAAGTACCAATACAGTAGTTTTGGCAAACATACTTGCTCCAATAAGGCAAATGAGTAAATTAAGTGTATTTAATATAGTAGAGTATAGAAATCTGTACCAGTAACCATCAGGGATTATTCCTGGACTATCTTTTCCTACCAGTATGCCTTAAAAATATTTTATAGCTATTTGATGGACATAAATAGAAGAATCAATACCTGAAGGGCCTATATTTTGTGTGAGGCCTTCAACACATCCTGAAATGTACAGGGCACTGCTCACAATATTTGCTAGAAAAAACAATGTACCAATTGAACCTCCAAATTCTGGTCCAAGAGTACGACTAATCATGACTGTAATAATTAGTCAAAGAAAATGTTGCTACATATATTGAATGTGGAATACACTTAGATACAAATGATTGTATAAGGATACAATATGCACCACCTCCCTCAACCTCCCCATTTGTAGATATTGCACAAATTGACGTTATTGTAAATATGAGAATAATATATGCAATAACAAACTGTAAAAGTGTTGTCAATAATCCAGCATTTCCCACAATAAAACCTGAAAATTTTGTTGAAGTTATACATAAAAAGAATGCATACTGTGGTAATATTTACCAACTCTCAAGAATATCAGAGCTGAAAACATCGATAAAGTAACAGGGCTGAAAACACCTGCAAATGTTCCAAGAGTTCGAAGATCTGATGCCTCATTAAGACTTCCAAATTCGACATATCCTGAATCATAATGTCTTTCAGTAACTCCCCCAACTAAACTTGACAATCTTTTGAAGACACCACTCCTCATAAGGGGTGTTTTATCATTGTTACCAGGGTTGGTGGATCCTATTTCTGGTGCAAGCATTATTATTTGTTAACAAATTAAAGACAACTAAATAGTGAAATTAGACTTAAACCAAGTACTTATTAATTTTATCAGAAGTAACTATGTTATTTCATTATCATGCTTTGTTTATCAACATAACTAAAATAACTGAAAGTAACTAAAAACTATAAGACTATAGATTTGCCATGTTATTCGTTTATACTGGTTTATACCTTATCTATGGTTTATACACGTAAGTCCATCGTAAGCAATTGTAGAAAAGAACGTCTCGCGTATGATCTAAAGCGGAGTCACGTTAATTTTATATGTTCATAATTTTGATTAACTTCAAAGGTAGAAATATATTAATAAAGGGTAAATTGTAATTTTTATTTATATTAGTGTCATTTTAAATTCCTGTGGTAACAGCTGATAATTATTTATTATTTTAATAAGTAGTTTACTGTTACCACCTCATTCTCTAGTATAATTTATCGCTGTAACCAGGTATGTATTAAGTTATTTAATGATTTCAGGTTTACGAAATTTATTTTTCAGGGAAAAAACCATATTTTGCAATTGCAATTTCTCAAGATAATATGAGTGGCTCTGGTGGTTGCAGTTCATCAAGTAATACTTCTAACAGGAGTACCAGATATGATATTAATTATCCTGACCGTTACAAGGCAGCTGACCATGTTGATAATTCAAACATTCCTGTTTTATCTAGTACATTGACACCTGAAGCTAAGGAGTTCAAACCTAATTCTAATCTTTATTGTAATATTGAAACTTCTGAACCGAGCATTTCAAATGGTGCTGTTAGAAAGAATTACAAAAAGTCTTACTATTATAGCAACCAGAATTATAACAGGAAAAATAAAGGAAAAGACAACAATTATAATGAATACATGTCTAGAGGAAGTGACAGAAAAAAATATCAAAAAAATAGGGAGCAAGACATTAGAGGAAATTTAAGAAATATGAGAGAGGACAGCAGTAATGGGACAGGTAATACTGACTGTTTTGAAAGAATATTTTTGCATTATGTGTTGAAAATGTTTTTTTTAGATTTTGAAAATGACACCAGATACTTTCCAAAATCTAATGATAGCAGTGATTATTACAGGAGTGTAAATAATTATAATAAAAATTATTATAAACAAGCATATCCCAATGAATTTGGAAACAGAAGTTATAGGAGAAACTACAATACGTCTCAAAAAGAAAATTTTAGTAAAAGCTATGGAAAGTATACTAATTCAAAAACAGACCTTGGATCTTATAATATAGTCAGTAAAAAAGAAAATTATCAAGAAATATCAAGTGTAAAGCCAGAAATCAAGCCTAAAAAGTATAATACTAGTGCTAGTAATAGCAGAGCATTTTATTTACAAAAATTAAATAAGAAACGTAAGCATAAATATTTTATTTTTATTGTCTTCCTTTGCATGTAGCAATATAGGGATAATTCATTTACTGTACTTACAACTTGTGAGTTGTCCATTTTAAAGGTCAAAACGGTGATCAGATGGATTCTGCTATTACAAACAATATGCATATATTTTTTCTGAAGAAGTTTAAAAACCTTGAGCAAAACATCAGAATAAAAAGTTATAAATTCAAGATTTGCTTAGTTTTTTATGTACTCAGGGAGGTACTAGATACTTATAACTTATTTTTAAGGTCACAGTTCAAATTATACATTAATTCTTTGTGTGTACCACTAGTTAGACGAAATGTGTTACTTTTTTATGCTCCTCATTTTATTTTACATTGACTTTTACTATTCTTTGTTTCAGTTGATAATGTCTCACAGAGAGAAAGATTGGAAGAATTAATTGTACATTGTCTACTAGAATGTTTAGTTTGTTATGAAAAGCTAAAACATCATGACAAGGTGTGGTCTTGCAAGCAATGTTATCATGTGTTACATTTGAATTGTGTGACAAAATGGGCAGAATCGTCAAAGATGGACTCAGGTTGGCGTTGTCCAGCTTGTCAGAATATTTACTTGCAAATTCCTGAAAAATATGTTTGCTACTGTGGTAAAATAACGGATCCCCCCTATTTACCGGGGCATTTACCTCATAGTTGTGACGAGGTAAGTTGTTTTCTTTTCAAAAAATAGATACAAAAAAAGGAAATATTTTAATTCTGTAATCTTATGCAGGTATGTGGACGCAAGAATCGATTCTGTTCGCACAACTGCACTCTTTTATGCCACCCGGGCCCCTGTCCTGATTGTAGTATAATGGTAACACGTTCTTGCAGTTGTGGCTCAACTGTGGTAATGATAAAATGCAGTTCTAAAGTGCCTATTCAGTGTTCTTCTATTTGTAATAAACCTTTAAATTGTGGCTCGCACAAATGTACAAAAGTTTGTCACGAAGGCGATTGCGGGCCTTGCAAAGAGATCATTAAACAGGAATGTTATTGCTATAAACAAGGTCGAGTTGTGTCATGTACTACCGAAACGACTGGTAAAACTTTGTACAGTTGTGGTGAGAACTGTGAAAAGTTGTTGGAATGCAGTAACCATAAATGTCAACAAATGTGTCATGATGGAATCTGCAATCCATGCTGTAGGTCGCCTGGTTTGATTTCTACCTGCCCCTGTGGAAAAAAGAAATTAGGGGATGATAGAAAGTCATGTTTAGATCCTATACCTTCCTGTGGACAGGTAAAGACTTGTTGATTAAATCTTTCATTCATTTCATTTTTAATATTTTTATTGTTATAGACTTGTGGTAAAATGTTAAAGTGTGGACAACCAGGAGCACATCATTTTTGCAAAGAACTTTGTCATGAAGGTGACTGCCCCATCTGCCCTTTGACAACTTCTGTGAAATGTCGATGTGGTTTAATGGACAAAGAAATGCCTTGCGCGAAGTTGACTACGAGGGCTGATGACGCTAGATGTCAAAAGAAATGCACCAAAGTATGTAATAATACTAAATTTCAAAAAAAAACTTTTTAAATTCCTCTATTTTTGCAGAAACGTTCATGTGGCAAACATAAATGTAATCAGAACTGTTGTATCGATATCGAGCATATCTGTCCTCTTCCATGCAGCCGTATGCTTTCGTGTGGTAATCATCGTTGTGATCGCACCTGTCACAAAGGCCGTTGCCCCCCTTGTTTGCAATCTAGCTTCGATGAACTTTATTGTGAATGTGGAACATCCGTTATTATGCCTCCAGTACCATGCGGCACGCGACCTCCCGCCTGTTCGATGCCCTGTTCGCGTACACGTTCTTGCGGTCACGATCCATTACATTCATGCCATTCTGGATCTTGTCCTCCATGCACCGTCCTAATTAAAACCTGGTGCTATGGTCAACATGAACAAAGGGCCACTATACCGTGTCATCAACAAAGTTTTAGTTGCGGCCTGCCTTGTGGGAAACCGATGCCTTGCGGCAGGCACAACTGCATCAAGGTGAGTTAATAATTTATCCAAAAATTAGAATTTAGGAATGTTTTTATATTAGTGAATTACAACATTAAATCCTGAAATAAATTTAATTTCCATCAAAAAATTTTAATTAAAATTATGGGATTATAATGCAACTTTTCCTTTTTTTGTATTTTTCTGGTGAATAGTATATAAATAAAATATTAATAGTGAATGCTTGATTAAGTGAAAATTATCAAATTATGTGTTTAGCTATCAAAAATTTTATAATTAGCAAAATATTTTCAATAGGTTTATTAGGAAATAATAGTTTAAATATATTCCTTAGCCGTGCCATCTTGGTCCATGTCCACAACCCTGCAAGCAACCTTGTATCAAAATGCGTCCTGGTTGCGGTCATCAGTGTAATCAGCCTTGTCATGATCCTCCATGTCCTGAAACATCCTGCAAACAAATGGTTAAGGTCACTTGTCAGTGTGGCCTAAGGTTCGCCTCTAAAATTTGCTTAGATTTGATTGGTGAGTATCAGACAATTGCTATGTCTCACTTGGCTAGTAAAATGGAAGAGATACAGAGAGGAGAGACCGTTGACCTGAGTGATCTAGTTGTTGGAAAACAAACTAAAAAGAGCGCCGCCCTAAAAGCGTGAGTAAATCAGAAAGCTTTTATAATTTTTATAAACATTGTAATTTTTAGATTAGAATGTAATGACGAGTGCCGAGTGGTGGAACGTAATCGTCGTATGGCAATAGCTCTCCAGGTATCTGGGTCAGACTTCCAGCAAAAAATCATACCCAAATATTCAGATTACATGCGTCAGTGGGCGAAAAAGAATCCAACTTTTTGTCAATACGTACACAACAAACTCACTGAACTCGTTGAACTAGCCAAACAAAGTAGACAGAAATCGCGTTCATTTTCGTTCGAAACAATGAATAAGGAGAAGAGACACTTTGTGCATGAATATTGCGAGCATTTCGGTTGTGAAAGTGCCGCATATGACCCCGAACCTAACAGGAATGTGGTAGCAACAGCCTTGCGAGAGAAGTCGTTTTTTCCAAGTTATAGTTTGCTAGAAATTATTCAAAGAGAAAATGGTCAAAGAAAAGTCCCCGGACCTCAACAGTTGGAAAAAGGCCAAAGATCCTCATCGGAGAGCGTGTCAATGAAAGTCTCAGGGCGGCTCAATAGACCTCCTACCCCTCCTGGAGAGTACGTAGACTATTTTGATCAACCTCCAGCTTAAAATAAGAATTTTCACGCCAATGTTGATTTATAAGGTATGACTATTATTTGTACTTTCCATTTTAAATGGAATAATATACTACTAGATGTTGAGGAGTTCAACTTTGCGCTTTTTTTTTTTAATCGTTGTAGATAATTGGTTTAAAAGTATAATCATTTTTTTCTTTTTCTGTAAAGAAAATCAAAATAATATCTCTATAAATTCAATAATGAAACTAGCCAGATAAAATTAATTAGTTTATTAATATGCATTAGCTTTATGCTTTGGCAAAAATTGAAATCCTTCAGGAACAGGTCCTAATAGCATTTCACTTATTTTAATCCAATCCATTGACGAACTTGATGCCATTAATGTTTCTAAGTCATTTCTTCCCACATACTTGGGTGGTCTTTGGTTCATTTTTTGTGGTGGTGTTTCAAGTAAACCTACTGGAACATATCTGTGTAAAAAAGACAACCATTCTAGTAAAAAACGTCTCGTATTTTCCACTCCCTTAGTATCTGAACCCCAATGTTCTAGACCATAGTTGACATATTTCTTAATTATATTAAATCGCTCTGAACTCGATATGTCCCACAGTTTTTGTTCTTTAATTTCGGTAAAAATCCAAGGCTTTATCAAGGCACCTCGACCGATCATTACGGTTGCCATTTCTGGACAGGTTTCAATGGCCAATTTGTAGTCTTCATAGCTTAGGATGTCTCCGTTTCCTATGATAGGAAACGAGTAGGCGGCCTTCACACATGTTTGTATGTAACTCCAATCGGCAAGTTTGGTATAACGCTGTTCACGGGATCTTCCATGAATCGTAACTGCACTTGCTCCCCATTCTTCAAATTTTTTAACCTGTTTAAAAACAAAAAGACTTATTCATCTATTTTTGTGTTTATTAAAATGTTTTAAAATTGGTACTTATAGTTTCTAAAACTAGATAAATTTACCATTTTATGAGCCACGTTGTCGTTGTTGTAGACTCCCATTCGTGTTTTGACTGTGAACGGTACATTCAAAATAGTACTTGCAGATCTCACACAAGCTTCCAAAACTTTGGGTCTGCGCAAAAGTCCGCAACCAGCTCCCTCTTTATACACAAGATCAATGGGGCATCCCAAATTTAGATCAACAAAATCTACTGAGATATTCTGTTCAAGCAATAGAGCACATTTTGCTATAAGGTAGGGGTTATTCGTACAAAGCTGCACACCAAACAAGTCTTCCGCAGGGTGTCGTTTAACGAGGGCCCATTCATTGGGCGAGCCTTGAAGTAAAGATGAGCACATAGCCATTTCACCGCATGTTATGTCAGCGCCGAATTCTTTACAAATCCGACGAAAAGGGAGGTTTCCAACAGTAGTAAGTGGACTTAGGTATAGTTTATTTCTCCAGTTAATTTTCTTTTTTTCTCTATTTAGTAGTTTAACTACATCTTCATCAGTTACTGTACCTTGGGTTTTTAAAACATCTCCTGTCGTTATTAGATTTTCATTTTTATTATTGGTATTCACTTTTTCTTGTTGCTACTTTTTCATGAAAAAACCTTGTTAGTTTTCTTTTTTATTATGAATTTCACCAAATACAAACCTCTTTTTTTTTACTATCATAATATTTAACAACATTTTCAGCCAGTTTAAAATTGTACTGCTTTTTCCTAAGTAATTGTTGTGTATCTATTGATAAGTTATTTAAGACATGGTTAATAGGTCTATGTTCTTTGTCAATTTTATTTTTTCCATTTTCGGTTATGTGATTTTTTCCAAATCTACATGTTAATCCTCTGGGACAATGACCAAAGTTTTTAAAGTTATAGCACTCATCTCCTAAAATAAATTTTGTTAGAAAATACTTTACCAAATTATAAAAAACATGTTTACCTATATCAGGTGGTTTTATTTTTAAATATACTTCTGTATCATGGATAAAATTGCAGCTCAGTTTCGGACATTTTGGTGGAACCTCATCTTCACGTACATCTATTAAGGAATGACATAACTGTGTTTCTCTATTTTGCCGAAAAGTTACTGGGCGACTTTTATTTTGACCTTTGTTCTTTTTTTTCTTTAGTTCCAGTTTTTGCTTTTTAGAAGGAGGATTATGGTTAACTTGATGGTTACTAGCAGACTCTGGTTCATTAGAATTAGTTTCAGAAGAATTATTGCTAATCTCAGCTATGTATCTATAACAATCAAAAAAGTTTAGGGCAGCTTGCTCCATGTAAGTGATTAGAAAAGGGGGGTATTTCGAATGTATAGTGTATAATGTGTAGGAAGATTTTTACAATTAATTAGACTTGTAATAATAAAAACGTATACATACTGCGATTTAATAACACATATGCCACTGCTAATCATTTTTTAGTAATTTTTCAAAGCAGATTATGATGTTTAAGGTTATGAATTATGAAAACTTCAATTCAAGTCTAGGTTAGGTTATTTGACATTAGGTGACATTTTTATTTTGAGTGAGTGTTCTAGTAAACGAACGTAATGTAACACTTTTGGGCGGGATCATTTGAATAATGGCTATAATTCATGATTGGAAAGTTTCTTCAAAAACTAAATAATCACAGTAGTTCATTCTTATCGTTTTTAAAAATAGGGCTCATACAGTTTTAATCATCGTTGCAAGAAATTGAAATTTCATTTAATCTGTATATATTAAGCATGTACTGCATCATTTTAATTAATAATTATTTTACAAAAATTATATAAATCAATGCAATAAATTGTATAGATATTTAACATTCACATTTAATATTTTGTACAATTGGAGTAAAAAGCTTCACTTCACAACAGTCAAAAAAATAACACTGATAATGCCTAAAACATTCACAGAACTTTTGTAATTTATCCAAATGAACAACAACTGTTTGTCTTTCTGGCTGTTTTATAAAATGCTTTTGATTGTATACTGAGACCTTCAGATTTTGCAACCAAATCATCCAACTTTTCACCCCTCTCTAATACAGCCTCAATAGTATTATGCTAAAAAAAAGTTAAATAGCAAATCATAATAACAAGTAATTTAATAATTGAGATAAATACCAAAATAATTTTTGTTTCATCCAAGTCTTGGTGTATTTTTGTCATAGCATCAGCCTCTGCAGGATTTTGGTACTTTGCTAAGTAGGTATTAAGTTGAGGAAAGGATACATTCTGTTCAGTTAAATTTGGCCAACTAGAAGAGGGAATCTTTTGTGTAAATTCATCAAGGACTTTTGTTATTAACGTATGAGCTACTCTTTGAGGATATTCATGGTCAGATATAACAACTCCTGCTAACTTATCTGCTCTCACATACACATGACACATGTATTCTAAAAAACGATACAGATTACAATTAGCTTTTTTTAGCAAAAAGTTTAGTACCATCTTGTTTCACAGATTGTCTAGATGCAGGTATAGTCCTTTCAACTATTGTTTTACTAACAAAATTCATAAACTCTTGAACAGATCCACGTTGAAAAAATCCAAAACTTTGTAAATCGTACGCAGCTTTCAAACACACTGCATTTGTCTCAGTTTTATAAAGGACAGCTAGGCAGTACAACTTAACCATTTTATGAAAATAAGTGTAATTTTTTTGACTTATAGCACTATTTATGAATTGTTTCCTTTGCTAACAATAAATAACCCGTGGTTCGTTTTGTCTAAAAAATTTAGTAATCTCTACAAACACAAAAACATCACTTATTTTACCACATAGGAAATAAACGTCCATTAAACGTCAAAATTAATGCTAACTTTAAACGTCATCATACAAAAAAGTGAACAGGCTCGGATTAAGGTTGACATACTACGAAAAAGATATGCAGCGTAAATATAAAAAATCAATATAAATAAAAACATTATCTTTCAATCATAAAATGGTTATATGATATTGTGTACATATATATGCACATACTAAAAATACATTTAAAATAACTTTAAATTTATTGGAAATTTATGCGTAAGGACCTGTATACGGATAAGAATAATTAGCATTATTCTGTAAAGAGGGAGCTACGAGTGTCGAGTGGTTGTATATTCTTTGCGCTTGCGTGTTTTGTGTTTAGTCGTGGGTGCGAACGGTGCTTTTGCATGTAGGTGATCTTGGAGTCTTCGACATCCAAAAAACTGTTTTAAATATTGTTTTGTTTTGTATTTATGACATTATTGTGTGCCCTATAAAACTTCGGTATGTGTTCAATAAATATAATTCGTTATAGTGAAAGGTGATGATCGTGGTTTGGTGTTCGACTTTTCATCTAGGTGAGTGTTTGTGACAGTAGTACTTCAATAGCCGTTCTTAAATAAAGGGCTTTTCGTAAGCTGAAATAGAACTAGACATGGGTCCCTATTAAGTGGATAAAATTAACTTAGAATATCTAAATATTACTTGCTGAAATTACTTGCAAATAAAATAAGGACTTCAATTTCATTTAGTACACCTTAAGCCATCTTTATTTAGAAGTAGAATAGTAAGGAACAAGTATGCAGTGTATTTAATTCCTTCAGATTTTTTTGAGAACGTTAATAGTTCTAAATTACTAGTGCATTAAAAGATTGTTAATGTATCGTTATATGTAGTAAGTAACTTGTCTTCAAAATTGCTACTTCATAAGCCCACCGTATATTTGAGATAAAAGATGCATGTATATTCTGATCAATCCCTTGGCCTGTGATTTTTAAATTTATAAACAATATTAATATACTACGTAGCAGTTAAATTGAGTTGCAGGTTTGAGGAATGAATAGGTAGGTTGGTAATTGAATTTATTACAGGATAAATATTTTTGAAAAAATCGATATCTTGGGTAAATATTAAACAGCCGTGGTGGTAACTATAGAAGTTGTTATTTTCTTTGACGATAAAAGTTTCTTTTAATCAAAAATTACAATGTGGGTCATACAAGTTTACTTTAAAATTGTCTATTTTTTATTTCTTTCAATATTTTTTTTGCGAAATCTTGATTTGTACTTAAGTTAATCCATATCCGCATTCAATCTGATTTTATTTATATTTTCAATTTTTAAGTCTATTACATAGGTGCCTACCTAAAAAACTACCTATTTACCTATTNAGTTATAAAGTAAAAAACCTAAGCATTTAGCTTTGACCTTTGTAGGTATTAGGCGTAGGTACCAATAAAATAAGAAGAAATATTTTTTTAATCTTTGCAATGTCTATTTGTAGATAGGTAAATGTTATAAAACATTATTTTATGTACCCACCTAAAAAAACCTATCTATAAGACCTAAAAAGGTATGTACCTATGTTGGTACCCATAGGTACATACTTAGATTCTATTTTGTTGTCATCCACGGAAAATAAGTGTTAGGTACATAGACAATTTGAAAATTTGGATATTTACATATGTAGGAATTTAGCTACTTATCTACCCAATGATTTTTCATTATTTCCTTTATTACTAAATTAATTTTGTAGATGTTCTAAACTTATTACAGGTAGTTCTCAAATTCATATTGAAAACGCATTTTGAATCATCTTCTTAAGATTTGTTGTAAAATGTTTTTTTTTTTAAGATTATTATACTTCGCAGTTTTCAAAATAATAAAGATTATAGATATTTAATATTTCTTCAATTGATTCTTATTTTACAATTTAAAATCTTAACAGTATCGTACTATAATTTGATATCAAGGAGAAATGAAAACAAGATGGCGGGTATTTTTCGACTTTTTTCATGTTAGATTTATAAAATATTTTCATTTAATTACGACTTTTGAACTTCTGATTATTGTTTCTCGTAAATAATTTTTTTGAAATTAATTTCGTGGTAGATCCTATGTCATGTTAGTTAAATCTGCGCTGTAATTTCCTTTGTCTTATTCGACTTACGTAATTTTAGTAAGTAGTAATTTTGTCAGTACATAACAATTCAAAAATATATCGAAAAACGGAGTATATTCTATTTAAAAATGAATTTCGTATAGGTACTGTTCATATAAGAATAGTAGGTAAGTAATTGTAATTACTTATAAGTACCTCGAAATCTTAAGTTCATAAATACTTAATACCTAATTTGGATAGAATGAGTATCTATAAGATCTGATAGTATTTGTATAATTCAGTTGTAGATAGATTTTAATAACTAAGATCCTTTAGAAAAACATCTAAATCTGTCTTACCATTGATCCGTATACTGTTTAGTATTATGTAATCCAACGGGATTGTGTCTATGTTTAGTAAATAGATAACATATTTTTAATAAAAAGCTGTCCCAATCCCTGGTAAATAAATCAAATTTTCAACTGATAAAATTGATATACAGTATTTTTTTTGAATAAAAAATTCTTGTAGCAATATATGTATAAGGTATTTTTTTATATACCTACGCAAGTTCGATTCGAAATATTTGTTTGTATCAAAGGTAGCCTCTTTTTAGTATTAACATCATCGCAATGGATAATTATTAAAATAAAATTTAATGTTATCGGCGCTAGCTGTTGTAATTACTTTAATTATTACCAATTAACAACAGATGAATTTAATTGTTCAACACTTTCAGAGCTGTACCTATATTAAATTTGCTTGAATATATTTGGTATGTAAGTTACAGCTGGGCAAAGCCCTCACCGAAAGGGCTCTTAGCCCTAAGCCTAAAACCCCTACCGATTAGTGCTTTAGTCCTTGAAGTTCCAATTACATTTTAAAATCTAAGTATGTATCTACTTTGAATTAGCAATTAGTTACTTCAAAAGCAGTTAGATTCAAAAATCTAAGCAATTTTAAAGTGTTTCAAGAACTTTGACAGAACTTGAAGCCCTTTATTAAGTAATTCAAAGGATTACCAAGCCCCGACTACTTTTTAATGAAAGGGCTTTAATTACAGTGCTTCCAAGCCTTGAAAGGACTAGAAGCACATTTTGAAATACAGGGACTAGTTAGGTGCATTAAAGTTCAAGTGAATCGGTACTGAAAAAAATCTGTCGATGTCGATTAAAAGTAAAATAAAATTTTGATTTCGCCGACGATTTCTATTTTATGTCCTATGCTGTTAAACAGTTTTTACATTTTTACTTTTTCTTACGCATTTCTCACCTTTTTTTTTGCTTTACGTGTTTAAGCTTTTGTGCTTGTCCGTAAATATTTAAAATATCTAATAAGAGCTTTTGCTTTATTTTTAACACATATGCGTACCTTTGGATTCACGGTACATTTAACGATAAGTATACAATATACTTAACGACTTTCTATTAATTAAGCATGTCATTATTAGGTAATTGAATGATTACTACTATAATACATATAACGGCGATGTTCAGTTTAAATGCAATATTCATTAAAACATGCGTTAATTGTGAATTTTATATATATAAAATAGCGATTGTGTTAGGCGTTTATAAGTTGTAGACTTCAATGGTAAGCCATCAAGTATCTGTATAAGGGTTTTCTTGAAGTTCATTAATGCGAAGACCCTTGTTGAGCTTTACAGTCATTTTAATTTTACTAGATTTATTGTATTTAAAATCAGTTGTAAGTTTCTTATCATAAATTTTTTGTTTATAAGGGCCTCAATTCTATATTATATATGATTAGGTTATCAAGTTTTGTTACGAAATTGTGACTTTCAAGGTATTTATACCGATTTCATAAGAGACAAAACTTGGCTATCCGAGTAAATAAATACTCAATTAAGTTGTCCCTTAATAGTAATGCATGTTAAAGATACAGTAAAAATTATTTCCTAATTTTCTCAGATTTTGTCATAATTATTTCAATATAAAATTTGTAAAACTCGATGTTTTTCAAGGCTATTTAAGCTATTCAGTTGTGCAAATAAACAAAAATACATACGTACACGGTTGTAGAAAGTTTGTTACAAGTGTAGTTTAATTAATACATACTGTACATATTTTTTTTTAATTTTAATAGGCGTCTGTTAAGGTGTTTTTCAAGTATCTTTTGGATATTATCTGTCCAAGTCTTGCAACGAACTTCCAAAATACCTATTTATGGATTTTCTGTTTGTGTCAGTTCTAGATACTTAAATAAGTTTGTGAATAATAATTTTTCTTTGAATCAATTTGTTAACAATTCCACGTAAAAGAGGTATAGAGGTACTTAAAGATTGTTAAAGTATTAGCAGTTAACGATTAGAAGAAATAACAAGGGTAGGATTCAATAGACAATTCTATGAGGTACCTACCTAGGTATATTTTGCTTTCAGGTAGGGAACATCGAATTGTGTCTCATTTTAAGAATTTATTTAAAGAAATTATGTAATATTTCTACATAACTTCGATTTTACCTGGGTATTTTACATTTGGAACTGTGGAAGTCAAAAAGAAATAGGTGAGATATGTTGCTAGGACACCTCAGGTATGAAGGGCTAGTTAGAGACATATTGGAAGCAGAAACAAGAGTTAAGAGAGGTAGAAGCAGATTATACTACTGTTTACAAATAGTTAGGGATGTGGGATGTTCTAGTTTTAGGAAAATGCGAAGATTAGCTCAGAATAGTGGAGATGCGTGTCCAACCAGTCTTACTGTTGACGACCTTATCATGATGATCTTACATTTGCTAACTTGTTGCTTATGACCTTATTAGAATCAGACGTGTATTTTAAAAATGAATATTTATTCTTGTGTGACATTATGTAGATACGTCGGTATATATGTCTATGTGTTTTTGTTTAGTGTTTTTGCAATTTGTTCACCACACGTACCTACTTTCCTTTAGTAACAAACGTGTACGTGATCTTTTACAGGTACACTTATAAAACACATTTTATAAACGTTTTGGTTTGTCATTTTTTTTTATACATATGTATCTTTTACCAACGTGCGATAATTTTCATCGTTACTATCAACTGATATAATCAGTCGCGTCCTTTTTATAGTAAGACAATGAATGAGAATCGATGTTTTAAGTACAGTATTAGTTATAGCAATAATTATAAAATTAAGTTTTTTCTGTGTTTTTATTATCATCATCATCATCATTATCCTAAGACTGGTTGGACACGTACCTCCACTCTTTCCTATCCTAAAATAAAATTATGTATATTAAATGAAACAAAACAAATTCCACACTATTCATTTTTTACTGTAGTTTTATTTAATTTGTTAAATGTGAATTCTCATTAAGTAAATTTAGAGTAATTAATTAAATTTTTTTGCTTGGGTGGGCAATTGATGGGGTTGAAAGAGCAGAGGCCTTTTAGGGTAATGTTACTTCTCTTTTGTTCCAGGAGATAATAATGGTAAGGATGGTGAACAGTAGTTCTTTCGATTCGCTGGGGGCTCGAAACGCTAAACGGGAACAATTTACGCAGCCGGCTAAACGGGATGACCACCGTCAAACGACAGGCAGTCCCGTTGAAGCAGAAGGCGCATGTTCTCGGGATGATGATGGTTTTCTGATGTTGCACACTCGAACTAGCACTGATAACAGCACCACCACGAACACCACGTCGCACCAGGCCATAGAACCTACCGCTTCCCGAACCGAAATACAAAGCAACATTATTTACGAAAACAACGAAAAAAGTAACACCTTTTTTGGCGCTCAGGAACATACGGTAGCAACTGGAGAAGATGATATCATGAAACGTTCGAGTTTGTGCTGTAGCGTGCCTCTAGAACGTATTAAAGACGTCCTTCAAAAGATCAATAACATTAGCGAGAAGAAAACTCAGAAGAGACTCTTATGCCTCTACTGTGATAGGACGTTTGTAACGGCTAATCTCAGGCAGAAACATGTGGATCGATTTCATCTGTTGGGCCGTCGAAGAAGATCCAGCGTGCGCCAGCAACAACGGACCTCCGAATCCATTTGTATATACTGCGAGAAGTTCGATGAAGAAGCATTTACATTGAAGAAGCTCTTCGTTCATCTCGTTACCACTCATTGTGCCAAGTATTTCGGTTGTTTGCAGTGCGAAATTCGATTTCCTAGTCGCGTATCTCTCGAAGAACATTCTATCGAAAGACACAATTCCGTCAAATCTGGCGTAGTGGCCATTCCGATAGAAAGTCAACCCTCTGCTGTTGTAGTGAAAGTGATTAACCCTAGCGACTGTGCCGATCAACAACAGGATATTGAAATAAAGAAGAAGCAAGTGATTATCAAAACTAATAACTCCAAGAACAAAAAACGGCCCATCATCAGTACAAAGGTAGCTTCTAAATGTATAAATCGACGTTTAACTCGCCAGCAATCGAAAATGTTGAGCACTTCTCGGAAGATTAAAGAACCAATCCCAAAAAACACCAAGGAAGTGGTTATGAGTAAAATAAAGACTAAGTCTACATATTCCACGCAAGTGCGTCAGTACCCCAATGTTGATTTCGTCTTCAAGTACAAAAAAATTACCGACCATTCCATCGATAATTTGCGTATCGGCTCTCTAACATTCGAGGACGTCGTGTTCGATAAGGCCTTCTTTAACAAAGTCAAATGTAATATACAAGATAACCTGCTCAACTACATCGACGGGAAATTACTATTTAGAAATCTTACTTTAGAAAACAGGATATCGAGTTTTGAAGTTCCGCTTCATATGGATCTAGAAAATACGCTTTCTGCTGAGCAGCTTCTTTTGGATGTATACCTTGACAACGTTACCCCTGTGACCGCGATACTTTCTTCGGCCCTTAAAGAAGAAAACGACCAACCTATAGAAAAATCGAGAAAAAAGACCAACTTAAAAAATGACGAAGTTCATTACAAATATTTTACCAGAAGAAAATATCAGGCCATATTGTCGGAAAGCAGGGAGCGTAGGGACCTTTCCAAACTCGACATGTGGACTCAACTTGCAATAAAAGATCGTCAGAGTAAAATTGTAAATGACCAAAGGACGACAAAGGAAAAGATAGAATATGCGAAGAGCGAGGAATATAGGACAAAGTTGCAAGTGGAAGAATTAGATAGAATTCTTGATCGGAGAGCGCCGTACGAAAATTTGAAAGAGGAGGCCTTGAGAACATCTGTAATGCAAAAATTGGATGGCAGTCATGATGAAGACTATTTAGAACGCTATCTGGACGTTCAAGCGGTGCTTATGGATATTTTAGATAAAGTTTACGAAGAAACCGAATCTTGTAAAACATCAGAAGATCAATGCAGGAATTTAGAATTAATCTCGAAACAAAATATTACTGCATCTCTCGATATTAAAACGCGAGACAATAGTAACGAAATTCCACTGTATCTCAATTTGGAAAGAAAAAAGGAACCATCTCCACTAGTGTCTTCGGAACTCGGTAACAGTTTTATCGAAGACAATTTTCCGGTTGTAAAAGTGACTCAAGATAGGCGCCTAGTAGAATTGACAGGCGAATGGACGCGTACAAAAATTTACGTGTGTGCTGCTTGCGGCTTGAAGATACCGAGTTTGAAGCAGTTGATAGATCATAAAAACCTATTTCATGCAAGTGTGTGGTGTCAACATTACGAATTTGTGGGAAGTCAGAGCGAGCTCTACCACCACCTGAGTATACCAGGTCTCGGGAAGGTGGGTCGTGTCGAAAGTTCGTCGGACGCGAAAATTTGGCGTAGAAGCGAGGCACGAGTGTGTAGCAAGTGTGATAAACGGGCAAACTGTTTGGGACAATTACATCGTCATATACTCGAATGTGGTGGCGATGAGTCGTGGGCAAACGAACGTAAAAAAAGCAAGTATCGATACGGGTCAAAATCCAGACGGCGAAGGAAAGGTAGGCATAGTAGAGCAATTATTTTCATTTTAGGATAGTCAATTTCTATTATACATATAATTGCGTTCTACGTATCTATGTATGGTTCTAGAGTAGGTAGGTTTGTAACGTAATATTGTGGCACTGAGATAGCTGATGGTGGGATATTCTGGAATTAGTTGACGATAAAACGTCTAATAAAAGAATGAAACTGCGGGGATTATGTTTGATATCCAAGACGTTGTCGTTCAATGCGATTTTTTAACTAAAATCGCCAACCCTTTAATGGGTTGAGCGTGCTTAAAAGATAATATTCGGTCATGTACGGTCACAAAGAGGTTGGTAGTGGTTGATGTGGCTAAACGTCTACTTACAAAATTATTAGGTTAAATTTTGATTCATATTTTTTAAGTGCTACACCCTTTGGATTTAGTGGAAAAGGATTGATATACATATGGGACTATGGGCTTGAAGTAGGTTATGTTGAGATAGGATTTCCTGATTAACATGTACAAGGGCTTAGATGGTATTCACTCGGTTGTGTTTTGATGCGAAAGGTTTCTGTCGTTGACATGTATGAGAGATCAACTTCTGATAGGCATAATATGTAGAGTGCTATGCAGCAAAGGTTCGGGTCGGGGTACAGTATGGGGAATCGCCATGATTAAAATACAATTGACCATGCATTATAGCTAAAGACAACATCCGTCCTAGTTTTTTTTATATTGATAAGGTTCGGTATCTTAAAAACAAAAAACGAACCTATATAGGATCATGCTCGTGTCATAAACTTTTTGACGAAGTAACAGATTTCATATAGAAATAAACTATATTGGTACATAGGTGTGTAATTATACTGATTTAGTAGATAAAGTAAGTAATAATAAAACAAAATATAATTCTTTTGAAAATGTAGTTCTCAGTGGAGTATAATTTTAAAAGATTTAGTTACAGGGAATTTCATTTTTTTTTGTAATTTGTCATGGGATATTTACGGGAATGTACGTTAAAATGGATGTTTCTGAATTACTGAAATCAGTGTTAATAGAACATTGTAAGAAAACTGCAGGGTAGGTTTGAGGTTTTATATTTTTTGAGATGTGATTTTCTTAGCGTTTTAGCTGCACGTAGCATGATACGAAATCCTCTCTGCGTTAGTCGAATTTGTTGATACTTAGGCGATTTTCCTTCTGTTTGTGCCCGGCTAAAGAATTTTCTTAATTCTAACGAAAGATTTATTCTTATTAATTATTACGTTCATAACTCCAAGGCTACAATATGGTTATATAAAGAGTAAGCTTTTCTTTTATGCCTTAACTTTAATTAATTTTCCGGAAACCATGTAGTTTTCCGATTTGCTTCGTTCGTATTTATAAACTTTGAAAATGTTTGTTGTTAGTTCCACATTCTTTCTCGAAGAAAAGCATTTCTGATTGATTAAATTTCCTTATTTTAAAGAATATTTGTGTATTTAACCCATTATGGATTTATTTTTTATTATTTTGTTATTAATTAGTTGTGCCCGCGGCTTCTTTCGCGTAGACGCTTGGATTGCTTTAGATTGCAATACCATTTGAGAAACAGTTGGTTTGTTACAGGGATATTATCAACAACCTTTGTTTAATTCATAAATTCATCACAAACAGATTCAGTAACGTTGGAGTTAAATCCGTTGGTAGAGACAGACAGACAATTTTTTTAATTTTACGTTTGTTTTAATTTAGTAGTTATCGAATATACAAACGGAAAAATACCGGAACATTACACCAATAGGTGTGATGTATAATTTGGGACGGGACTCCGGTTTTATCGCTGTTATGTGTAGAAACGTGTGGGTACCTACATTAAATTTGTTAATTATTATTTTATTAGAAAAGTCAGAATACCTTATATTTACAACTTTAAGCTTACGTGAATAGCAGGTAAAATATCTTGCAATATCCTTTCTCACGTCCTTGACTGCATTGATAAAAAAGAAGCATTAAGCTAGACGAACGGGGCGGCACGGAACGGACGAGACGCGGAATTTAGCACAGTAGTTTCAATGAGTTCATCGGGGGATGAAGAAATAAGAAGTTAAGGAAGAACAACGCTCTGTAGACAACGGATTAATTTTAATTTGAAATCTCGGCTTCTCTTTGGACGCATTTCGGATTTCGTATACAATTTTAATATTTTTCCGTTTCGCGTGGTCCATCCGATTCCGATATGTGTGGGCAAGCCTTTACATTATAGTAGTATAGTCTATAGGACACAGTATACTTCCAGTATTTTATTAAAGATAATCTTTATTTAGAGATCTAAAACGCGTATCGATATCGATAATCAAGATGTCGTCTTCAGTTAGAGACTATTTCTTATGCAATTTTGGGTTTTTTTAATTACGTTCCACTGCACTCAATTATATTTTGTGTTTTGAAACAAAGAGTCTGTAGTCAAAATGTATTTAGATAACTAGACAAGCGTTTATTAAGAATAAGTATCTTTCTAAATAGTTTTGTGTGATGGTGACTTAAATTTCGTGTCCATGTCATTAGAAACATTCATACTTGACCGATGTAGGTTTGACCGTCTTTCGTCGGTTGTGAAGTTTAGTGCTTGATAAGGGGGGCCACAATTCAAGAACAGGTTTTCTAGAGGTCGAAGAGTGATCAAGTGAAGCTAACCGAAAGAAAAATAATGAAAGTCAGTGTCATGGGTGGGTTAGACTGACAAAAAAATATAGATGCACATACCTATAAGTGTATTGTGTATAAATTTTTAAAATTTGGCGGATAAGTAAAGATGAGATGTGGTAAATAAACTTTCATAATACAAATGTCTTACTCATTTGGTTTAGAAGGAATTTTTATTTAATACATAATAATGTATTTTTTTTTCATGAAGAGTAACTAGTAAACAAGTTACCAACTAGAAAAATATGCGCGAGTTGCTTTGGGAAATCAAAAAAGTTAATTTGCAATGATGAACAAACATCTTTATGATGCGATTAGTCGAATAAAAGCAAGTAAAAAATGGGAATAATAAACATTTTGTTAAATGGTTTTTTCGGTAGTTCGATAATGCATATATAGTAGGTATTTACCAAAGAAAATCTGTTTTCTTTAGGGCTTCAGTATAAATAGAAACATCATTATTTCTGGAGTTTGTATGTTCAACACAAAAAGCCAAGATCATTGTTTTATGGTAGTAACGGTGAATATTGTACTTTGAAGTACCTATAATGCGTGACTTGGGCAACGTCTAGTTTTTATAGGCATCTAATCCTAATAAAAGTAGATTTTAGGTAGACGGCAACTGTGAAGAAGTTTCCATTAAATCGAGGGATAACGTTGAAATAACTAAGAGTTCCCGTTACTGAAAAAAAATAATATTCTATTAGCTTTCATTAGATACTTCCCAGTTCGTCAACTATCTAAACATATCATAAAACTAAAGTATTTGTCAAAAATACTTAGATCATCTTCACTCTGTGATATGTTGATGGTAAATCCGACCAATTATCTTACTAGTGGTGTAATTATTTATGATATGCTATTTTTAACTAGACTAGAAATATTTTGTATATTATGAATAATAATAAGTTTCATGCATTTCCACGTGACTCTTTATCATGTTTTTGTTAGGCCTTATAAAGCTTATCCGTTTTGAAAGGAAAGAAAGGAAACCATCGGATAAACGAAAATTACGAAGAAGGTTTAGTGGACCAAGGTCAAAACCTAGTGATGGTATGTGCTATATTAATTGCTAGATATTAAGACGAGTAAATATAAAAATATCCAATCGGTAATATTAATTTACTATTAATTAAAGATGACCAGCTGAGCTAAGTAACAAAAAGTCATTTGCTGTGAATGTATTAAGTTGTTGAAGACCACTTATATTGTTTTCGGAAAAGATCAATTTAAATTTTTTCTTCCAAACAGATTATTATCCTTTAATAATTATTTGCTGTATTTGAAATTGTACGGGTGTATCTAGTAGCCTTATTTAGGGAATTCTATAAAATAATTTTGCAATTGTACATTTAAATAATATAAACTTTTCTTTAATGCGATAGCTTCGAATGACAGTTGCTAATCCGAGTATAATCACATTCTGAAATTCGAATATATATTACCACCTATTTTACTAATCGTCATTGTTTTATTTTTGCTAAAACAAGTTTAAAGAAAAGTAATCATAAAATAATGTGTTTTCCTAACTACTCTGAATTGTCTTTTCTATCTCTTATAGTTTTTCCTATTTTCTTTTTTACTAGCTGAAAGTATCGAACGCATGTTGGCCAATCTTCCGCCGAAAAGAACCGTTCGTAAAATTGTTTCGCTTAAAGACGGACTCACCCGGAAAAGAAACAAAAAATTAACGAACGATGCGGCTATTTCGCCCAAAACGAAAACGAATCCTAGTAAATCTGGAATGCAAAGTAATGTAACAAACGAGAAAAACAATTGCAACTTTACAAATCCAGAGCCGTTATTAGTAACGGACAAAACGGAAAGCCGAATTCGTGTACAGCGCAAATCGCTTAAAGAAATCGCGTCGAAAAACAAAAAAAGTGTTCTAGGAGAACAAAAGACTGAAATTACTAACGTAGCCAATAATAAGGAAAGCTTAGTAGAAAATAAATTAGATAAAAGAAAGTCTTTGTTAGTTGAAAATAACAAAATTGCCACCGTTTCGTGTAAATCCAATATTAGTAAAAGTAAATCTGCGTCTCTCACGAAGGGTAAAGTTGTAGCTACCAGTAAGGGACCTTCTAAGGTTGTATCGACAAAACTACAGAAAACAAATCTGTCTAAGAACGAGAGTAATGATAAGAGTGAGATCAAAAATGCGACATTGAAAATCGACCAAATCGAAAGCACACCGAAATACCTTAAGAAAAACGAATCCGGTTTTAAATTTAAAAATTGTACGAAAAAGACTAAAGCTACTGCCAATAAAAAATTACAGCCCAATTCTTCTAATGGAGGCGGTAAAGTTGTTAATTTCGGGCAAAAAATAAGAAAGAACAAACCGCCGTTTCCGCAGAAACTGACAGCTCCCGTGAAAGAAGTAGAAAGCTTGGATAAGTCCGAAATCACTAAAAAAGAACCGTCCATTCGAAGCTTGATAAACAAAATTTTCCCTAATTTAAAAAGAAAAAGCAAGACCATCAACGGACATGTAGCTAAAAGGTTCAAAAGGTCCGCAATGGATTCCGTGTCTAAACGAAATGTAACCGAGCCTCTAAGCAAAGTAAGAGCTCAAAAAACTACCGTTAGAAAAACCAACAGGAAGGTGAGGAAGCCTGCTTACGATTCAAATTTTATTATTGGCACTAGTAACCAAAAATCTGAACCGATTGTTGTTGATAACGCTGAACTTGAAGATAAAATTCCTCCAGTTCTTTCTCAAAAAATGTCACCTCCAGTTCCTTGTGTAGATGAAATTCCGGTAACTTCTCAGGTGTTTTTTGATACTAAAGAACTCACAAATTGTGTTAGCGTGAATGTGGAAAGAGAAATTAACGATGATCTAGAAAAGGGTCCAACTGAAGGAGATACGGCTCCCACGTCCTCTGCAATCGACGAAATAAAAATAGAAAAAAATAGTAGCAACGACACGGAAACTCGAGAATGTGCCATCATTTTCAAAAATGCGAGTTCCGGCAAATTAACGGAAAATAAGAAAGAAAATTCGTGCGATTTTAAGGCAAAGCTATCCGTTAATACCATTAATATTTTTTCTGACCAAATTCCTCATCAAAATGGAACAATAGTTGCTAAAAAGAGAGAAAGAAGAAGATCGAGAAATATCAACAATTGCATAGCGTTACTAAAAAGCAAATTACAAGTCGACAGCGAAAGCACTACTTCGATTTTTTCAGACTTAACTGCATCGAAAGGTGGTGTAGATCTAGCACCCCCTAATGGCAATATTTGTGAAAAAACTTTTAATGAAAATCTTCCTATTCTTCCTATAACAAATGCTCTAAGTGATAAAGAATATGCCGCTTCAGAAGAAAAAGTTAATGAAAGCAACAAAGATAACTTAATCAGTTATAATATTAATGAAACGGCTGAACTGATTGACGTAGGATTTGAAAAGGTGTCCGAAATTAAAGAAGATTCTGTAATAGAAAATTTGCCGAAAGAAATTGCGAAATTAAATATTCAAAGGGCTGCTACAAATAAACGGATCGCACGTAAATCTTTATCAAAAAGAAGATCTGAAAATATGAAAAGTATTCATCAAAGGAAAATGAAGATGTCGTTGTTGGAAAATAGCGAAGAAAATTGTGCACATGGTGTTTCGAAAAATAGCGAGTATGAAAACAAAAACTCCGAAACAAGTTGTACGACAGAGGCTACTCGAAACAGAGATAAACAGCGGAGAAGTACCAGAATTAAAAAAATCCGAACACAAATAAATGAATTGGAAAGTTCGTATTCTTCAAGTGATTCTCAAGAAGAACGAAGAAGTGAAGAAACCTTGAATTCCACAGTTAATAATTGTCAGGTGGAAAACGAAAGTACATTAGAAAATTATGAAACACGTAAACCTGAAAGTATAAATTCAGAAAATTCTATTTTGCAAAATTGTTTAGAAAATTTAATCAAGAAAAGTGAAGACTGGGTTTTAAATGATAATATAGAAAAGTCTTTATCAAATGGGAATATTACTTTTCAAAATTCTGTTCAACTTAATACAAATTTAAATCTTCAGCATGATAGTAAAACGAATAATGTGGAACGCACTAATGCAGGTAATAGTAATAATAAAATTGAAGCCACCCTGGAATCTGAATCGGTTAAAAATTCAACAAATATTGTAGATGATAACAGTACGAAGTTTGAAGAAAATACAGAGTCAGTAAGGGTAGGTTCTGATAGTAGCAACATGTTGACGCAAGTTCAAGGAGAACATAAACGGTTAAAAAGGACTTTCAAGTCAAAGTCTAGATCTAAAAAAGACTTACCACTGCCCGAAGTAATTGAACCTAATAAAATCATTAACGGCGAAAAATTGCATGACGGTTTTGCAACAACTGTAACAGGGAGAGATCCATTTGCTTTAGAAACTGCTTCGCTACCTGGAAGCGTTGCTAATACGCTTGCCACAGCTGATCCGTGTTCACATTTCGGAATAAATCCAAAAATAAACTTGAAGAATAGATCTACACGGAAGCGATGTGTGAGGAAATTTCGAAAAATTTCAACAGAAACAAACAACTCAATGCAAAATAACGTATTGAAGGAAACTAACGCCTGTGATGAAAAATTAATAGAAAGTTCAACGGAAAACTTAATGAATAGAAATTGTGTTTCTATTTTTGAAAAAGAGGAAACGGAGGAATCAAGCAAAAACATGATGGAAGAACCTGTACCAGAAGCAAAAATGATTTCCCGCAATGATAGCAGTAACAGTGAAGATGATGATGTTCCTATTATCGATTTGATAATCAACAAAAATAGACGTCATAGTATTAGCGATCTTAGCCATAAAGGAGATGAAAATTTAAATGTTTTTACGAGCCTAAAGTCCGAGGAATCGCTAGTCCAAACTTCTGTGTCCGATTCTGAAGACGATTTACCGTTATCTTTGCTTGTAAAAAAGATAGATAAAAAGCAGGAGCCAACAAACGAGAACGTTACCAACAAATTAATCGAAATCGATAACGCTGAAGTTGGAAACAGTCTAAATCAAATAGAAATCAGTAAAATTGACGAATCAGTAATTAAACAGGACGAAATGGCCGAGTTACCAGTCAAAAATGAAACGGATGAAATAAAAACAGAAAATAACGAAATTTTGGAGAACGAAAACGTACAAAAGGAGACAGAGGCTGATAAGGAAAATGAAAGACTATTTGGAAGTTCGGTTCAACAAAAGCATAAACCTGCTAAAAGTAAAAAACGAAAAAGACCGGATAAAACCAAAATTAAAATATCAATAATAAACGAAGAAACTATTGACGTTATTTCTAAAGTCGAAAACCATAAACATACTAATAGTGACGATAAGAGCGATCATATTGGAAAGATCGAAGATTCCAGTAAAATATCAATAAGTATTACAAGTACTAATACTTTGAAGCCGGTTCAAGTTCAAAGCGAAATCGATGGTAGGAAGGAAGAGTATCCCGAAGAAATTACAAATACCAACGAATTTCATGACGGCTTGGACCGAAAAAGAAATAAATTATCAAGAAAAATATTCCCGACAGTTTTAAACGAAAATTTAATTAAACCTCACACAAATGGTGTTTTTGAAATCGGAAATTCAACTGTAACAAGTAAAGAAAAACGGCATCATAACAGAGGTAACCGTAAAACGAAGAAATCCAATAAGGAAAGGACGAAAACTCATTTAACAATAAGTATAAAAGAAGCTCCGTATCTTAACAAGATCAAAATATGTAAAAAGGAAACTAGAACTGAACAAAGTCCTGATTATCCACGGATTACGAATAATTTACAATTGGATTTCAGTAATTTTGAATCGGATCATTCGTCGAAAAACGAATATATTGTTTCTCCCACAGGATCTAAAAGGAATTCCATAAACAGTGAATCCGAATTAACAGAAGTCTTAAAAGATAATAAAATTAGTTTTGAACTAATAGAAGACGGTAGATCTCCCGTAGAACAACTAATACAACAAGACGACGTTGTTCATCATTTTGGTGTTCAAAACAAAAACGAATCTGAAAGAAAATCAGAAACTGACCAAGATGACAAGATCTTGACGTCGAAACAGAAAAACTCAGGAAATGTTTCCTGCGAAATATGTATGAAAACATTTAGACGATCGGATAGTTTGACAAAACATCGACTTACATTAACGCATATTGCTAAGTTATCAGAACTGGAAGCGGAGGGAAATTCCCAAAGCAAAGAAGAAACTGAAAATATTGAAACAGATGAAGTGCCTGGGTCAAAAGATGATTTGAATGAAATCGGTGAAGATAAATTCGATACGTCCAAATTGATGGCAGACTTCGAAGATAAACTGAAAAGGTTCGGCAGCAACGACGATGATTTGATACTAGACCTAATTGAATTAAAAAATAATAGCCAAAACCATTGCCAAACAAACATTGTACAGGAAAAGAAATCATCCTTGTGTGTTCCTCCTCTTAATCTAAATAATGATCTAAAGCAAAGTTCTTGCCTTGATAGCAACCTAAAACAATATTCTCCAGTACCCAGTATTAAATGCAGTATTTACCTTGCTTCTGACGGCAATGAAACAATTCGCGAAAAATTAGACAAGCCGAGACTAAGAATTTCAAGCGCCCTTTTCGCAAAAGAGGATACGAAACAGATCAATTTTACTAAAAATGTAGCTGAAAATAGTTGCTCGATAAAGAGCAAATTAGACGATCAAACATCTAGAAAGGTGCTGAATCACGATGAAGAATTATTCTTAGAATGTTGCAGTTTATTAAAAAGTGGTTCGGAAATATCTGGACCACCAAAAGTGGCTGTGAATTCTGCCGATACTTTATTCAGAAAGGTAAATTTCCAATCTACACTTGCGAGTGACTCCAAAAAGGAAATACAAGAAAATAGAAGAACTCATTCGGTGAATTCCTATTTTTCTTCATCTGTGCCATCTTACGACAGCGATTTTTCGAATATGAATTTAGAATCCAATCAAATGTCTCACAATAATTCTATTCTCCATCCAAATAAAAATAACAACACTGTAGACGAGTTAAATGAATACTCGGATATGGAGGTTGACAATTCTCTAGATTCATTCCCAAATGGCAATACGACAGTTTCTCGAATCTATGAAAACAGAATTGTTTCCGGACCTGATGATTATGATGATAATTTAAATGATTTCGACATTAAAGATGAAAGCGTTAATGCTCTTAATAATCCATCTGCAAAAGAAAAAGATATTTTCTTTGCCAACAGTTTGTCGTTTAGTGATAATAATTTAAAAAACGAGAGCGATCATGTCTCAAGAAGCAGCGCGAAAGACGACAACGAACAAGACTCGCAATCAGGTGTCGAAGAAAATACCAATTCCGATCTTCGTAACAAAGTCATATCAAGATTTGGAAATTTAATGGTAAAGGCCCTCAGAAACCGCTACAAAACTGCTACTAACAACACCATTAAAAGGTCAGTGTTTTTTCTTTATAATTTTTTAATTTTTTTTAAATTACGTTTAGACTACGTGTGAATAATTTACGCATGTAAAAAATTTTATTTCAGAAAAAGACAACATTTCGATCTGTCAAATTCTTCGTTAATTGAAAATCAAACGTCCATCGTAAACGGATCTTTAAAATCGACTTCTAAAAGGATTCTTACAAAAGGTGCCATGAAAACTTTTGAGAAAGTAGAAATTAATAATTCATTTGAAAATTCCGAAAATTCATCTTTGAAACCTTTTAAAGAAAATTGCGAAGAACCTAATCGAAACAGTCGCGACTTTGGTAATAGCGACTTCGCTAAAGGGAAGTTTTCCGATTTTGATCAAACGAACGAGAACACTTTCGATTTTGGTTGTTGGAGTTCCGCGTCGTATGATGTTTATGAATTTGAGGAAACTCAAGATAACAGCATGTTTACCAAAAACCTTTCGTCCTTTAGACACTTCAAAACTATCAAATCAGATGTCGTCCTTAAAAAAGACGATTCAAAAAATGACTCTGTAATGTCAATCAAAGGCGAGTCCGACACATCTCGAACCTCACCCACTAGCACAAAATTAAAATCTAACAAGATAATCACGAAAAAGAAGTGCAAAATTATGGGAAAGATTTTTAAAAATACTTGTAAATCAAATGCAGGCAGTATTAAATGCATTTCTTTGACTGATGACAATGACGATATAATCGAAGATCCTCCGAAATCACCTGTAATTGAACAAATACAACAGCCTCAAGAGGATGACCTTAAAAGGAATCACAAAATGACACCAGAAGAAATGGACATGCTGTTTAACAGATTGGTCGGTGTTAAAGATGTTTCCTTGGAGGAATTAAAAGAAGTCGATTTAAATAACTCTGAAGATAATTTGGACAATTTCGATATTCCCAAAGATAAAAAAGTTAAAAAAGCTCCTCAAAAGATCAAAAGGAAAAGAAGGCGAAAACGGAACTCTGAAAATTCTACAGACGAAGAATTCAACATCAACAGAACTTATAAAAAGAAAGGGAAAAATGAAGTCAGCGAAAGCGGGATAAATTTGGAACAAGAATTGAAAGAATGTATTGGCGTTGCAAGTAGAAAAAGTCAAAGGAAATGCACTAGTGGCAAACAAAATGTTTTAGTTGAGTACTGGAGCTCCGACGATTCCATGACCGAAATGTTATTGAAAAAATCTTTAGAAGAATCTAAGTCTGCAGAAGATAAGACGAAAATTATCAAAAATGGTGATGAACAAGCAGTGTTTAGAAGAAAAAATAGTGAAGACAGCAGAGTAGCTGATGTTAAATTTAATTATGAAGATCCTCCAAACCAGTTAATAAACATTGATAAATTGAAACAAAATGATAAGAGTGAGGAGGAGTCGGAAAATAATTCTCTAAATCATATAAAAAATGAATGTGATAATAGTACCTCTGAAAGTTTAGGAAATAACAAAAATTGGTCTCAGAATTCTGTCGAAACGGACTGTATGATAAAAAACAAATGTAACATCGCTAATAGTGAATGGCAGTCTTCCCTAAATAAAAGCACCAATGTATCACTTAATTTGGACGTTTCAATTGTAGATGGAAAACAGAAAAAGAGTCAGAAGAACGTTTCTTCTCATCAACAGGACAACAACCATAAGAAACATTTCAATAAATATAAGAGGCGAAAAGGTTCCAAGAAAATTCTTCAATCAGAAAACGTAAAAAAGCGTGTCAGGTCATCAGAAAACTCAGAGACCATAGCAAAAACTAGACAAAAACGATCTAATGTGGATACATTGTATTATTGGTCCAGTTCTAGTGAAGACGAACATGATGTTATAAAAGTGCAAACCTATAGAGATGAATTAGACTATTCTAACGAGGATCGACCGTTACAGCACGGATGGATAGTAGGTGATTCCCCTAAAAAGCTAGTGACAATGTTAGCGCAGGCTAAGGGTAAAAAGGTGGACATACACTGTGTTAAAGAGCAGCGGAGGTGAAGTCAGTAGTGCATTTATTGTCTGTTAATTTTTTTTATTTAGCATAACAAAAGTTATATGTTTGAAACATTATATTAGTGAAGTGATAACTAGTTTTCGTTTGTTGGTACCTCACCCTCATCACGAAGATCTTTACAGTTTTTCATTTGTTTAAAAATGTAAAAAAAATAACGTAAGCTATATATTATAGCANTTGCTTTTATATAGAGAAAATTAAGACAACCAAAAAACAGATTTTTTTACTTCAATATTAAGTTTTCTACAAACTGTGCAATAGAACTGTGATAATTACCAACAAGAAGTATAAAATAAGTGCCTTTTTCTATTTAGTATTTCTCATTTACAATAAATTAGTGGTGAAGCTGCAATATTACATAACTCATCCAATTTTCATTTTATTAACAGCAGTTCTTTCTTTCATTAATTCAGTTACTTATATTTGTTATTACAGATTTCAAATAAAAATATTTTGTTTTGTGCACACAAGAAAAACCAATTGATATTAGTTATGTTTTTGATATAGACGGACCTTTTATCAGAGGCTGCAATCAGATAAGCAGAAGTGTATGTCGCCTAATGCATTAGTTCTCATATTTTTTTTTTACAAAAAGGAACTTTAAAATTAATTTTAATATGTTTCCTTCCTTTTAGTCATAAAAACAACAATTTTCAATTCACGATTTAAGGGATAAATGAACACCAGTTATATTTGTTTTTCCACAAAAAGATATGAAACAATTAGTTGAAGGGCAATATCACTGATTATTTGTGCTTCATTAATTAGTATTTTTAAAATTGAAACAAATGCGTTTTTTTAATGTTTATTATTTGTTTAAAGCAGACTACAATTTTTAAGAATGTTGACAACCAAAGTGCAATTCTGCATCACTTGTAAAAATATATATTTGTTAATAAATAACTACATGTTAACTATTTGCTGTTGTTCTTTGTTTCTCAGAGCATCATAGTACCACTTATTGTCCAAAGTATAAGTGTGTTCATTCCATGTAAAATGTGTAGGAGGATTGTGTTCACCTCTATCAAAAATGAAATATTTGCTAAATTCAATTGCTAACTTCGACATGACTAAACCAATGGATCCAGCTCTTTCTGGGGCAGGGTAATAAACTCGTCCATTGCAAGGTAACATAAATATCTTTTCTGGTAAAAAATTTAGTGTGAGTAATTCTGCAGCATGATTATATGACAGATAATCTTCTTGTTTGCCTTCATTATTTACTTTCTTAACAACTTGGGTATAAACAAACGGATAATCATCGCATCTAACGAAATTACGTTCTTTTCCACAAGGAGATATATAGGGAAATTGCGGGTATCGCTGAGTATTGTTTATCTTTAGACGACTAAAGAAGAATTGCAAAAACTTCTTTTCTTTAAAACAAGAAGTAAAATTTTTCATTTTTGAATCATCTAGAAATAACTACAATTAAATTAGCACAAATTAAGCAATCAGTTGTCTTACCATTCCTTGATGGTCTATATAATAGAAGTATTCACGGACTTTGGGCTCTGGTTCTTGTCCTTGAACGTAAGATATTCTACGCACAAATAAGGGGAGTTTTTTAAGACAAAATACGCGACCTAACGTAATTGCACTCATTTTAACTTAATTAATTAAAATTAATGTTTAAATCTTGACACTTGTTTATTTGTAAACATAAAACTAGGGTTATGTCGGCGTACTGTATCTTTTTGATTGGTGTCTACTGTAGGTGAAAAGGATTGTATATGATGAACATCAATTTATTAAAATATATTCGTATGTACCATTAAGAAATTGTTAAAGTAATATAATGATTTTGTATTTTGTTTAGATTTACGACTTGACCCCTCAATATAGTAAATAGTAACTTGTAACTTATTTGTGAACAAAAGCGAGTAAACGGACAAATAGTATCTATGGACATTATAACGTTATACGTTATCTATTATTCTAACCTAAAAAATAAGGAAATGTTAACAAACTAACCTATAAATTGTTATTTTCATTTCGTTACTTATTAGCAGTTTTATAAGACTAAATATTTAATGTTAATTTGAAGAGAAAATTTTTAAAGGCGTTAATTTGTTAGAGTGTTTTATTGTAACATGGATGAGAAAAAAAATGCCAAACTGTCCAGGGCTGTGCTGGATATGAAGTTTATGAAGAAAACTAAGGAAAGAGTTTTAAAAGAAGAAGAAAATGCGGAAGGGCAATTAATGTACTCTAATGAAATAACAGAAGAAATGAAAGCAGCTGGAAACACACTTTTTGTAGAAACCACTTTAGTGTATTGCAAAGACTTAGTAGAGGGAAGATTATCATTTGGAGGTATGAATCCTGTAATTGAAAAAATTATGAAAGAAGAATACACGAAAAAATTAGAAGACTCTGATAAAGCCAAGGAAAAAGATGTTAGTGATATAGAAATGGCAAAGGGTTATTCAACAGTAGTGGATACAATAGGAAAGAAGTTCCACGATAAACGAAATAGATATAAAAAGAAATTTATTAAACCTTCTGACGATTAAATTATTTCGCATTTTATTGTTGTTACGACATATGCAAATACATTTTGGTATTTTTGTAATTGTATTATTTTATTGTAATTAATGACAAACTACATTTTAATTATAAATGAGCAATTTTGGGGGCGGTGACACAAAATGCAAAAATTTGAAATGCAAGTTATGTAATCTATCACATGTGGCGCTTGCGTATTTTAATTAATACTAACCAAAATAACCTTTCTTTTTTCCTTCACCACTTACATTTGTGGAAAAGTGGAGTTCGTTGCGGACGTTCGCGTTGCAGTGTGAAAGTACTTTCAATCCACCGCTTTCTTATTGTTTAATTTTTTATCACATCAAATCAACATACAGGTAATATATTTTACATAATAGCTTTTCAGTTTTTATAATAAAAACTACTTACAAAAATTCATGTGACCTATAAAAAGGTTATGTAAACTATTTTATAAGAATTTAATCCGTGACAAAATTTAGAATATAAGTTTGGTAATTAATTTTTTAATTTTAAATGTCTTATAAAATTGTCCGTATCGCTTTTTATGTTTTTATTCAAAATTCCTTAACTTTCTCAGAAGTTCCATTTGGAAAGAGGGATGAAACTGACCAAAGCCTCGTACTTAGCTATACGTTTAACAATTTCACAGGTAAGCAAAGTTTAATAATTTCTAAGTTAAGAATTATTTTATAGTACCTACTATTGTCATGATACAAATGTGTGACATTGGTATACCTACTTGTATTTAAACATTAGTAGTTTATTTTTAGATCAAAAGAAAACATTTCAGTTACACCAGATATAATGAGCTGATTGATAATGTTTATTGCGTTTAAATTGTGTACCAATTAAAATTTATATAAATTAAGATTATTAATCTGATGTATTATTTTATATAAGACAGCAATGTGAATTAAAGGTGATTGAAACGTGCAAGAAGAGGTCTTAAACTAATAATACAATTTTTGGCAGAGCCTGTTTAGTAGCTATATTTAGAATGATTTTCAGTAAACTAGCGTGTGAGTCCATTTGAGAAAACATTTTTTTTTATAGAATGCCTCACCTACAAGAAGGCAAAGTGATAAATTAGTCTCTCACGCAGCGCTCTTATTAGCTGGACTTGGTGTTGGTGTCTCATCATTTAGTGTAAAACAACTCCTTTCTTCAAGACAACATTGAAAGAAAATGTATTTGCATTTTTTTGTTATGTAGTTCCTAATTTAGCTTTTAAATTATATGTTACATAAAAGTATGGCAAACAAACAAACTTGCTAATGGAGCAACTCTGTTTTAAAGAGACTGCTTTTACTTTTTTTACGGTTGAAAGTCGTCTGCAATATTAATTTTTTTCATTGCCTAATGCATTAGTTCTCATATTTTTTTTTTACAAAAAGGAACTTTAAAATTAATTTTAATATGTTTCCTTCCTTTTAGTCATAAAAACAACAATTTTCAATTCACGATTTAAGGGATAAATGAACACCAGTTATATTTGTTTTTCCACAAAAAGATATGAAACAATTAGTTGAAGGGCAATATCACTGATTATTTGTGCTTCATTAATTAGTATTTTTAAAATTGAAACAAATGCGTTTTTTTAATGTTTATTATTTGTTTAAAGCAGACTACAATTTTTAAGAATGTTGACAACCAAAGTGCAATTCTGCATCACTTGTAAAAATATATATTTGTTAATAAATAACTACATGTTAACTATTTGCTGTTGTTCTTTGTTTCTCAGAGCATCATAGTACCACTTATTGTCCAAAGTATAAGTGTGTTCATTCCATGTAAAATGTGTAGGAGGATTGTGTTCACCTCTATCAAAAATGAAATATTTGCTAAATTCAATTGCTAACTTCGACATGACTAAACCAATGGATCCAGCTCTTTCTGGGGCAGGGTAATAAACTCGTCCATTGCAAGGTAACATAAATATCTTTTCTGGTAAAAAATTTAGTGTGAGTAATTCTGCAGCATGATTATATGACAGATAATCTTCTTGTTTGCCTTCATTATTTACTTTCTTAACAACTTGGGTATAAACAAACGGATAATCATCGCATCTAACGAAATTACGTTCTTTTCCACAAGGAGATATATAGGGAAATTGCGGGTATCGCTGAGTATTGTTTATCTTTAGACGACTAAAGAAGAATTGCAAAAACTTCTTTTCTTTAAAACAAGAAGTAAAATTTTTCATTTTTGAATCATCTAGAAATAACTACAATTAAATTAGCACAAATTAAGCAATCAGTTGTCTTACCATTCCTTGATGGTCTATATAATAGAAGTATTCACGGACTTTGGGCTCTGGTTCTTGTCCTTGAACGTAAGATATTCTACGCACAAATAAGGGGAGTTTTTTAAGACAAAATACGCGACCTAACGTAATTGCACTCATTTTAACTTAATTAATTAAAATTAATGTTTAAATCTTGACACTTGTTTATTTGTAAACATAAAACTAGGGTTATGTCGGCGTACTGTATCTTTTTGATTGGTGTCTACTGTAGGTGAAAAGGATTGTATATGATGAACATCAATTTATTAAAATATATTCGTATGTACCATTAAGAAATTGTTAAAGTAATATAATNGTATAAAAATAATTTTCCCTTACAACAAATGTTACAACACTTTCTTTAATACTATTAAGTACAACATTTAAAATAGTAAACATGGAATTTAATACTTGTATTAAAAGGAAGACTCCCTTTGTTTACCTGAAGTATTAACTTAAATAATGAATTTCTCCCAAAATTAGAATTAATATCGCGGCCGTTGTAATGATAGCGGCCAGATAACGACCATGTATTGGAACTCTAAATATTTTAGCTTCAATATCTAAGCTGGAGGCGAATAAAAGTAGGGAATTTAAGTCATGGGCAGGTGTATCTTGGTGCACAAAGGGTCTTATTCGCACTTCGTGTCCAACACCTTTTATTAATTTACATGCGTTTGTTAGCCTGGCAGCCTAAAAATACAAAAAGTATTTTAAAATAGCTTAACTTCAAGTGTGCAAACGGTCAGTACATGAGTTTTTACTCCAAATTTTTGAGTTTCGTTGTGGTCTTTGGTTTTTACTACTAGATGTTGCGTTGCTTTTCACTGTTAGCACTCAAGATATTGACAATAAGAGACGGCGAATTATTTGGTACTAAAACCAAAAACCATGGCGAAACCCAAAAGCTTGGCAAGGGACAAATGTTTTATTAAAACGTTTATTAAACAGATAAAAATTTGGTATAGGCAAAACTTAATGAATATTAAAAATAATTTTTCACCTGAAAAAAAGGTGCCAGAGATAAAGCAGCCCATAAGGTTATTATTAAAATATTGATTCCTAATACAGGAACCGTTATGACATCAATATGGTCATAGCCAAGGGACCATAAAATTCCTGTGGTTGTCCATGCTAGATTTATAAATGTGAAGAAGCACATTGGTGGCGCCAAATCTTCATTAAGGTATCTCAGTAGCTTCTTAAACTCGTATATTTCCTTAATAAATAATTACCATTACGAAATTTTATGTAACCATGTTATTTAAAAAAATAGTTTTTTTTTGTTGCTGCTTGCTTACCCTCATCCATTCGATTGCTTGCACTGGAGATTCGAGTAACTTTGCTTTTAAAAACTGCAAGTATGAAGTAAGTAATTGGGCTTGTAAACAATAACAAGAAATCACTGTGGCTTGAACCATATCGTGAAAAAAAGTGCACGTTACAAGTAGTATTTTTAATAGCACTACTGTAATACTCGAACTGAAATTGTAATAAGATGAAAACACTGATCCACTACAGATAGTAAATATCTGCCAGTTGATTCATGAATAAAAAGATTAAAATTACGTTTGGTCTTTACCTGTTTTCTAACCATCTAAATGAGATTCCATCTTGTAACAACAAAAGGATTATGGAAATTAAGGAAAGAATTATCCAGATAAGTCCCAGAAAAATTGAGAACCAGAGTATTTTTACGAGACGTTTTTGATTCAAAAATCCGTTTGAAATATAAGAACAGGATACAAATACCTGTTTAATTTTATATATAAATTAGTAGTAATGTGGTTGTATGACTTGAAAAAAATAAATATATTAACAAAAGTGTAGGAGGAGGAATTAGAGGTAAAGTAATGTCAAGAATTAGTCATCTAGTCATTTTTATAGATATGCTTATTTGCAATTTAATTATCTTAAGCCAGTCTTTAAAATTACAANTTTTTTACTGTGGTTCCTATAAATAAGAAAAGACAGATCAATAACAGCTAAGCATTACTTAATATTTATTTACAAACAAATCATCAATACATTACTAGTAATGTGGTTGTATGACTTGAAAAAAATAAATATATTAACAAAAGTGTAGGAGGAGGAATTAGAGGTAAAGTAATGTCAAGAATTAGTCATCTAGTCATTTTTATAGATATGCTTATTTGCAATTTAATTATCTTAAGCCAGTCTTTAAAATTACAATTTTTTTACCTGACGTTTTATCGATAACTGCAGATAACATCTTCAGTGCACGCTGTTTTTACAACGTGGAAAATGTTAGCTGCAGTTGCAGACTAAATGTTTAGACCTAGTTTTTCATTTGGACCACAGCCTATCTGTGCGAAGGTAAAAACGGTTTTAGGGTGGAGTTTAGTTTTTGCAATTTCGAACTTACTCTTTCCATTAAACAAGGTAATTGATCATCATCAGAGGATCTTATAACATAAACCGCATACAAATACCCAAATAAATGAAGACAATTTGGCACAATGAAAGTGAAAACCAAAGAGCCATGACATATTCTGTTGAACCTCTCTTGTTTGTCGATGCCCCATTCAGAGTATATTATATTGGCTGAAATATCACTTTGACTATTAAACGAATAGCAGAATCCTCGATCTCTTCGAAAACACGCCATATATTGTAAAATATATCCGAATACCATGAATGTTGTTATCACGAACATATACACGTAACTAAGGATGTCGCAAAATATGCTTGTTTCGTATCTTTCCAATGCGAGGGGTCTTAAACCCATCAGACTTAAGAAGAGCAGGTAGGGACTAAGAATTTTTCGTTTGCAGTAACTTAGGACAGCGGTGATACTTAAGTGAGTTTGGTTGTCAGAATAAGACACTTCGACGATATCATCAGTCTAGAAAAAAAGTTGATTAATTAATAGTAGTAGAGTAGTATTAAGTTGTATAGCGATTGGGGGTAAATGGTGTTAATTGCCTCAAATTTAGAAAACATAATACATATTATATTTATATTTAGTTAAATGCTAATGAATCCTAAGTTCACAACATAGAAAGGACTAGGGCCGATAACAGTATGATAAGAGGTAAATTGTTACTATTTTGTTCAGTATGAAATAATAATAATAATAGGAAAAAATAAAAATTTAAAAGATAGCCATGCTTGAACAATATAAGTGTGTATGGGAGTGATCCTGATCGGAATTTTTAAAATAGGTATTGTATTTTAATTATGTTATCATTTTTTTACGTATAAAATTAATGAAATTTTACGTTGGTTTTGCCTAAATGTTTAATTTTAATATGAAATTACATACCGAGTTTAGTGATGAAGAACCTGCGTCAAGCTGTGTTTCATTTCCAATAACTGCTGCTTTTGAATTTTGTGGTGTATCCATTGCTGTAAATAACATTATTAAACGACACTTGCAGAACCGGCTAATCACTTTCTTTCGAACAAATGATTTAATGTTTTTTTCACCTTGTTTTAAATTGAAAGTAAAAATTTACCTTTCGTGTGGCCCCAAATGTGAAAGATACACATAACTTATTAGTAACTTTTTTCTCTCAGTCCATATTCTTCACGAATGAATGAACTGATAACCTTCATGCTATTATTTTGATTACCACAAAGAAGAGTATATCAGACAACAATTAACGTTGAAATGGTATATTAAAATTATTTACTTATCATTATATTTACATTTACACACATGTAAGTTAATGTTGCTTTTTTCTTTTCTGCTGCCAAAGGAACTGATTATGCTTGAACTTTACGCCCGTAAGGGGTCTTATCAATTTCTTTCGTTCTTCTCTGTGTTTCTTGTTTCTCTCTTCTATTTCCTTAAATCGTTTATTTTTCTTGGTCACGAAAGTCATTTCCCGGCTTCCTCCTGATTTTAACATTTTTATCTTCGAATCCGCTTCGTCTTTTAATCTATCCCCCAATGTTGCCCTTAAAATTATTATTACCAAATAGTAACAAATACAAATATTTATGTTGAAATTGTTGTTCTTCAAGTGATAGTGAATTTAAAATATAAATTACGGAAAATAGAGAGATTTGGTTCCGCGTGTTTCAGTGTTATTTTAGATAAACAAGAAGGTTTTGTTTATCAGTGTTCCCTTTTAATAAACAGAAATGTTTGTTCCTTTATGGTTTGTCTACGTATTCAGTGTTAGCTAAGGTGATTAGAACATAAATCAGTAGAATTTATTCTTAGAAGGTTGTGAAGTGCACAGAGAAATTTTTTTGTTCAAAAATGTTTAAAAATATAGAATTGAAGTGTAAGAGTTCTTGCAACTTTACTTACTAAAAGTCTGCATAATATAGATATATCATCTGCAAAAGGAGTTATATATTTTTTCTTAGTTTCTTCATTTGTACATGTTTTTAACAAATTTTTAGATGTAAAATTACTTACTTGTTTACTTTTTTGGTGAGACTATGAATTCCTTTATATTTCTCGCCTTGTCTGAGTTCAAACATCATTGGCTGATTTACTTCGATTTTATTACCATCAGAAGGAGCCTCATTCATTGCATCTTCCTTTTCCTGAAGCCTGTGTTCCCTTTGTATGTTTCTGTATTCCCTTTTAACTTCTTTAGTCCATGTATGCTCATCATCAGAACTTTCTTCGCTTTCATATTCTGATGAAGACTCCTCAGAACTGTTCTTACCTTCAAGCTCTTCCTAATAACAAAAAACAAATATAAAAAAAAGCAAAACGGTAAAAATGTTTTAATTTTACTTCAACTTTTTCAAACTCCTGGGCCTTTAGAAGCTCTTTTTGGAGTTCTTTTTTTCTTGTTTTGTCTAATTTTGAAACGACAGGGTTTAGTAGTCGATATTCTTCCGCATTTTTGTCCACTTCAAAATCTGGATTTTCGAACATCGCTTTAAATCTATTATCTTCCAGAAGGTTTCCACTTAATTTATTCTTTTTCTTATTATTCGTTTGCTCGTCAAGCAGTTTTAGTGCTAGGTCTTTATTCACTTTGGGAAGTTTTTGAACTTGGATGCGACTACTTCTGTCCTTCTCGATTGCTTCGCGAATCTTCTTTTTGCGGTATTCTTCAAATTCGAACGGATTTGCCACTGATTTTGCTTTCTTATATAGTCGAACATCCAAGAAGTAACTGAAATTTCAAGAGCAGTTATATTTAAAAACAATATTAAAAACAGTGATAACAATACCCATGCATGTAGGCCCTTAATAAATTAGAACCAATTAGGTGTTCTAATCCCAAATTTTCCAATTCTTGCTTGGTAACAAATTTGTAATCGTCGTAAATATTTTCTGTATTATCTTCTTCTAATTCTTCAGTTAGGGAGTCCAAGAAACTGGCCCAACGTGGAGCAGGGCCTAGACTTGGAATGTAATACGTCTGAATTTTGGGACTCTCATTTGCAAGGAAAAACAGTCCAGTTTTTGGTACTATACATAAGTTGTTATATTCAGCATTACCTTTCGATTGATGTAAACAACTTCCCCTGCAATATTCATAATTAATAAATATTATTTTTTAAATATTCTGTTTATTCACATCATTTTTATTCCATATTTTTAAGACAGATGCATCCAGTGAATAAACAAGATCTTGATTGTAATGAAATTCCACATCTTTTATTGGTAAATTGTATAGGTGATCTTTAATAAAGAAAGGTTTGTTTGATCTTATGTCATAAAGTAAAATTTGCCCTGTAGCACTTCCTACTCCAAGAGTTAAACTTCCATTAAATTTTAAAGCTGTAACAGAGGGAAATCCCTCTAAACTAAGGCAAAATAAATAAGTAAATGTAAAACAATACCGCAATATAAATAACTTACTCTTTGTTTTCGTTTATACAACTAAAAGCACAATCTAATGTTCCAACACAATTTTTTGTACGAGGATCCCAACCTTCGATTTTTCCATCCTGAGTTCCACAAACTATTAAATTATGTATGGGATTAATTGCGCATTTGTTAATTTCTACAGAAGAACTGCAAAAAGGTGATAAAAACTGTCCCCTTTCCAAATTAAGTCTGTAAATCTCAGGAGTAGCTCCAACTACAAATAAATCACAAGATGGATAATGATACTGCATATCTCTGCCAAATTTTGGCACACGGAGTCTATAGTATCTTCCATGTGCAGCATGAAACTCTATGTATCTATCACATTGTAGAAACACCACCTGAAATGTGATATTTGTCACTTGTTTGTAATAATTTTTTACTGGTGTTATTACTTTGCTAAAATCATCACTTAAAACCTCAAAGGTCACAGCTTCAGAGTCAAAGCATCTTTCAAATTTTAAAGAAAGGTTATTAACATCAAAACATTTGATTCTTGGTTTGTAAACTCCTGTTGCAAAAATATATTGACCATCCTTAGATACTTTTACAGTATTGCTAACTCCTGGCATATCAAAATCTTGAATAAGCTCAATTCGTTTTCTGAGATCAACATTTTTCTTTAAAAGAGCCCTTCTTTTTCGTTCAGACAACCACTAAAACATTTTACATGAACACCACTTAGAAATTTAGGTTGAAACTCATTTACCTCCGGTAAGGACTTTCCTACACTTAAATTGTATATTTTAACGTTATTGACGTCTGAAACCTGCATTGTGAATAAAATTCATACGGATTTATGTAGTTGAATGGGCTCTTTAATTAAAATAATACAATGATGTTAATAAACACCTAATATGCACATGAAAAAATTAAGGTTAGAAACCATAGACAGGTTAGAAACAATTGGAAACAATAAATGTTAAAAGAGTTGCCTAAATTCGTACAAATTCGTCGCTCATGAATTAGGAAGTGTCTATGTAAACAGTAATGTATAATAAATAAGAATTACATTTACTAGAATTCTGGTTAATTAAAGTTTTTCAGTTACTTTCTAATCGTTTAATAAGTGAATTACAGGAGTGGTTAGAAATTTAAAACTACTTTGTTGTCAGGTAAATACTAAAATTCTTCAAAAATATCTGTGAATTCCATCTATGATTGACAGTATTGAAAATAACGCGAACTCATTGTTGTCGATGCCATACAACTGAAGTTTCTCTTTTTGTTAATTATTTAATTAATTTGTAAATAAAAACTGAGAATACATTATGCCTAGTCAAGAAATTACGACATCAAAAGTGGTAGTTCATCCACTAGTTCTATTAAGTGTAGTGGACCACTTCAATCGTATGGGCAAAATTGGGAATCAAAAACGTGTTGTTGGAGTTCTTCTTGGTTCATGGAGATCAAAAGGTGTGCTGGATGTCTCAAATAGTTTTGCTGGTATGTTTTATATATCTTTTCACTTGTGATATTCTTATTTCAATCGCTTTTGTAGTACCGTTTGATGAAGATGACAAAGACAAGTCAGTTTGGTTCTTGGATCACGATTATCTGGAAAATATGTATGGAATGTTTAAAAAAGTAAATGCACGAGAAAAAGTCGTTGGCTGGTATCATACTGGCCCAAAACTGCATCAAAATGACATAGCCATTAATGAACTAATCAGAAGATACTGTCCTAATTCTGTGTTGGTTATTATTGATGCCAAACCTAAGGACTTAGGTTTGCCAACAGAAGCATATCAGGCAGTTGAAGAAGTCCATGATGATGGATCACCAACCTCAAAGACTTTTGAACATGTTCCTAGTGAGATTGGTGCAGAAGAAGCAGAAGAGGTAGGCGTTGAACATCTTTTACGTGACATTAAAGATACAACTGTAGGCACATTGTCTCAAAGAATCACCAACCAATTGCTAGGTTTGAAAGGCCTCCATTCACAATTAAAAGAAATCAGAGATTACTTAATTCAAGTAAGTGAATCAAAATTGCCAATTAACCATCAGATTATTTATCAGTTACAAGATATTTTTAATTTACTGCCTGACATTAATCAGGAAACATTTACCAAATCGTTTTATGTTAAAAATAATGATCAAATGCTGGTAGTTTACTTAGCAGCCATGGTTAGATCAATCGTTGCCTTGCACAATTTAATAAATAATAAATTGACTAACAGAGATGCTGAGGAAGGTAAAAAAGAGGAGAACAAAAAAGACAAAGATAAGGATAAAGAAAAAGAATCAAAGAAAGTAGATGATAAGAAAAAGTAGACTTTGCTTTTGTGCCCTCCTTATTAATACTTTTTGTTAATTTCTAAGTTGTACTAAGTAAATCAATTTATATTTAATTTAATTTTGTAATTGTAGTTTAACACAATTTACAAATAAAGTCCCTAAGAATCGTAGATACTTGTTTTTGTTTTTAATACACAATCAATTAATAGTCATTTTTATCATAAGATGTTAACATTTAATAATTATTTTGCAATATCATAAGGGCATTAAGGCCAATGAACATCCTTTTTATTAATTCTTTAATAGTTTCTACTACATTTCATTTTGAATTTGAAAATAGGAAAACTTTAAGTACTGCCCACTGTTTAAGTAACCCAGGTTGTAATCAACTGTTGCCCCATTAACCTATTCCTTAATAAAAGTGAGTGTGTGTGTGTGGGTGTTTTGTGGATTTTAATTTTGCAGTATAAATCTTGTTTTGAAGTTTTAAATTTTTAAATTATATTTTAAAACTTGAGAGTTTGGTCGAATATATTTATAATTCTTTTTGTGTTTGAGTTGAGTACTGTGTTATCTTCCATTACCTTGTACATCGTTTCTAGGTGCATAGGTCTTTTTGACAATAATTATGTTTATTCCAAATGGTTGTGTTTTTTATATTTAATTGTTTAATGTATTTTTATAAAAGTTACTCTTGCTGACTTGTTTTGCGAACTTTTAAAGTATTACCGAGATATGTTACAGTTGGGCTGTTTGAAGTTACAATTTTATTAGCTACCTTGAAAAACGTGGGCAGTTGTTAATAAAAATTGCGTTAGTTTAAACCTTTCATACCTACTACAGTATCATGGAGAAATAGAAATTATCATAATTATAAAATGCAACTTTCCGGGTGTATATTGTCAGTAAGTTTTTATATTGTAAAAAGTGTTTTAAAATGTAGGTTTTACATTATTAGCAATCACAGAAAAACATATTTTATTCCAAAAATAAGTCGTGGATACAATCGCTTATTAGTTAGTTACATAATCTTATCACAATTTTTTACTGTGGTTCCTATAAATAAGAAAAGACAGATCAATAACAGCTAAGCATTACTTAATATTTATTTACAAACAAATCATCAATACATTACATGATTATATATTATTACAAGTATGACAATAAATAATTTGCGCCTCCAAAAATATTCGTGAAGACTCTGAATGTCTGATGAATTGTTNAACTATTTCTTCAAAATTTTTTAATTTGTTTGGGGTAGTTTTAGACCACCTCAGGATTTTTAATGTGTCTCAATGTTATTTATTACTAATTTTTACCGAGATTTCTTTTGCGTGAAACTATTTCTAATTGTTTATAACTAATAAACAGTTAAAAAAAAAGTAGCGTAAATCACTTCCCAAAATTATCCGTACAAACCCTCAGACAAATAAGGGTTTTACTCACGATTTAGTAGCGAAAATTATTTCATATTACAGACAGAAACTTAATGTTATTTTATGAGTGTGCACAGAGATTATTTATTAAAATACAATTAAACATTCATTTCGCTATCAATGAAAACAAGTAAAAACCTACATACTAATAAAAATACGTAATTTTAATTTAATTGCAAGTGCTAGAGACCGATATAAATTATTTTAATAATTACTTAATTACACGCACTTTTCTGAAAATAAACTATCTTTATTGCAGGGGAAATACCCTAAGCTGTTCAGCAAATTGTAATGAAATGTACTGTGTTATCTTCCATTACCTTGTACATCGTTTCTAGGTGCATAGGTCTTTTTGACAATAATTATGTTTATTCCAAATGGTTGTGTTTTTTATATTTAATTGTTTAATGTATTTTTATAAAAGTTACTCTTGCTGACTTGTTTTGCGAACTTTTAAAGTATTACCGAGATATGTTACAGTTGGGCTGTTTGAAGTTACAATTTTATTAGCTACCTTGAAAAACGTGGGCAGTTGTTAATAAAAATTGCGTTAGTTTAAACCTTTCATACCTACTACAGTATCATGGAGAAATAGAAATTATCATAATTATAAAATGCAACTTTCCGGGTGTATATTGTCAGTAAGTTTTTATATTGTAAAAAGTGTTTTAAAATGTAGGTTTTACATTATTAGCAATCACAGAAAAACATATTTTATTCCAAAAATAAGTCGTGGATACAATCGCTTATTAGTTAGTTACATAATCTTATCACAATTTTTTACTGTGGTTCCTATAAATAAGAAAAGACAGATCAATAACAGCTAAGCATTACTTAATATTTATTTACCTGTTTAATTTTATATATAAATTAGTAGTAATGTGGTTGTATGACTTGAAAAAAATAAATATATTAACAAAAGTGTAGGAGGAGGAATTAGAGGTAAAGTAATGTCAAGAATTAGTCATCTAGTCATTTTTATAGATATGCTTATTTGCAATTTAATNACATATTTTATTCCAAAAATAAGTCGTGGATACAATCGCTTATTAGTTAGTTACATAATCTTATCACAATTTTTTACTGTGGTTCCTATAAATAAGAAAAGACAGATCAATAACAGCTAAGCATTACTTAATATTTATTTACAAACAAATCATCAATACATTACATGATTATATATTATTACAAGTATGACAATAAATAATTTGCGCCTCCAAAAATATTCGTGAAGACTCTGAATGTCTGATGAATTGTTACTTTCACTAGAATTTTCGAGCGATAATTCCTTATCATTTTCGTTTATAGGGTTGTCGTTATTATAATTTGCAAAATACCAGTCGTCTTGCTTAGTTCCATCGTTGGTTTCAGTTATCGTAGCTTTTTCACTTTGTTTCATTTTGTTATGCTTTCTCGAACCGGATGGTTTATTAGAAATGTCTTGATTTGATTGAAGCGGCGAAGAAACGTGAGGAGGTGTGATACGTGTGATTTTACCCGTATGTCGAAATTTACCCCCCTGTGGTATTATACTGGGCGGATTTCCTAAGTTTAGACTGGTAGTGTTTTTAACAGCCTCTGTCTTTTTGATTATATCTTCTATAAGCGAAATGTCCCTTTCCGTTGGTTCAGGTGTGTAGGTAAAAATTGAACTTTTCATTCTAGTTTCGTCATTGTCGGTGGACATACCATTTTTTCTTTCGTATTTTGGTGATATTCTAACAGGTGTTGAAAAAGTAGGTCCTAAAGTGCTAATATTGAAATCAGATAACCCTGCGGGCGTTTCCTTATTAATATTCTCAAAGTTAACTGTCGGATTAATGTCTAACTTGGTTACTAGTTTTGTTGCTGGGGTTTCGGTTGTGGTAATTATCACAGAAGTTATTTTATCTTCCACTGTGGAGGATTCGATGTTAAATTCTTCTTCGACTGTTTTTTTAACTCCCGTTAACGTAATTGTACCTCCCCTTCGTATATTTGGAGAATCTTCATCGTCAATGCTGGTTTTGTTCTTAAAACTGGTTGTTTTTTCTTCAATTTTTTTAATAACTGGACCCGGGATGGGTGTGAAACCACCTGTACCAGGAATAAAAGGAACAAATCCACCTTCTTGTAAATTTGGTAGTTTGAATTTAGGCGGTACACTGTTTAAAATCATTGCCTTTTTTCGTTCAAATTCTTCGTCCAGTTTTGGGGATACCGACATTCTTCCTTTAGGACCCCAGAACTTGTTCAAAGCAAAATTACCCAGAGGCAGACCAAAAAATGTAAAACCACTGCTACTTGGTGAATTTGTTACATTCCTTGGGATGTCCGAGAAGATATTTTTGATCCTGGTTTTGTTCCTTGTAGCCGCGTATAAAGTGGGAGTATCACCTGGAGTAAAATGGGGAGATTTCAGAATTTGCCCTTTTTCTTGTTGTATGGTTTCTAGGACTGTTTCGTTAATTGGATAGTCAATAAATTCGTCGTAGAAGTACTCGGACTCTTGAGGTGATGGTACCAGTTCGTTAGGTGGATCGGTAATTGCGGTTTTATTCCTTTTTAAATTATTCTTCTGAGCGAATACTTGGGAAGTACCCAATAGTCTGTTGTCCATATTTAAGTCTGTTTCGCATTCGGGAGCTATGGGTTCCATCTTGTTGTCATCTTTACGGCAGTCCTGCTGACTAAGACGAACTTCTCGAAGAAGGGTACCGTCTCCACAAATTGGACCTTTTTGGAAAGTTTCTTCTACCCAAACTTTTAACCATAAAAGGTTACAAGAGCACACCAACGGATTTCCTGGAATACAAAATACGTTTTTGAGAAAAGTATAGCAGGTACAGAATTGTCTAGATACTTACCATTAACATCAATAATTTCCAAATTTCCTCGTAATTTTCGGACAGCATTTTCAGGGAAAGACAATAGTCTGTTATTTTTGAAACTTAGGACTTTTAATCGATACATCAAATTAAACGGCGTACCATGTATCGCGCATATTCTGTTATCGTCCAATTTCAATTCAACTAACCATTCCATTAGCTCGAAGCTCGAACTAGAAATTCTTACCAATCCATTGTTACTCATATCTAACATTTCCAAAGATTTTAAAGCCCTTAATCCTGCATTTTCCACCGAAACGAACAAGTTGTAGCTTAGATTCAGTAAAAGCATATTGGGTACCAAATGGAAGGCGTGATCGGCAATTTTATGAAGATGATTTTCTTGCAATTCGACCACTTGAAGTGACGGCAAACTGTTGAATGATCGGTTTGGAATCATTTGAAGTTTATTTTGTCGTAATATTAAAACTTTTAAGCGTGGAAGCATGTGAAACGTGTTCGTTTCAATTATTTCCAAATTATTGTTTTCCAAATTTAAAATTTCTAATACGGGTAAATTGTGAAACGCATTCGATTTAAGTTCAGCTATTAAATTTCGTGATAGGTTCAATTCTGTTAACGAATCTAATGTTTTAAGGACGTCAGGACTTATTATACGTAACTGATTGTAACTTAAATCTATTATTTGTAATAATTTTAATCCAAACATAGAAGCAGGAAGATCGGTTAATAAATTGTGAGACGCCTTAAGTACTTCTATTGCTCTTGTCTTTTCAAAAACATTCGGTAAGATTTCTTTCAGTTTGTTTTTACTTATATCTAAAAGTTTTAAATTTGGCATGGCTCTTATTACTTCTACCTTTAAGGTGTCCAAATTATTTTCACGTATTTTAAGCTCTTTCATGTCGGGTAATTCTACGAATGTGTCACTTTCTATGACGCTAATACGGTTTTTACTCAAATCCAAATGATGGAGTTTTGCAATTCCCTTAAAAGTGCTCCCTTCTAGATGTGATATTTCATTTTTGCCTACAAGAAGCCTTTTTAACTGCGGCAGAGATTCTAGTATTGCTGGAGGAATTTCTTGCAACCGGTTCATTGTTAAATCCAGGGTTTTTAGGTTTGGTAGGTCAAGATCGGCCGATGAAGTTGGTGGAATGTAATTAATTTGATTGTCAGACAAATATAAATACTCTAGAGTTCTTGGAAGACCTGGCAGGAAATCTTTTAATCTGTTGAAGTGCACATCCAGTTCGTAAAGGTTTAGTAAATGATTAAAGGTGGCAGGATGTAAAGATTCGATCTCGTTATGGGATATATTAATGTGTTCTAGAGCAGGAGTTTCTAGAAAAGCATTTGGATCTACTTCCATCAATCCATTTCCACTTAAATCTAGTCGCCTTAATGATGGCAGGTTTTCTAAAAATGGAGGTTCTAATCTTTGAATGTAGTTTTCCGATAGGTCTAGTCCTTTGAGGTTTGGTAAATTCCACAAAGGACCTACTAAAATGTCGGATAGGGAATTATTTTTCAGTCTTAATTCTGTTAGAGCCGGCATAGCCATGAACGCTTCTCTATCGATAATTCGTAATCTGTTGTGATCCAAATGTAGCCGTTCTAAAGTGGGATGTCCTCTAAGGACTCCGAACGGTATAGCATCCAAATTGTTATAGCTAAGATCGAGAAAAGTAAGTCGTGGTAATGCGTCCAACAAAGATCTGACTTCTGCGATGTGAGTTATGTCGTTTTGCACTAGCCATAACTCCTCCAGACCACTTCCAGAATGTTGTAGGAAACTTTCGGGGTGGACCTGATGGACTAAGTTCTTACTTAGGTCGATGAAACGCAGATTAGGAACTTTGTGAAAAGCACCGTGATGCAGTTCTGTTATTTGGTTGTTGGATAGGTGTAATTTTTTCAGTGATGGAAGATCGACAAACGAAGCTTCACTTAGTCTTTCTATAAAATTGTGATCTAAGTATAAATTCTGAAGGACGGGAAGATCTTTGATACTTCTTCCTACCATTGCCGCTTCCGTTATTTTATTGCCAGTTAGTATTAGGTCTATTAAAGAGGGCAAATGACTAATTGCTCTGGGATGAATCCAAGATATCCCACAAAAAGAAATATTGACTAAAGATAAATTAGGTAATGCTTCTAATAAACCACTTTCAAGCCTTGCTAATCTGGGACTTTTAGTTACGTGGAACGTTTCCAGTGCTGGCAAATTACGAAAATGCCTTGAAGATAGATCAGTTAACGATGTGGATTCAATTTGAACATAACGTAGTTTCGGTAAACCGGAAAAATCAGGAACTCTCTTCAGATGTTTGCTATGTAGTGTTATTGCTTCCAACTTGGTTAAATGTATCAAAGAATCGTCTGGAAGACTTCTTAGAGTAGGCTCAACGAGGAAGAGTTCCATTAATACTTCTTCTAGTCCTACTAACCAAGTGTTTGACACTCTTTCCAGTTGATTATTTCGAAACATGAGGCGCATTATTTTTAGGGAAGAAAATGCCTTTCCAGGCAGGGACGGAAGGTTGTTATTTTCCAGAATTAGTTCGTCAATAGGACCTTTTATGTATTTGCTTACCGTTTCGAGAGCTTCTAAAGTTTTTGGTAAATTGCTATGAGAGCACCTTCGGAAGAAAAAAGTCATTATTTAATTAAAAAATTGAACATTTTAAAATTTTTTGTATTTTGTTTACCAAATTTGGATTTCTTCTTGCCTTTGAAGACATCTGCATGGTAGAATTGCTTCTTGGTAAGGACATGTACGATTTGATTTGGCGTCGACGAGAATAAATAATACAGTTAAAATAAAACCCACCCACTGCAATTTGTATGCCATTGCTTCTGTTAATCATCTCATTATTATTGTTGATTATTTACTTAAGATGTTTTCACATTTACTTCTACTACATGACGGTCTAAAATGATTTAAAAGTTTTACGTTTTGAATTGATCTGTGATTAAATATTTCATATTAGGTATTTATTTATCTAAACGTGTATATTTTCTATCAAATGTTAACTTCTTAATTTACAAGAACTGACTATGCTAATGTAATGTTTCAAAAATTTCAATTCAGTGAATTGTTAATCCATTGTATACCAGCATGCAGGCAGGTAGCAAGGATAATTAATTGAAAGTAGCATTTTTCCTTTTTGGTGTAAAATAGCTTTCTTTTACTTTGTTGTTAGTTAATCGTTTATTGTTCCGTTTTGCTCTAAATTCTTGCAAATCGTGGGTAGAGTGGATAGATTAGTTCCATTAGGAGAATTGCATAAGCTTAGCATTGTTGGTAAGAACATGGATATAATTGACGTGACACTTGTTTTCCTAAATTTAAATAACATTTCCGAAATATCCTTTTGCATAATACTGATAGTTAACATTTTGATTGCTGCTTTTCCTTCCATTTAGAATTTTAGCGCTTATAATGATGAATGTTTTGCAATGAATATTTACTGTAATATTTGCGGGCTTCTAGTAGAAAAAAAATGTAATTACTTAGTCTTTTGATGAACAGAGCAATTAGGGTTTTTCTTTCCTAAAGAGATTAAATTTAAAGATTTTATACTTTTTAGGAAATTATACATCCTTATTTAAGACTAAGTACATCTAATACGGTCAAGTTTTTCTGTTTGTAATATTTTTGTGATTTTTAGTTGTTAATCCCTGTGTTTAGTTTAAAAAAATTTTAGTATTTAGTTAATAATTTGCAAATTTTTTGTTTTTGTTACATATGTTTATTATGTGGTATATGTTGTTAATGATGTTAAGAACTTTTCTTAAATTGCATAACTGCTTTTATGCATTAATGTCACGCTTATCCTGTCAAGTGTCTCTAAATGTATCGTGTGACATGTCGCATATACATGTATAAAAATTCTTACGGTATTTTATCACATGTAAAGAAGAATTTAGATGCAATAGCGGTTGTTTTTTACGCACTGTGACTGCCATCAAATTCTCAAATTATTCTATAAAAATAAAATTAGCCTCAACATGACTTTAATCCACTTTGGCCCACATTGAATGAAATACATATATGTACGTGTGTCTAATAATTCAGTGCGTGTGTGAATGTTTGCACCCGATTCATTTTTTCTATTTACTTATCACTACTTAAACTTTTATGAAGTAGCTAAACTATTTCTTCAAAATTTTTTAATTTGTTTGGGGTAGTTTTAGACCACCTCAGGATTTTTAATGTGTCTCAATGTTATTTATTACTAATTTTTACCGAGATTTCTTTTGCGTGAAACTATTTCTAATTGTTTATAACTAATAAACAGTTAAAAAAAAAGTAGCGTAAATCACTTCCCAAAATTATCCGTACAAACCCTCAGACAAATAAGGGTTTTACTCACGATTTAGTAGCGAAAATTATTTCATATTACAGACAGAAACTTAATGTTATTTTATGAGTGTGCACAGAGATTATTTATTAAAATACAATTAAACATTCATTTCGCTATCAATGAAAACAAGTAAAAACCTACATACTAATAAAAATACGTAATTTTAATTTAATTGCAAGTGCTAGAGACCGATATAAATTATTTTAATAATTACTTAATTACACGCACTTTTCTGAAAATAAACTATCTTCTAGGGGACTACTCTAAGCTGTTCAGCAAATTGTAATGAAATATTTTTTATTTTCGGTAATATNTTCGATTGATGTAAACAACTTCCCCTGCAATATTCATAATTAATAAATATTATTTTTTAAATATTCTGTTTATTCACATCATTTTTATTCCATATTTTTAAGACAGATGCATCCAGTGAATAAACAAGATCTTGATTGTAATGAAATTCCACATCTTTTATTGGTAAATTGTATAGGTGATCTTTAATAAAGAAAGGTTTGTTTGATCTTATGTCATAAAGTAAAATTTGCCCTGTAGCACTTCCTACTCCAAGAGTTAAACTTCCATTAAATTTTAAAGCTGTAACAGAGGGAAATCCCTCTAAACTAAGGCAAAATAAATAAGTAAATGTAAAACAATACCGCAATATAAATAACTTACTCTTTGTTTTCGTTTATACAACTAAAAGCACAATCTAATGTTCCAACACAATTTTTTGTACGAGGATCCCAACCTTCGATTTTTCCATCCTGAGTTCCACAAACTATTAAATTATGTATGGGATTAATTGCGCATTTGTTAATTTCTACAGAAGAACTGCAAAAAGGTGATAAAAACTGTCCCCTTTCCAAATTAAGTCTGTAAATCTCAGGAGTAGCTCCAACTACAAATAAATCACAAGATGGATAATGATACTGCATATCTCTGCCAAATTTTGGCACACGGAGTCTATAGTATCTTCCATGTGCAGCATGAAACTCTATGTATCTATCACATTGTAGAAACACCACCTGAAATGTGATATTTGTCACTTGTTTGTAATAATTTTTTACTGGTGTTATTACTTTGCTAAAATCATCACTTAAAACCTCAAAGGTCACAGCTTCAGAGTCAAAGCATCTTTCAAATTTTAAAGAAAGGTTATTAACATCAAAACATTTGATTCTTGGTTTGTAAACTCCTGTTGCAAAAATATATTGACCATCCTTAGATACTTTTACAGTATTGCTAACTCCTGGCATATCAAAATCTTGAATAAGCTCAATTCGTTTTCTGAGATCAACATTTTTCTTTAAAAGAGCCCTTCTTTTTCGTTCAGACAACCACTAAAACATTTTACATGAACACCACTTAGAAATTTAGGTTGAAACTCATTTACCTCCGGTAAGGACTTTCCTACACTTAAATTGTATATTTTAACGTTATTGACGTCTGAAACCTGCATTGTGAATAAAATTCATACGGATTTATGTAGTTGAATGGGCTCTTTAATTAAAATAATACAATGATGTTAATAAACACCTAATATGCACATGAAAAAATTAAGGTTAGAAACCATAGACAGGTTAGAAACAATTGGAAACAATAAATGTTAAAAGAGTTGCCTAAATTCGTACAAATTCGTCGCTCATGAATTAGGAAGTGTCTATGTAAACAGTAATGTATAATAAATAAGAATTACATTTACTAGAATTCTGGTTAATTAAAGTTTTTCAGTTACTTTCTAATCGTTTAATAAGTGAATTACAGGAGTGGTTAGAAATTTAAAACTACTTTGTTGTCAGGTAAATACTAAAATTCTTCAAAAATATCTGTGAATTCCATCTATGATTGACAGTATTGAAAATAACGCGAACTCATTGTTGTCGANCTAGGGGACTACTCTAAGCTGTTCAGCAAATTGTAATGAAATATTTTTTATTTTCGGTAATATTAAATTTTTTTTATGAAGTTTTCCAAATTTGTATCGACAAAATCAAAGAAACTATTGCATTCGTTATTTATTAGCATAGGATTTTACCATCCTTCGCGTAATTTTCACTCCTGCCTTAGGCTCGGGTGGTAATTTTTATGGGGAGGAAGTTAAACAATTTCTTTAATAAAAATTAAGTGCGATTTCGTACCTTGCATGTTCTTGAAATCAAGAAAAATCATCGTAGGTACTTTTGTTAGCGGTACAGTAAAAGTTCATATACGCCATCCGATCCTTCGGAAGAAAGTACGGCATCCCTCCCGGGAGTTTGCATTCGCGCCCAATAGGAAACAGTACTTTCTTCCCTCGTTGCATATTTCATATGCACTGTTTTGGTAACTAATATTGAATACAATATAATAGCGTTTATTTCATAGTCCAGACGATAATCGCGATTTCAATTTCATTAATAATGTACGCTGCATCATCGCGTTACACGATTAAAACCTTGTCTAGTGCATGAAATACTTCATTTGTAGCAAAACTTCACTAGACGACGATATAGGTACTTCCTGTACTTGAAAATATAATTCGTCCTTCTATTGGAGTACTTATGATACTCGTATAGTATTAATTTTTACTCTTCAAATGTATGTTTAGAAAAGTTTTTATAGAAAAACTTCGTTCTTGATAGGACTGGGATTGATAAGGAGTAGAAATATTGTTTTTAAAATATCAGGGCTCTTTATAATTTTATTAAATTCAGGACATTCCGTTTACGATTATATAAATAGATTTTTTTGTGTAATACAGTATTTTATTTTTTTTGCTTATAAAGTTATTTTACAGTTTTTAAAGTCATTCCAAAATTTCGAAAAACTCACGAAAAAGCAAAATAAGTCTTTGAAATGAACCGATTTTATAAGTTTAATAAAATTATATTAAAACTGGTCTAAAAAAGAAAACAAAATATCGAATGTATCATGGTTCTAAAATACGCTCTATCAACCCTAATACTTTAAAAAATTCAAGTGTGTATTTCCCCAAAGGAAAATTCATTCACTGGTAATGTACTTAACAATAATAATGAAATGGTAAATAAGTTTGTAAACCACCTGTAAGATACTAAAGGAACTATTGTGGGTTTCAAGTCCTTAATTGTATGCACAATAGAAATTTAAAAATAATAGGGAAAGTGAATGAGTTGCTACTATAACTTTCGGCTCACTAAAGTGTGAACGGATTCTTTTATGTTTTACCATGCAAGCTTTCTACAGTTTTCGTTTATCTTCAGTGATTAAGTCGGTTAAATTATTTATCTAATCAAACATCTTACTACCGGAAAGGGTAATTTCTGGACAAAAATATCGGACAATGCGCCATTAAAAACACATAACATCATTATCAAGTGAAAGCAGAAAATCGAACACAGATATCTTAAATATTTAGAGCAACACATTGTTTTTTCTTTTGGGGAGAATTTTAAATTTTTTCAATTATTTTGACGTCTTTTTATTCAATTCTCTACGTGGTGTGTCAAATGAAAATAAATTAAGTATGAAAGTTATACACGATACTTAATTTTACCTCAGAAATTTTTATTTTACTAATTTAAAAGAGTATTTTATATACTACCTAAGTACCTGCTGAATTTCAGTAGTTGTAAGAGAATATACCTAGGTAAATTTGATTTGTGTTTAGTAACTAATTCTTTCACCAAAGGATTTAAAAAGGACTAACAAACTAATAATAAAATATTTACACTACTTTTAATGGAATATTACTATTACAATTCAAAAAATAGAATACCTTTGATACGCTGTCACGTGATTGTTTTTCAAACTTCTCGTAGCAAATTTTCGATTTGACAACACACGCGCGCAAGTGAGGACTCGCTTTTCACCGGCTCAATTCAAAACGTGAAATGCTCGCAAAAGAATGAATAAGCGAATGTAGAACCAACGTTACAGTCCGCTAAGCGCCTATGAAAATACTGCATGCATCTTGGAAAAAGAAGTTGGAATAAGCGTCTTGTAAAGACAATCAAATTTACGTTAAACAGAACATAACGTAGATTTGTTGGCACTTTATGGTTAAGTTTTTTTTCACAGTATTTATGTTGCATAATTTTGTATACGCTTACTTTCAATTTTGTATCATGATTCTGTTTTTTAATTTTTGACATTTTTTTAAAAACTAACTTTCTGGGTGTATTTTGTATACTGTGTTAGTAATTTTTGAGAACTTGTGTACGGCGTTTATCAGTAATTACCTAAATCCAGATTGTTTTCTTGAATTCTATAGTTGGTTACTGGTTACGTTATGACGATGCTCTATTTCAGATCTTTTTGTTTCTAATAATTCTAATAACATTAGGTATCATTTGATACGACAGTAAATAATAAAATAGAAAATTAAATACGTGCTCCAAGTCAAAATATTTATAATTTTGACCATGATGTCAAAAGGTTGATCGGTGAGGAGTTTCGATTCATTACATCATCATTATGATCATCATAAGGTCGTCAGTCCTAAGAATGGTTGGACACGCACCACCACTTTTTTCTATCCTGAGCTAATCTTCGCATTTCCCTAAACTAGAATATTCCAAATCCTTAACTACTTGCGAACAGCAATCTAATCTAGGTCTACCTCTACCACTCCTCACTTCCGTTTCTGCCCCTAATATGTCTCTGACTAAACCTTCATGTCTGAGAAGGTGTCCTACCATCCTATCTCGCTTATTTCTTATTGACTTCCATAGAGTCCTGTGTGTTCCTATTTTTTCTAATACCTCTTCATTTCTAACCTTTTCTATCCACGGTATCCTCATCATTCGCCTGTAACACCATATTTCGAACACTTCTAACTTTTTCTTTTCCGCCGCCCTCACTGTCCGTGTTTCGCACCCGTACAGCGCCGTGCTCCAAACATACACCTTTAACAACCTTTTTCGAATTTCTGAATTAACCGTTCGCTAGCAAAGCAGTGACTTCTTTTTATTGAAGGCGACTCGACTCTGCGCTATTCAGAAAGGATTTGATATGGACTAAAGTTGCATTATGTACAAAATAGAAAATGAGTATTAAATTCCTTATAATTTAACCATTTTGAATAATTCGTCGTTAAAATTAAAAAAAAAGTTAGAAATAAATCTGATAGTTGTTTGTTTATTTATAGTTTCCTAGTAGTTGTTCGTAGCATTTTCTGTTGTAATATTAATCATTTAACTGCCCGAAAACTGTGAAAAAAGAAAGAAGCAAATATTATTATGTTAATTGTTGTTGAATAGTTGAATATTTCAAATGTGACATAAAATAAGCACAACTATTACATCGTAGACAATTTAGATTACATAAAATAAGCGCAAAATGAAGCAGTTTTGGGAAAACCGGACAAATTCGTTCCACAGACATTTTCAAGGTACGTACGATTAAAATTTATTTTTTAATCTTAAGTTTAAGTCGAAACTTAAAATTAAAATGATACTTGTTTTACGTCGTTTACCACTCTTACCTATCCGAATACGTATCTACTCTTCATGCTGATAAGAGAGTAAATTATTTATTTCTTATGTATACTTGTAGTTTTCATTGGATAAAAGATCCCTTCAGTTCTTATCTTAAAAATAAAACATGAATTCCATATTAAAATTTTTAATTTGTAAGAGTTTTATTTTGGATTTATTCGCTATATGAATAGTGTTCTTTATTTAGATGGTTCTATAACGTCCTAGTTGAAGAGTTATCTGCTAATCATAGTTCCAATGTCGTTTTTTATCATCGGATGATATGATTCGTAAAATAAAAAAGGCTAAACGTGTTTGTGTGTGTGCAGATATACACCCTGTGGTATTATAAATTCCTTTGTTAAAAGTCACCTTTATTTGAATATTATATTGAAGTAGGTAAAGAAATTGTGTAATAAACATTTCAATTCAAGAATTACATGTACTGGTAACTATTTATTGATAAAAAAATATCTACTTATTGATTTAGAATTATTCAAACCAAAATGTCACATAAAGATGTTTAGAAAACTTAATACGCTTTTCGTATTATTGGTGATGATGGTATTATCCTTAGTTAGAGAGAGTCTAACTGATGATGATACTTTAGGTGATTTAACTCATTTTGGATTTTAAATTTTCAGTTTCTATTTCTTTTAATTATTTTAATGTTTGAGATTAACAAAAAAAAATAAACAAAAATAAATACGTTTCATTTGTTATATCCTTATTGAATTTGGCTTTACTTATTGGGGAATTCGTAACTCATGTAACATATTTTCCTAGTGAATATATTTCCTAAATTAATTTGAGATTTAGTGGTAGCTNAATATAAAAAAAACATTCTGTGTAAAATTCGTAATTTCTAAAATTTTAATTAATTTAAGCTTTAAATTTTGTTTTAATTTTTTCCCTAGTGAGGTTTTTTGAAATTCTATCATGCTTTCAACTATTATTTCAAAACTCTCCGCACTGTGCTCGTCGATAGCGCCACCAGTCTTTTAGCGTTAATAGCAACATTGGAACCTCATTTCCTAGTAGACCATAAAGAGTAGGTCTATTGTAGGTATGCGAAAGTAACGTGAAAATTAGCGCGTTTCCGTGGAAATTATCGTAATTATTTCCAAAACCTTGTTTAAGTGTTTTAATC